AATACGAGCTGCGGATGACCGCCCCAGTATTTGAGATTCTTCTGGTTCTTGCACTCTAAAAATGTATTTCGCGCCATGATAGGTGACTTGTCAACGGCCAAGTCAATTCAAAATTCAAATTTCATCCAAGCATCCGAACTATCTGTCGGGTCACTATTTAAAATTTAAGCCAATGCGCGGATGACTTTGTCATGCTGCTCAATCACGTTCCGCCTTCCTCTCTACTAAAATTATGTACAGGTGAGTGTGAGACTGCGGATCAGAACTTTATTGGAGGGATTTGCCAGACGTGAAACCGACGTTGTCAACGTTGCCTCCTATGGAACACTTGTCACTACAGCAGCCAAATAAGCTTGGCAGGTAAAATGAGATATCGATACAACACCACATGTCTCCAAGATAAGTCTTCCTTGCGTGCTCGAAACAGTTGAAAACAAAAGTTTATTTCCCTTCACATTGCAATTTCTTCTGCAAAGCTGTCTTGAATGATGTAGCCAAATATGAGCTCTGCCTATATTGTTATATGGAATACATTCAGCTCGATATCAACCAACCCAAATCGTTTCCTTCTACCTGCACTTCTTTCAAGCTTCTAGAGCAGGACGCCGACTCCCAATCACGATACGAGGAAGCCATGTCAAGCTACTACAAGAATGTATCCCGGAATTCCGAGATCCTTCGGCGCCTCGAAGAAATGTCCGTCAAAACAGAGAAAGAATCGAGAGACTAGAAGAAATACCCATGGGAGGACAAGATATGACCTATTATCCATTTATTCAACACCAGGGCATGTCTGCCAAGGATATCACAGTCATCGACTCAGCCTACGACTTTTATTTCTAGACGTCTAATTCGAGCAGTCTAACAAAGCCCAACGGTGAATTCAGGGCCTGGGAGACAGTAGCTAGAACCTTTCCTTCGCCGCCACCCATGCCGCCGGTCGGTACTGGCCATGTCATTTTCATAGGCACAGTGCAGGAGCCAGCTCTTCTCTGGCCGATCGTGTGTTGCAAACCGTCCACCTGTGCTTTACCAAGATCTCCTATATACAAAATTGAGGTACTGGAATGGGAGTCATCGTGAAGAAGGGTTTTCGGGCGTGCGAAAAGTACTATTTAGATGCTACCTAGGAGAAGATTAATATTCTTGGTTTCATGGATAGCTATCATGGAGGCACTATTGGTTCGATAGACTGTTCTGAGCCGTATACGTCCATTAGACTGAGTGGTACCGTGACTACTTTCACTTGGTTGACTTCCCCTTATTAAATGGTCGATTCCAAACCTGGTTTACCACATCCCCAAAGAACCTTTAAAACAAAGGTTTGCCAACTTCTCATTGGACTTAAATTTGAAATTCTGCCTGATTCAATTCGATACGTGCGGGGCGGTGCTTAACTACTTGGCAGTCGCTTATTTTAGACTGTTATTGGCTTTGAAAGTGCCAAGCCCCAAAGCCTCAATAGATACCTCATCAGTTTGAAACAACAGTCCCCTATATGAATCAATACTTGTGCCTGCCTCTGGCACAACAGATCTGTCAATCAGTATGCCCGAGTCTGCTTCGAACCAACATTTCTCGGACAGTTATGTCTCCACAGCATCCACAAATAAGTCGAATTTTCAGCAGGAAGCCAACTATTTGCGTGACGAAGCAAATGCGTATCCACCTTTTGACCCATGTTCCAAGACTATTCACCTTTCGTGGTTGGGTATTCTCATGGCCACTTTTTGCGCGATGGCCTGCATCGTGTGGGCCCTGATAATTCTCACAACAAAGCATCACCTGGCATACTCAACGTCGCTGTCCGAGGGGTCAGCCGAGGTATTGGCATTCATTGTCAATATCATTTTAACATTCATTACGGACACTCTGGGCTACATTCACACAGTATCTCTTCGCTGGGCATTGTATCGCGAGGGACGCTTAACATTCAACACAAATATCAGGTTGCTGAGCAGCGCGCATCTGTCGGTAGCAAATTCTTGGCCGGTTAATCTCGTCTGGGCTGTTTGCCTAATTCTCTGCTACTCATCCACTTCGATACTGTTTATACGCGGTCCGGATAAATTTGAATCGCTTATAAATGGGACCATGTTTCATCCGTCTTCCTGTGCGCCTGGAGACACTTGCATGTCTCTCAACGGAATGGCATTTCTCACGTTGGGGGTAGGTCTCACCGGACAAACGGTGGTCGCAGTAATTTGTATGCAGAAATATCGGCATACTATCCCGACTTGGAGTTCAAATCCATTGAACAACACTTTGGCAGCCCTGCAATGTGACGATGTTCCCCTCTGCCACCATCCGGGTCGATGTATGATGCCTGTCTCAGTGTCACGTGCGTACATGGGAACTATGCCAGCTCACCCTTTACGACGGCAGACGAACCTCTGGTTTATCTTGATGGTACGATGGATCGTCTCTTTTATATGGGGGCTGACGGTCTTAATATATGTCTGGGCAACAATCGTTATGCGAGTGGCTCTTTCCATGTACGGCAGCTGCAGTGATGCGCCATTTAGTTGGACCGGCACGGAAGTCCACACTATCAATGGGAAACAGTATTTGGAGAGCACCTGCTACGTGATTCATCTAGGTATGGACCCTGCCTCGAACAGTCCATCTACCCCAACACACTTCTCACTATGGGTGCATTTCCTTCTCTCGATCTTGTTCCTCTGCGGTGTACAGGGAGCAACAACACTCTGTCTGCATTGCATAGAGACAGTAGTTAATATGAGGCGCGATGAGCAGTGTTGGCGTGCATGTACCTCGCGCCGCGGAGCACGACTTTCCAACAACCCACTTCTTGGTTTGCTGCGAAGCTGGGAGGCAATTGTTCTGTTTGTTATCAAAGCGGTGCTCCATTGGTTGATTGGTCAAAGTGTGATACCCCAATTTGGCCCGGACTCGTGGTACGAAGGGCTCGCTGTATTGTTCGGCATGGCTTGGCCACGTTTGTATGTCCTCGCCGGTGCAACGACATTTGCCGCAGTCTTTGTCACAGTTTTGGTGCTTTGGAAACCTTGCGGGCCCCAGCCGGCTGGCTGGGGCCATTTTCAGACGCTAGCTAATCTTGTAGACGTCTGGTGTTCACCGTCGGAAAGATTGTGGTGGGGTGACAAAGGCATTTCCGAAGGTCAGGCCCGACATGCCGGAACTTCGAGCGTAGAAAGACTGCCACCAGTGCAAAAAGATGAATTATACGCGGGCGCTCATGGGATACCTAGCACTAGTAACGCTTGATAGTTGGATTATTACAACGTCGATTCTAGATCAAACATCGCAAATAGGGTGGACTCCCATGCTTTGACCCATAGTGAAAACGATTCCACATTTTATAGATTTGTACACAAAGAATCCTCACTATATACTTCATCCCGCATATTTGGACCCTTTCAAATCCTCAACACTGGATTCTAGGTCAGACTCTTAATATGAATCAGTGAAATAGCTCTTGGCGTTTTCTTGAAACAAACTATCTACCTAGCAAGGCTATTGACCTTTAGAGTGTGAGGGGGGCAAGCCAAGCGGTACAAGGGTCCATTCACTAAGTCACTAAACTAGAGAGAAAAGAAAGAAAGAAAAGGGGAGATCCGTCGAGGATCTCAATACTATCTAACCACCTGACCAATCACAATCCTCCTCTCACGTGATCAGTTACAACAAGAGAAGTCACCTCGTCACATAGAGCACCCGACCAGGGCTCCGTCTTTACTCTCTTAACTTCGTCTCTTAAAGACTTGATTTGGATGATTCTGTCATAGATAGTGCCAGAGTGGGGCATACGCGCAAATGAAAATATGACCGAAGATCCCCACGACGACACCAACTGTAGTACCGGCAATGGCGCCTTCACTAAGATTGAGACCTTTGCCCTTACTACTTGCTAGGATAGATAGTGCCAGAAATGCTATTTTAGCGAGGCCCTAGGAGGAGTGTCTCAGAATTAAGATCGTAATATATCTTTAAATAGTCTCAAATATGGTTTTGAGGCCGGTGAGAGCTGTTCTCCAATTTTAGGTCGGCGACTAAATGGCGTGTTAAGCCGCCCACGCCGCACAAAGCATATATCTATAGGATTAGAGGTATTTATTTTGGATCCTAAGATCATGAGTCGAGTAACTACTAGTCATAATAGCCGAGGTTGATAGACTTCCGCAAAGCCCAACCCGGACCTAGTACTAGGGCCCCAGTAAAGCCTAACGTGGTCGATCCTAACTCGACCCAAAACTTGACCCAATTTCGGCATAAAAACTAGTATAAAATGCTAATAAATTATATATCGGTATTGGCTAATACACCTATTATCTCAATTTTTTTATAATACAAGATAACAATATATAGCTATACATAGGTATTCTATTAACATGATTACTTAATTAGGAAGGTAGTATAAATATCATCTTAGTCAAGAAGATTCATATATATCTTAGAGGATAGGTACACCGGTTCTTCTATCATACTACGAATGTGTATTTAGGGTGGACAGCATTGCGATGGATGATTTCTCTTTATTCCAATTGGTCAGTTCACTGTCTCGCAAAAATCGAGAAAAGGCAGAGTTACTCTGAAGCAGTTCAAACGTAAGTCAGATTGCAGTGTGAAAATGGCGACCGAGCGCACCATGGCCTGAAACTTTAACCAAGGGAGCGCTGTCTGGGGTATGTGTTTCTGATAGTCTATAGCCAAGAATACATGCTGAATAAAAATCGGCCAGATGCAAACTGTAAGGTATCCAGCAATGGCGTGGTCCATTAGCTACAAAGACCCGACGCCCAGCCTCTGATCCGCTCGGCCAACTCAAACCCGTTTAGAAACATTTGGGAGGCACAGCATCAAAGGAGCACGGGTCCAATCTCTATACAGCACGAAATGCAGGGAAAGCGGCATTTTGTTGTCATTCCTGAAATAATTACCGTGTGGTGGAGACCCTTTGGGATATCGGACTACTATCGCAGAGAGACTAATTCTGGGCAGGAACCGGCAGCGTGAGCATGTTTTCATTGCTTATTTGCCTGAGTGCAGGAATGAAACCAATTATAACCTCCTCCTCAGATGAAAAGCTTCGCGATATTGCAGCTCTTGGGCCCGAGGGTGCAATCAAAGTCATTAATTACAGGACCAACCCTGCTTGGAAAAAGAAAGCTCTTCGATTGACTGGTGGAATGGGTGATGACATTGTAATAGAAACGGTAGGCGGAACCAGCATCAAGCAGAGTATTGAATCACTGGCAACTCGAGGTGTGGTAGCATGGGTTGCGTTTCTGGGTGGATTAGAGCTTGATGGATTTGCGGAAGCTTTGGGGCAGCTTTATCTGAAAGTTGGAACTCTTCGGTAAGCTTTGTTTTATTTCTATTGGCTCTACACCTGCCCCGATCGCACGTTCTGACAGCTTTGTAGATAGATCAATCCAGGTCGGCTCTAAGGTTGACCAATCCAACTTGTATCGCTTTTTCGAAACGACTAAGACTTCTTTGAAGCCAATCATTGGCAAAACCTTTCCGTTTGCCGAGTCCCCTGCTGCATTTGATTGTCTGTACGCTAGTGGAGTCCCGGGGAAAGTCGTCATTACTCTAGATTATGCGGATCAAGGTTGCAAAGTGAACTTTAATTTGACCAAAAAGTATAAAGAAAGAAAATAGAATAAAATGACACAGACCTAGCTCTAGATTCGTATAGCATGAGCGAAAATGGAACGTGGCAGGGATTCGAGAGCAAAGCCCCGACTATCATGAGCTACATGGCTTTTTTGTCCGTTGCTTGAATCCCCTTTGACTTTTTTTTAGAAGGGCAACTAAACATGCAACCACCTTAGATATATCAATCTATAGCAAGTAGGTTTGTGTCGAAAATTAGCTACACCTGTAACAACCGTAACTCTGTTTCAAAGCTGGACGTGGCTGAACATGGTATCAGCCAGCGCCCTTGGGTCATACTTCGTATCTTTTATGATCCCTATTATTCACAGGTTTACAGGAGCGTAGGCGGTCAGATAGGATGAACCAGACCTTCATGTTTTTTGTAGTTTAGGAGTAGTCATGCTTGAGTGGCGAATTCCGACATTCAGCCAACCTCGATATAGAAGTTCACCTTGCCGTTAAATCGAAGTGGGGAGTAAGCAAAACTGTGACACAGCTCAAGTACAAGTCCTCGGTCACTTTCGTCGGAAAATTTCGCGGCTGATGCCTATCTTTATACTGCTCGTCTTTATACTGCTTGGCCGATTACTGGACAACTTATCAGTCTAAGAACCTCAGCTTTTCATTCCACGCTCTGCATCAATCCAAACGCAGTGGCTTCAACATGTTTTGCAGCTCACGATAGCCCTAACGGGTCTGGAGATGTCCGTCCACCTGCACTCCAAATAAACAAGGACGAGTGGGTGGAAAATGCGCTGGATGGCAGGGCTTTCCTCATCACAGGATGCTCATCGTGCTTTGGTGTTGAACGACCCGCGCACTCTACAAAATGGGTGCTGCCACTCTCTCTCTATGTGGCGGCCCGAAATACTAAGAAAGTGACATCGGCCCTAGGTAATATTGCCAGCCCATGAGTCAATATCCTGCATCTTGACCTCAAATGACTTTCATCTGTTTGTTCTTTGAGGAATTCACATCGAAGAGTCTAGAGAGTTACACTACTTAGGGATTCGTATGGAGAAAACTGTGTAGTGGGATTCATAAACAAAAGGATGCACAGGGAGAGGAAGAAGGAAGGAGAGAGAAAAGGCTAACTATCTAGGTTCTGTCCTGGAAGATCAGACATCCAACAAAGAGCTGGAGATTAAATATTTTGATTTAAAACGCTGGCGCCAAAGGTAAAAACAGAGGACGGGTTTGAAATGCAGTTTGGAAGTAATTACCTTGCTCACTTTCTGCTCTTCCACAAACTCAGGCCTCTATTGCTGGCCTCTTCCACGCCTGAATTGTGATGTTTCGAAATTCCTCATTCCCGATAAACATCTTTCAACACTGCGCAGGCACCATGGAATTTTCTTTAGTCAGGAAGCCAACAGCACCTCTGCAAGACAATGCCTTATAGTGTGGAGGTAATTATTGAGTCTCAAGGTTGGTATACACTAAATTAGGATCACTTCAAGTTTTTGGCCGACTGAAAACCATATAAAGAAGGGTGCGTATTTAGAATGTTTGACCTGTCACTGTATGAATAATTGGAAGGCTAAATTTAGTCAGACGGTTTTGAGGAGAGAGGATGGTCCGTTAGAAATATAGAGAGTCAAAATGAATGTGCTTTAGAGATGATGAATTGAACTAATACCTGACAGGAAAAGTACTTTAAAACTCTTCACCTGACCAAGTAATTGTAATGAAGAAGGAACAGGATAAACCTGCCCTCTGGGGTGGATGTAAACGGCCATGATCGTGCTTTTCAGGAGACAGCAGCGATAGTAAAAGGCTGATTCCTCAGCAAACAGCGGTCATATGTAAGACCAGTAGCGCAAGCAATGAGGTTATTCATCATTCATGAAGCAAATCTAAGGTTTTGGCCCACAGTTTTGCCTCCATTTCTGGACTGTATGCCCATTCTGCATACCCCGGTCCATGTCGCTGTGATGGATCGGCCGGAGTTGCAATTTGACAGTCATCTAAATATTTACCTCCAGTCCCTTCCAATTCCCTTCCAACTGCTCCCCAAACGCTAGTTGCAGCGCCTTGTTCAGGGCTCTTCCAATAGTTCGTCAGAGACTCATTCTTCGCCCAGTCAGCTTTCTGTTCATCTGACACATGGCGAAGAAGCTCTGTTGCTATAGCACCAGGATGCACGCTGAAAGCATGGAGGCCCTGAGCACCATATAGTCTCTCAATTTCGTTCGCTGTCCAGATATTGGCAGTTTTGCTCTGGCCATAGGCTTTCCAAGGCTCATATTCGCCCTTTAGACTTAGATTGTCGAAGTGGACGGAGGAGACACGGTGGGCGCTGGACGCAACAATGACAACCCGAGAATTGAAAGCCGGAGTAGAAGAATAGAGGAGGCGAGACTTAAGCAGATAAAACAGCAAAAAGTGGGCTAGGTGGTTTGTCCCAAACTGGGTTTCAAATCCATCTGCTGTTCGGCCTTCAGGGCACGCCATCACGCCAGCATTCATAATCAGGATGTTCAGGATGTTAGGTTGTGACAGAAATTCCTCAGCGCATGCACGCACAGATTCCAGGGAGTTCAAATCAAGGTGCAAAAGCTGGACTCGTGGGCTCCCCACCAAGTCACCCAATGCAGACTTCGCTTTCTCTAGATCGCGGGCAGTAAGGTATAATGTCGCTCCAGTATGGAAGAGTGCGCGTGCGGTCTCGATACCTAGGCCGGATGAGCAACCTGTGATGAGGATAGCTTTACCGGCCAAGGTATTTTCACGGCCTGAATCTTTGACGATTTGGAGCGCGGTAGGACGTGCATCGCCAGGCCCCTTTGGCGATTGGTGAACTTTGGTGTACTTCGATTCCATACTTAAACTTAAACGATTTTATGAAGTGGACTAAGGGGGAGCTTCGCACAGTAGAAGCGTGAGGGCTGAAGAAGGACGTAATATCTGGAGGTCGATAAATCTTTTTTCAGTCATCGCATTTATGACCTTATATACTTTTCCACCTCCGATAAATACTGCTAATTTCGGAGTATTGAGACAGGCCACTCTGGTTACCACGGTCATCATCATGGTTGGTGTCGTCGGCTTTAGGTCGTGTGGGCGGCGTTAGGGTGTATTTGAATGTTTACGAATGTCAGCTTCCCACAATCACACCACCTTTTTCTCCAACTAACGAAGTGGCTTAACTCCGATAGAGTACATACAGTAGTATCGATTACACTGACCTTGAAGTTTCGGGGTGGTTCTTCGGCCGAAGATCTGCAATGCCAAGACGCTTTCGTGGAAATCATGACCTGATGACATACCAAACGCTTTCAGAAAGCGGACCCAAATTCTGACAAAAAGTGTAACGCCCAATGTAACCAGAATGCAAGCTGGTCTTGGCCCAAAGAATGACTTTTGTAACATACTAGTTGATAGGTTACATCGAGATAAATAACCAACCTTTCAGAGGAAAGAAAACAAAAAGGTCCTATTAGCTTTTCAATATTTACCGCGTACAGATATTGTAGTGGGTACATTATGTTCAACAAAGGCAGTTAGTGAATTAACGCAATTCTCGAGCGATGTATCCAATATAGGTGAGACATAAGGTTGTCAAATGTCAAATTTCGCATTCATTATGGAACTTTGAAGTAGTTATTTAGCCGCCTGCATAGTTAACTATGAACACCCTGAAGAAAACAGTTGGCCCTTCTCTAAATATAGGGTTCGTCGTGCTCGAAACTTTACCGTTGTGAAAGTTTGGTAGGAATCTTCGGACTTTCCCGATATTTCAAGGAGGCTTTGCTCAAGATTATTCAAAAATCTCATCCCTTGTGTGGATAAAGTCTCAGGTGGTATCTCCGACTAACTCCACCGATGACTTCCGCCGAAGGCGTTAAGTTTATCTGACGGTCTTCCTTTTTTGGGGTAATGTATGGCTTAGTCAACTTTAGTTTCTTTCCCACCTTAGTTGCCTATAGGGCACTATTAGCAAAGACTATGCATTGTGGCTGCCTTGTATATCCGTCCACTGGTGGATCATCCGTCCGAGAAGCATTCTATAAAGCAAAACAGGCGCCACTTCCCCCTTTGAACAAATTATCAGCCTACTTATCTCGTTACCCGACTTCAGGGTTCAAAGCGACTGAAACTATCGATGAACTTCAATATGTTGGATTCAAACACGGTTTGGTTTAGTATGGGAAAATTAAGCAAGATTAGGGCTGTCCAGATTGAAGCTAACTACATTCAGTCACTGGATGCTCTTCTGGAGTGGGAAAGTCCTTAGCGAACATCATTCATGCCGCCGGTCACCATATAGTGGCTACTGCACGCGGTGTGAATACGCTCTCCTACCTCCCTGAAGGACCAAATGTTCTGAAGCTTGCTCTGGATGTCACATGCAGACAAACTATTCTAAAATCTCTCGCCATTTCCATAGAGAAATTTGGTCACATCGATGTTGTTATCAACAATGCTGGGTACGCCCTTATGGGAGACTCCGAGGCCATTCCTGAGTCGGATGCTCGACTTCAAATGGAGACCCTTTTCTGGGGCCCTGTTTTAATCACCCAAGAGGCGGTTCGCATTTTTCGGGAAATCAACCCCGCCGGAAAAGGTGGAACTGTTGTCCAGATATCTTCCATCGGAGGTTACTTGACTTTTTCGGGCAGCTCATTCTACCATGCCGGGTAAGCCATTATTCGCCATAAACGTATTATGCTAATACAGGAGCAGAAAGTTTGCACTCGGGGGTTTACCCAGTCTTTCGCCAAGGAGATGGACCCATCCTGGGGTATCAATTTTATGGTGGTCGCCCCGGGTGGCATTTAGACCAACTTTGGCTCCAGCGTGCAATTCGCAAAGCGACATCCCGCATACGATACATCGAGCAGTCCGTTGAACCAACTCATGGAATAAATAATGAGCCCGTCCATTCAGGAGAGTTTCGCCCGGCCGGACCAATGTGCCAAGGTCCTCTTTGATGCTATTGTAGGCCAGGACCAGCGATCCTTGCCTACGCGGCTGTTGATGGGTGCTGAGACCATTTCACTTACTGTGGCCGAAAACAAGAGAGCTTTGGAGGAAATGCAGCTTTGGAAAAAAGAAACTCTACGATGTTCACCAGGAGGTGGAGTGAAGGATGTGCCTGACCTTTGAGGAACCTGGTTTTAAAAGTGCCCAGAGGAGGTCATAAGTAGTATGACGATACGGCAGAATCGAATCAAGATGTTGCGACGCAGAAAATGATTCATATCTGAGGTGGGTGATAAGCAGTTGGAGATGCTTCAGGTGTGTATATCTATAGTCTGGAATATTAGCCAGGCGTTCTGCACGGTCGTTCAATTCCGACAGGAAGTGATACAAGACATGTTGCTCCCCTGTTAGCGCTCTTCTCAAACTGTATTATCTGGATAACGGATGGGTTGCTTTCCATAAACCCAACTGTTTTGTTACCATACAGCGCCTCATGCAGGATGTCGCGCAGGCCTTCCGACTTGATGTTTATGTATGGCGTCACCTTCTCGAACCACTGGTCCATTTTTCACATTAGCGGAATCTCAGCCATGTATAAAAAGGTTTACGTACTAACACGTTCACTAGCAGCAAACATTTCCAGCATAGTCATATGGGTCACTGCTTGTCTCAATCGGCTTGGCTATCTTCTATCTAGATGCCTCTATGTCCCAACTAAACCGCTTCAACAATGCTCGTTCAAAAAGAAATCTAGCCCATGGGTCTCCACGACTGTTTCGAAATTGAGGTGTAAATACCCATTTCGCAAATGATTTGAAATCATCTGGAGTGGTACAGATTGGACGACATAGATCATTATCATCTGCCACCGAAGTCTTCTCCTGTCTAAAACTTGCAGAGCAAGACTGAGTAGACTCGTCTGCTTCATCCGTTCTGACCGAAGAGCATTTATCGCGGGCTAGCTTTACCATGAACTGCTCCAGTCGTACCATGTTGGGTCGTGATAAAGACTGATTTTGGAGGACTGGGGTATTTGGAGGTTCGGTTGATAATATCAGGCAGCGGCCTTTCGAGCCCCTAAAAGAGATGCTTTAGATTCTTCACATAGCTTGCGGCACAGCCGACTCCTTCGTTGGGTTACCTGGCGGCGTTCACCGTCGAGAAGTTGCACGAAATGAGTTGGCCTGACTTGGATGTAGAAATCACGCTTGAGGTTTTATCTTCAAAATATCATAGTGGAATCCGATTGACATATGAAAAGCCATCTACTTAAATCGTCTTTGCGATGCTAACATACCAGCATCATTCGTCATGCTGAGATCTCCAAAAACTGAAATAATGTTTGAAAAGAAAAATTTTGAAATAGTTGTCTATCCGCCCAAGATGCAGAAATCTAAATTGTACCCGACCAATCACAAAGTACTTTCGGTCAATGCTAGCACATAAAGTCAGTTGCAACCCACCCGTACCCCTAAATACCCGTATTCTGATAATCTTTTGCAATATACCATGTATCGCGCTCCGGTATCAAGTAGTTAGAGGATATTACACTTAAGTCTGGGACTGAACGTGTCATCCGGATATAACGGAAATGGGACTATCATCCTGCAGGGGTTCCGGTATGGCAGCCGATTTTGGTTCGGCCGAAAAAATGCCCGTAGAAGGCCGTGGACACTAAATCCCACAGGGAAAGGGAAATCAGAGCAGTTCATGTCCATTAATGGCCTAATCGAAAGTCAAGCGGTCGAAATAAGGCCTTGTGCGTTTTGGCTGAAGTCATGCCGCCGAATATCCAATTAGTAGCCAGTCGGCATTCTACCAGATTTGGCACGGTATAATCATTGACTGTTGAATAGTGAATACTTAAGATTGGTTACTTGGAAGGGTTAGGTATTGACCAAAAGGTTTGAAGCCTAAAGTCAAAACCCGACATGTTCGCCCCGCCACACGCCACTTCGGCTGACAATACACCAGATTAATTGTCACCTACCGCAAGTGGTAAAATGATATGACTACCGGATTGCGATAGAGTAAATTTGTACCGTTAATGCTTGGCAATATACTGTGATGCAAGGCACTACGTTGTGTCCCCGAATTTGCTGTATCAATCCGATATGGGCAACCGACCTATACTGGTGTTTCCCAGGCTTACTAGTCGCATTATTTAGTTGGTGTTGCAGTTTTAATCGAATCCTTTCTCTCCGGCATTGGCTATATGCTTCCGTGCGTACGACGCCAGCTCAGCAGACTGGTCATCAGCGTGGAGTATGGCGGTCTATACCGATCGAATGGTCTCAAATTGCTTCATATATACACTCATTCATAATCCACCAAGTAGCACACTGAGTCGTCACTACACAAGCGCCCTATGGCCTTCACAGCTTCTCGGACATAAACTCCACAATATTCTTCACGGCCAGCCCAACGTAGTCGGCCCCGTCATAAAAGTCCATATGAGCTGCCTTTGGGACAATGACCTTCTTCGTGGCGCCGCCAATTTTTTTGTCAAGGTTTTCCGTGTGCCACAAAGAGCCAGCCTTCTCGCCAGCAATCAGCAGAGCAGGTTGGGTTAGGTAGAGCTCAGCAAACTGGAAGGCATCAAAGTTGAGCACAAGCGGGAAGCTCCGAAGCAGCATCTTGTTCGCAGCACGAGGATGCTGGGCCCTAGGAGTGAGATAATAGTTGGAGGCCTCCTTCATATCGAAAGGAGTGTTGTTATCGAGCTGAAGGGGGACGTAGGGAGCCGCGACAGCCTCGGCACCCTTGTTCTCAGCGGAGGTTTGCCTAGCGGCCATGTCGAAGGCTCCGACCTTTGTCTTAGGATCTTCATCGGCGTCCCAGCCCAGACGTGCGGAATCGCCGATGTTGACCATGCTGATGGTGGCAATGGCCTTCAGGCGATGGTCTGACTTAGCTGCGGCAACAGAATAACCGCCTCCCGCACAAATACCAACGATAGCAATCTTCTCAGGGTCGACAAGCTCCTGCTTCTCTAGATAATCAATCACGCTGTAGACGTCGCTGACTCGCGCGGAAGGATCTTCGAGGAAATGAGGCTCGCCACCGCTTTCGCCCTGGTGGCTCGCATCATAGGCCACAGTCACAAAACCCTGCTCAGAGAGCTTCTTGGCATAAAGACCTGCTGTTTGCTCCTTGACACCGCCGCCGGGGTGGACGATGATCAAAGCAGGGTTTTTAGCGACTGCGGTAGTAGGCTTGTACAGGACACCTGCCAATTGGATGAGGCCCTTCTTAATTGAGATGGCGGACATACTGGAAGGATATTCACATATATTTCTGTAAGGAAAAGATAGTGTGAAGAGGGAATGAAAGACTACTAAGTCGGTCCCTTATAGCCTTGTATATATATGCTCTTGTGGGGCTGTTGACGCTCTTAGTATCATCCCAAACCTTATCGGCAAACCCGAAGAATTTCGGGCATCGGGTTTTCAACTCCACGCCCAACAATTGAATCAGATTACAAACTATCCGTCAATTTCGGAATCGGAACTATACGGTGGATTGATCCAACTTCCAATGCCCTTGCCACGTTAGGAAAAGTTCAACATCCTGATCACATTCCTTCAAATAACTAGTTACTCAATATCTATGGATATTGAATACACATCACACTATCCGGTCAATTGCATCTTATTGGTCGACCAAGATAATGAGCGTACTGTATCATGAGGACCGGTTACACTATAGCAAACACAATTTCTCAGCTACTGTTAATACAGTATACTGGATACCCAGCGTAGTGTGGATATCGGCCGAAAGCCATTATCGGAGTTATCAGATCGGCCGAACCATCTTGGAGTTAGTATAACCTCTTTGGCTCAGGACTACGATATGCTGACAAGGGTGGGGGTAATGGACGCGATGATCCCCTAACTAATGCATCCGCTCGATGACGTAGATGGCATGACATATCCAGTCTATTAATATGATGTAGCCCTAGGTTGATTGACTGTTTTTTAACGTTTTTTATTTTCCCCTACAGCGTTATCTGTAAGAAGAACACTATAGAAATACAGACGACTTGACGAGATCTATTGTCGAAATCATGACACTCACATCTGGCGCGCATCTAACTTGGCTTATGACCGGGGCAAATTCAGGGTTTGGTCTTCAATTAGTTACTCTCGCAGTGCTTTTCGTACGTAGTCCCGCGTATCCTAGTGTATGTATGTTTGTGGTACCCCAAGGTATAGGGCGTTTTATGGCATTTGGCCGAGCGTTATAAGGACCAGCCCGAGCCGATCCCCACCGACGGCACCGACCCGAACCCGGACGTTTTACAGCCCGTAGAAGCCGATTGCACTGAATTCATGATTAAATTATTAAAGCAGCGTATTCGATCGAGCGAGTACGAGTTAGCATGAGAGTGCGAATTAGCCGTGTTAGGTGTGAGTGACCATGATACCAGTCAACCATCTAAGGATCCCTATAGTGACGTTCTACAGCGGCTTTTTATAGTTCATTTACTGCCGGAAGCTTTAATTACGGTAATTGGGGTGACCTACCAAGACTACATCAAGAAAAGAACAGTTGGTGCGTTTCTGAACTTATTTAGTCTAGCGCGATCTTTGTCCGGGGGTGGACTTCTTTTTAATGTTCTTGTGAACGCTACCGCCTGATATGCTCTTCATAGGGGATATGGTCTCGGCGACGTATAGCGTTGGAAATCGCTCTACACACATTACAAGGTTCATTGATTTGCATGAACCTCACATCGGTATTGTGATCATATTTACTGGGGCCAGTCGTCCAGCGGGCGAATGCTTTCCTTGGTTTCACAATCGAGACACAAACTGCAGTGACTGTCAATATGCCCATTGGCAAGCATTCGTTTTGTTTGCCTTTCGGCGAAGGCATTCCCGAGACGAAGTTTCAAGCATCCGCTACAACAAAAGTAGCCCTCATACCCAAAAAGATTAGTATATCAATGTTGTGGCAACATGAAGCACTATGCTGAAATAGATACCCTTGCTTGGCCCACTTTTCCACAAAACATAGAATGACAGCTTTCCTGCGGTGTGGTAGGCTTTCCAACTTGAATTCTGGATCTGAAGCATGCTGACAGAGCCAGATGCGAAGCGTAATCTAGCCAGTTGAGAATTTCCAATCGTAACTCAAACGGTAAACTGCAGAACGTTTTGCCCGTTTTGTCAGTCATTTGAAGGTCAAAAAATGCTTGTTGGGCAACTTGACCTGTATAATAACGCTAGGTGAAACTCAGTTTCTAGAGAATCTCATCCCAGCAGTGGTATCATTCTCCAATTGGCGGAGGAGCAATATTCTCAAACGATCGCATCAAACGATCGCATCTCAATATCTTCAATTTCGAAGTGAGCCTATAGGTTCACAAACCAAACGCATCGAATGCACCGTCATTGCGATGGACGAGGACATAATTTCGCAAAATAGAGTGATCTCTTCGCAACTTGAAACATTATTTCAGCATATCCTTTTATGGTCGCACACCCTTCATTCTTATGCAGCTCTAACCTTTATTAAGGCACATTGACTATACTAGACTAGTCTCTATCGCAAACCTTGAAATTGCAACCATTTGAAAACGCTTGGGCAAAGAAAAGACGCCTTGTGCACGGATCGTTCTGTATTAGCCCGTGTCTACACCACTGCAAGTAAGCATTTTCTATCACTTTGTTTAGTAGTAAAGAGTTAGTGCGAGGCTCTGCTCGAAACACCGCTTACCCTTTTGGCCGCGTTGACTTGATTAAAACTAGCCTACAGTAGGAGGTATGCACCAGAAGTGGGATAGCTATTTTAGCCAATCATGAACAGATATATAGGATCCACAAAGTCCAACCGCCCGAATGTAGCAGTCCATTAGTTTTAGAGAAACGTCCACTGTAAACATTTCCTAAGAAGAATAAATGTGAAGTTTACAATGCAATTGATATACTCCAGTAGATACCCAATTTGGCCATGCACAAGCCAGTAAATTTAAGCTAGCATACCTCAAATTATATATCGTTTTAAGCATCATCAACAAACATTTATCAGTCTATTGATGCCAACTGAGAGTATTTTTATCTCTGTCAAGTATCAATAGAGATAGTTCATAGCGTAAAGATCAGGCGAGAGCATTCAAATTCCCTAGAAAAATTAGTATAGGAGACATTTTACATACCGGTTTGACAGATCCAGAAGAAGACAATTATGATTCAAAAACTCCACATAACAGATGCTATGGTAACTTGACGATCAGGTATGGTCCTTATCTAGAATCATGATGCTTAAACAAGAATATGACACCTCCCTCATCCAAGATGTCAAAACCCAGAAGCTCGCTGTTTGAAGATGATGTTGTGTAGACAACGACACAACAAGAATGAAAGAACCCAAACGGGCTACAAAACTGACCTACTACTAGCATTCCTGGTGGATCCAAGGAGTACGGTAGAAGCAATGGCAACGTCGGGCTAAATTCTCAAAGGAATCAACAACTCGTATATTTTTAAAAGAGGTTTAGGTGTAAACAAAAGCCTATGAAGGCGCACAAGCATGCGAATCGTGACTCCACTCATTGCAGCTGCTAAAAAAACTCAATCTACAAGCACATAGTCAATGTCCGGGCGGAAATCACTAGCTCCCCAAATGGACACGCAAATTCACACAAGCGGAGGGAGTCTTATGCACTATCCAATTTTGTTCAAGAATGCCAGGATTTCCCGGGCGATGAGTTCAGTATCACTCTCCACGGCGAAATGGCCTGCATCAAGCAGTTGTATCTCAGCCTTTGGCAAGTCCCTTTTGTAGGCCTCTGCGTCGGGAGGGATAAAACAGACCTCGTTTTTGCCCCAGATTGCGAGGAGTGGAACCTGAGATTCTCAGAAGTATCGATGGAATTCGTCATACTGAAGAATATTGTTTTGGTAGTCCATGAAGAGATCCAACTGAATCTCTTTGGTTCCGGGGCGCTCCAAGAGCGCGTAGTCAAGATTAAATTGATGTGTTAGGCCGCGCGTTCCATGCTTCAGCTATGCCACCCAAGCGTTGAACATGATCCTTTCCGGAGTTGAACAATGTGGTGTCAAACAAACAAAGCAAACTATACGACCACCGTAGCACCGGATATCACAAAATGTTTTGTGCCTGTATAGTTGTTCGCGAGGGCCATCTAGATCACAGTTTCTATGAATTCATTTGACTTCGTCCGAAATTAAGCCGTGGGGACTTAGAGTCATCCACGATGAAAGCGATCGTTATCGAAAAGTTTGGAGGTCCCGAGTCCCTTGTCATCAAGGATGTGCCAACCCCTGAGCCGAAACACGGCGAGGTGGTGATTCGGATCAAAGCCTTTGGCGCCAACAATGCCGAGATGCACCTGGGCAAAGGGGAATGGGCCGAATGGGTACTTATTAGTGGAATAGAGTGTGCTGGCATCGTAGATGGATGCCCGGGAGGCAAATCTGAAGAAGGCATGCCCGTTGCAAGTCTCATGGGTGGCCTCTCGGGAACAGTACTATTGTTGACTCGCTCAACATGGTGCACAGAGGGGCCCGAGTATGTCTGGCTGGCTGGTTGGGTGGGCTTGCGCCTATTTCTGATTTCAACTCTCTTTTACAGATGGCAAGTGGCGTTCATCTTAGCTTTTTTTGGCAGTTTTGTCTTTGGGACGCCCGAATTCCCCTTATCAGAGGTCCCGCTGCAAGAAATTATCACCATGGTGGCCAAAAAGTTTTCGACTTTGAAGAAATTCAAGAGGCACATCGCCTAATGGGAAACAATGAGGCGCAAGAGAAGATGGTTGTTACTATTAATGGAGGCAATATTTCCTTTTAATTGCGTGCAGTCCAAGAGGCAGCTTCCCATTCCCTCATCAAGCCGTAGTGTGACTTTGTTCACCAAAACCGCGCCTAACAATGTTGCAATACATTGCAGACTGGGTGGCTTCGTGGAAATGCAGAAAGTCTGGTGATGGTACGTTGTGCGCAATGACGGAGTCGGGGACGCGTTTGCAATAAATTTGCTCTAACGTTGCGTCACGGTGGCTACTGTCCGGAAGCCGGACAGATCGGATGAGTGCAGATCTTTGCACGATGTGCAAGTATCAATACTTCGCAATTTATGATTGATTGGCCTTTTTAGTTACTCGGCTTTCTTCCGAGTAAAGTGAAGAAGCTCTGTTTTTCAGGCCCAAGTCTCGATGCGGGAGAGAGATCTTTAAAGTGAATCTTGAAAAATTCTCCTCCGCTGCTCTGCCTACTTGCCATCGAAAATATTTATGAAGATAACCATGTACCTCGTAAAGTCGGTTTGGGCAAAAGGCAGCGATCCGAATAGCGCCAATGAAGCCACTTTCAAATGCAGCATTGCGCTTTACCTTCACGGACGAATGAAGAAAAGGGTGACGCTTGCACTTGGGTCAAAAAGTTTGAGCAAATGTGTCATTCTAAACAGCGTTGGTCAGCTACAAGTAAATGTCAAAAGAGCATCCGAAAGTAAGCTTACTTACACACGAGCTCAACATGCATATAAAATTCGTGCACTGTGATGCCAGCTTCTGTGAGGGTCTCGGCACCTTAAAGTGTGTCGTAATCCCAACGAGGGCTGTAATACCACGCTGACGCGAACTGCCCTCGGTGTCCATTTCCTCCTTTTCTCCTTGAACGGGCACAGGATGCAAAAGCGGCTGCAAGTCTGTTCAATAAATTTCACGATTATAAGCCCTCGGCATTGTCAATTCACGCGTTACATTTTTCGGCTTCCACCCAGTTTTTGACCAGGGCATAGCTAGTCATGATTCTTTATTTTTAATCCTCTGGTTCTCTATCACCGTTGTACAGTCACTTATTTTATTAGCCTGAGATGGCAACTCCTGATATTCTTTTTGACCCCGACAAGTTTGTGCAGACCAAAGCTGTTACCATCACAATTTCTGTTAACTCTCCTCTGCACTATGGGGCCGTAACGCACATCCCTCTGTATTCTCGAGTTTTATTCTTTTCAGATCCTCGCCACCCCATTCATAACCATCCAGTTCTTCGGAAAGCTTTTAAGTAGCAGACTAAAAGGGGTTGTTCGATGCCATGAGTTGAACGGGGTACAGCAAGAGTCGAAATCAGATTCCTCTCTGGGAACAGGTGCACAGTTTCTCGGCCCGTACCCGACGAGATATACATCCGTCCGCGCGGGAAATCCGACGCTCTCTCCGCCGAAGTTACACAATACATGAAGTAGTGCTCGTCACATATTTTGGAGCCTCATTATTTGGAGAGCGTCAGAATTGAGATCCTAGAAGACCAATGTTGGCTTTACAAGTAAGCTGTCGGAAGTGGGGTCTAGGAAAAGTACTTCTCCCAGCTATGAGGGGATTCAAAGAATGGTATGTTGTGGTTTTTGCGGCCCATAGATGTGCGCTTTGCACTGCACACATCGCTAGCTTTGCGTACAGATGTCAAGTTGTAGATAGTGCACAGAGCTTGCTCCAACCCTTGGACGAAACAGAGAGAACAGATAGAACAGAGAAAATGCAGAACAAAATGAAAACCAGACATGGAATCTCAAAAGATTCTCATGGTCAACCCTCAATAGCCGAAGTTGTTTCGGCAGCACTCAAAGCCTCCCCATAGGGCCGCTCATCCCCCGGACCCGGTCGGAGGCTATCGTAACCATAGTCCTTTGGCCAGCCTGATGTATGTGGTCACTTTGCCTTCGTCGTCGAGCCAGAGCCAGTCGGCGCGGAAATCTCCATAGATATCCACAAGATGGACACCATTAATGTCACCCATCCCTTTACCAGTGAACACTGTTCCCAAGTCCTGTCAGTAGCCACCGAATTCTCTGATCGAAGCATCTTTCCAGCCTCCATTCCTCCAGCACTGAACATCGCCTCTTCCCTTGACGAGACAGTAGTCAATTCGGCCATCACCACGATATCACCAAGTCGTACATTGGTTTGAGCCAGATCCCTGCCAGGTGCAGCTCTAACTAGACCGAGGGATTTGAATTGTAGGGGCTTCCACCCAGATTTATCGGTGCATACATGTCACCCTCCTTGCTGATGCAGATAAAGCATCCGGTTCATCACTGCTGAAATCACCCCAGTGTACACCTGATATCATTGTGAGAATGCAGCCCGAGAGTACAGTCAACCTAAATAGAGTGCTCACTTCGTGCAATACAACCGTCCTTGATATCAATCTCGACTGGAGCGCCAAATTTGCCGTTGTTGTTGTTCGCAAACATGAAAGTGCCGCCCCGAGTCCAGACAAGCTCATCCAAATCTTCCTCGCGGTGGGCACCACCCTGGTTGACAAGTGAAGCTTAGTGGATACCAGGATGAATATCATCCTCCTTGTCAGTTGTACCTATTTCCAACAGTTGTCCCATAGCCACTGAGTTATTTTTGTAGTCATTGTCGTCCCAGCCACTGCCACGCTGAGTCTTGACCTTCCCATAGAGGCTATTTCCCTTTCCGTACTCCTTCTTACGGGTCGTGCTGGCCCAGTCATTCCCCCCAATATTCTTGGGACTTTGTAACAAGTTTCTTGGCTCGGCTTCCTGGATTGCGGCCCACCACACCGAGGCCATCTTTTCGTATCCCTTCCCATTTTGATGGGTTCCATCGGGTAGGGGGTCCGTAGGTTTGATAAAGTCACTTATTTCAGTTAGAACAATTCGTCGGTTGTTCTTTTGGCGAGCAGCAACGATGTTGCAGTATTGTTCGTTGATTACAACGGAATTGACTTGCGCGCTCTCATTAACATTAGGCAGAAGCGTGGAAAGAATGACTGTCGTTCCAAATAGCATCGTACAAACGATTGAGCATCTCGTTCGTCCGGACTCCCGCGGTAGAGACCTCGAAGTCCTGCAGAGCATCATTCGTGCCAGCACTATCACAGAACCAATCAGCATGCCATAAGCCCAAGACATGTAAAAGGAGGCTTCACTTGATTAGAATGAGGCTTGGAGCTTTGGGGATACTCTCCCGCATATGTGGCCACCTACTCAACTGCCAACATCAAAGATCATAAGGGCTAATGATACTTGCAGGCCGGAATTAGAATGGACAATTCGGGTTTGGTGAGAGAGGAGAAGGTATAGGCCTTATCATCAAGTGTTCTGGAGCAGAAGTATGCTTTCAGACTGGTGTCTGGCTGGTCAAACGCCGAGGCACATGTGTTCCAGTTGGCACTGGCCCAGCAAACAACTTGAATCCCATGTCAGTATTTGTAGATAAGGAAGGCAGGCTAGTAGGCAGCTTGAGAGTAAGATCTGTCGACCTGCATTTGGCCAATTTGACACGCTGACGGTGGTTAAGTATGGTCCCGCGTGTTATTTCCTGGCTGTAGACCGTGTTCAGAAGAGCCGAGTCAATTTGAAGCCGCTTTGAATCCATATGTCAGTGCTTGGATAGTATCAACTTATCAACTTGAGACAAGACAGCCAGATAGCTCGAATAGACCACCGTACACTTCATACGTGTCTAGATACTAAACAGCGCGCAATATAGATTTTCCAATGGCTGGAAGTTCAACGGTAATCAGAGTTCAAAATTGATTCAAACAAGCTGAAGCTTGAGTTCCCTGGGATGGGCTGCCAGTATGCTATTCCTTTTCGTGAATATCAAAGGTTTGGGTTTGAGAAAGAGTTGCATTTGCTCTGGGGAAGTGAGTGAACCCAATTCGTGTATCCAATTTCGGAGGCGTTTTGTGCCGGCTAAATCCCACGAGAGCCAGACAATCACAGTTCTGCCGGAGGATAAATGGGTGCAGCAGCATTTGTAATGCAAATCAGCAGAACAATGTGTGAGATATGCTCTTCCTGGATTAACATGTGGGCTAAGGGGTGAAGTATGACGACGAGAATACAGGATTTATAGCAGACCACGTCTTCACTGCCCTACATCAATTGGAGCTGAAATCTCAGCCAGGCATCAATATAACAAGTATATGTATGAGTTCATAGCAAAAACCTGCTTTGGACCGAGTTCCGTGATTGGCTGGCGTGGCACCCCGTAAAGAATAAACAGTGTACACTGTAGAAAGAAAATAAAGAAATCAAAGCTCAAGTCCAACGAGTATAGTTACTGGGTCAATTTAAGCGAAGTCAAGTCTTGAGTGTTGAAGTGAAGTCGGAAAAGTGAAGTTCCCCACGTTATCGGTGACTTCATGCCCCTCCTTTTCTGACGTTTCCTCTTCTCTTCACACACACTCCCTTCAACTCTGCCTCTCTGCTTCTCTCGGCAATATGGCTGATGCACGGGATTTCGCTGAGGGAGCTGAGGGAGCTGTCGCGCCTGACACTCAGGCGTCGCCTTCCTCTCCCCAGGCCGCCGCCTCCGAGACCCCGAACCCCCAACAGACTGCGCCAGGCTTATCAGCTTCCTCGACACACCTGGGTCAGATCAACGCTGCACGGCGGGGAGCTGGCTCCTCGCCACATCCCCAGTCATCGATGAGCGGGAAAGCGACCGGTGGATTGAATCAGGATATCATGGCCAAGATGAAAGCCTTCTCATTGTCCCGGCAAGGTGCTCCATTGCCGCATACCGCGTCAACGGGGACAGTTCCTACGGCCCAGACGGGCACAGGCGGTGCCCTGGCCGGTCGTCTTCCCCCGAACTCACGGCCCACCCCTCAGAACTGGAGCTCGTCGCCATCGGTTCCCGCATCTTCTCCGGGCCCCGCGTCTCCCCGACCTGGCGGACTGGCGGCAAAGCGCATGAAGCCCGGTCTCAAATTGTCAGATGTTACTGGTCCGCCAACTCCGGCTGCGGGAACTGAACAAAAGCCAACCGAGTCAACCGGGGAATCGGCCTTCACCAAGTACGCCGAGTTTATCGACACGAAAGCGGGAACACTGAACTTCAAAAACAAGGCTGTCTTACATGGAGGTGGTGTTGAGTTCTCATCGGGCCACAGCTTCAACATTTCTTTGGACGAGGTCGATCGCTTGGAAGAGCTAGGTAAGGGCAACTATGGCACAGTATACAAGGTCCGACACAGTCGGCCACATCTACGAAAACCAGGGCTTGGTTTGAGTGGCATTGTCAGTCGGCCAAAGGATCAGGACGACACACATTCGGAAGCTGGATCGACTCAGTATTCCGGTGTGATCATGGCAATGAAAGAGATTCGCTTGGAACTGGATGAAGCCAAGTTTGCACAAATCATCATGGAGTTGGACATTCTACACCGTTGCCTCTCTCCCTTTATCATTGACTTCTACGGGGCCTTCTTCCAAGAAGGTGCGGTATACATGTGTGTCGAGTTTATGGATGGGGGCTCGATCGACAAGCTCTACGAGGGTGGTGTTCCGGAGAACATCTTGCGCAAGGTCACCCTCTCCACGATCATGGGATTGAAGTCGCTGAAAGACGACCATAATATCATCCACCGCGACGTGAAACCGACCAACATCTTGGTCAACAGCAAAGGTCAGATCAAAATCTGCGATTTCGGTGTCAGCGGAAACCTGGTCTCCAGTATTGCAAAGACCAACATTGGATGCCAGAGCTACATGGCTCCCGAACGAATTGCAGGAGGCGGTATGCAACAGTCCGGGGCGCCCAGTGCTGGAACATACAGTGTGCAGAGCGACATTTGGAGTTTGGGATTGTCAATCATTGAATGCGCCATGGGCCGATATCCTTACCCACCAGAGACATTTAACAACATTTTCAGTCAGTTACACGTGAGTACCCTGCCTATAACATTACTGCTCGTCTTTCTAATCTGCCCTAAAGGCTATTGTCCACGGTGATCCCCCAACTTTGCCTACCGCAGGTTTCTCTGAAGAAGCCCACGCGTTCGTCCGGGCCTGTCTCGACAAGAACCCCAAGAGCCGACCATCCTACAACATGCTGCTTCGCCACCCTTGGCTCGCACCTCTTATGCAGCCACCCACCGAGTCTGCGGACGAACAGGACCTGTCCGACACACCGGACTCCGGCTCCGGTGAAAATGGTTCATCTTCTATGACAGAGGACAAGGAAGTTGCTGAGTGGGTGAACAAACAAATCAAGCTCCGAGAAGAGGGCTTGCTCCGTGTCACCGAGAAGCCAGCACTGCATGCCGTTGCGCTGGACCAGGTCGGCACAGGCTCCGAGAATGACCCCAACACGATCCCCCAGACGGACTAAACTTGTCCATGGCCGATTTCCAATCTTGCATTTCCTTCCTGCTTTCTCTGAGGGGCACAACCTACGGCGCAGGCGCCGTCTCCACGACTTGAATGTCTCTTCTCCCGACAAGTCTGGTCACTGGCATCTGTAAGAACGTGACCACACTGTCGCAACCGGCCATGTATGTGTAATTTTCTCCTCGGTGCTCGACCTACATCTGAGCACAATGATTTTGAAATGGACTGGGTTTTGACACCTCTGCTCTTGTACTATGGATGCAAGGGACAAACATTTTTAGCACCTACACGTTGCACGATATCTCTGAATACAAGCATTTGAACTGTGATTTTTCTGCCATGCTTGGCCCGGCTGTACGATAGTCGTTCCATCTTTCACAATCGGGGCAACTTGGTCTGGAATCATGCATCAAAGTATTTCATTGGAATCGTAGGCTTCTCATGTACATATCGCCAAAAGTCATGTTGAATTCGTAAGGTCCACTACGCCACACCCTGGTTATCATCGCGGTTGAGAAATGAAATAAACCTCTTTATAGCTCACGCCTGGCCCCAGACCTCATCGGCAATCTGCCTAACGAGGCTCAGCTTGTTCTTCTGATGCTCAACGAGGAGAGGGTATCCGCTCTCGTGTGTACTGAAGCCACACTGTGGACTAATACAGACTCTGTTTAGGGCCTCCTCGCGCGTCTCCCCAGAGCCCGAAGCGACAAAGTCCGCCGCCTTGTAGATGCGTTCCTTCATAGCCTCCTTGTCCTCGAGTTCCCGCCGCTTGGTGCTAATAGCACCAATCACCACGTTCTTGTTCTTGGGCAAATACTTGAGTGGCTCGAAGCCACCAGCCCGTTCGGTGTCGTACTCAAGGTAGAATGTGTTGACGTTCAGGTTCTCGAACAATTTCTTCGCGATGATATCATACGATCCCTCGGAGAAGTGCCGGCCGCCAATGAAGTTTCCACGGCAAAGATGTATACCAGTGTGCATGTCAGTGGGAAGACCAGCAAGAGAATCATTGTAGAGCTTAATGTACGCATCAAGCAGGTCCTCCACGGAGCCAGTGTTGTCCTGGTCTTCTTCCCATCCCTTGCGGAACGCGTTGGAGCAGAAGTACGCCATGCCGGGGTCATCGAACTGAACATTGCGCAGACCAGCCTTGTACAAAGATGCTAACTCAGCCTGATACACCTTTGCCACGTCGGCAAAGTACTCGGCATCGTTGGCATATGCTTCGAGTGTGTAGGCACGGCCCTGCTTGTAGCGCATGTGAAACCAGGCAGGCGTGATCATTGTCAGCTTGATGTTGGCCCACTCGCTCTCAGGCAGGGACTGCTGCACCAGCTTGAGCTCGTGCAGGTTGGATTGAGAAGAGGCGGTGCTGTGAGAGAGCTTCTTGCCGGCGATGACGGAGTCACCTGGCATCACTTTGCGGTCCTGCTCGATCAGACTCACAACATCAGGGTGGTAAAGTCTGAACATCGAGGCTTCAGCGTCTTGCAGACGAATTGTTCCTGCTAGGGTTAGCATAGTAACTAATAATCAAAACGAAAGTAGCTTACCTTCAAACTCGTCCCACATCAATCCCCAGAACCGCGTACGGTTGAACTCGCCAGAGGTGACAGCCTTGAAGCCCAGGTCCTGCTGCATCTTGACGACATTGCGAATAGCTTCCTGCTCAACGGCAAGCAGGCCAGCAGCTTCCTCAGAAATACCGGTGGTGGCGATTTTCTCACGGACTTCGAGCAAGTTATCAGGACGCAGCAGCGAGCCCATATGCTCAGCGCGGAAAGGTGGAGCACTGTGAGGGTTGGTCATTGTTGCAAGTAGTAATTGAAACAATTGAAACAATTGAAACACAAGTCAACAATTGACTTGAACAATTGAACAGGTTTCAGACCCCAAAGCATGTGGAGAGTCTCCATGGTCTCCATGGTCTCCATGTGGAGATGTGGGATGTGGTGCAGTTGGAGAAGATGGAGAGAGATGCGGATGCTGACTAGGCATTTTCACTCACTTGGGCTTCAGGCTTCAGGCTTCAGGCTTCATGCATATTTACAATGTACAGTATACAGCATCAAAGTCTTATTCCCATGCATTACTAGACATGTTTGGTACTTGCATATGCATGAGCCCCACATGATACCACTACATTGGTAGACGCCTACTCTTCGCAGTACATGTAAGCTCATATATATCACTGGTCTTATAAACTCTTCTACATTATTTGCATATACTCTATCTCAACAGAATTACCGCATCGTCACAAGCTCCTCGGCGCTGGTAGGGTGGATGGCAACACAGCTGTCGAAGTCCTGCTTGGTGGCGCCCATCTTGACAGCGACACCGAAGCCTTGAAGCATCTCACCGACACCGAGACCCAGGATGTGGAGGCCAACAACTTTTTCCTGGGGTCCAGCGCAGATGATCTTCATCTCAGTTGGGTTCTTGGCCTTCTCCTCGGCGGGCATGACATCGTAGAACATGGCCGTAAACTTGGTGTGGTAGATCTTGATCTTATCATCGCCGTAGCGCTCGCGGGCCTCGGGCTCAGTGAGACCGACACAACCGACCTCGGGGTGGGAGAAGACGACTGTGGGGATGTTCTCGTATGAGAGCTTGGATGACTTGAGCTCCGGGGGACCGAAAAGACGGCTGCCAAGTTGACGACCAGCGGCAATCGCAACTATATAAGGTGAGTGTGCGGATTTGAGGAGGATAAAGACACTTGTTACATACCTGGGGTCAGCTCGGCTTGACCTGTCACGTCACCAAGAGCGTAGACACCTTCGACAGAGGTGTTCTGGTACTCGTCAACCACAACGTGACCGCCGGCGTTCAGCTTCACGCCGGGGATGTTGAGGTTCAGGTCCTCGATCTCAGGGGCACGACCAACGGCCCAGAGCAGCTCGTTCACCTCAATCTCAGAGCCGTCGTGGCCAATGAGCTTGATCAACTTATCTTTGCCCTTGCCGTCACGGATGAGTTGCACTTCCTTGAAACCCGAGTGGTTACGGTGGAGCTTGACGCCGGAAGCCTCGTACCGATCGGTCATGGTCTTCTGGATCATGGGGTCGAACTTGCGGAGGAAGTTATCTCCGCGAATGAACATGTGGGTCTCGACGTTGATAGCGTTCAGGACGCCAGCAAGCTCGACAGCAATATAGCCAGCACCCACAACGGCAATCTTGGGGGGAAGATCCTCCATCTCAAAGAATCCGTCGCTGGTGATACCGTGCTCAGCACCGGGTACGGAGGGGATGTTGGGTCGGCCACCGGTGGCCAAGAGGATGTGCGGCGCAGTATAACGGGCACTGCCGGAGCCATCGGCAAGTTTGACCTCAATAGTCTGGGGCTCAACGAAGCCAGCGCGACCCTGAACGAGATCAATTCCTTCCCGATTCCAGTTGCGCTCGTAGGCGCCGTTCAGGCGCTTGATGACAGCGTCACGGGTGTTCTTGAAGTGGGTATAGTCCATAGCGATGTTATCAGGGATGTCATAGCCATAGCTCTTGCCAATGTGCAGCATCTCGTTGATGGTCGCGAAGTTCCAGGTCATTTTCTTGGGCACGCAGCTATACATGAGAGAAAAGATGTCAATTCACCGCATCGAACTAGCGTCTTGTCTGTGGAACTCACCCAACGTTGACACAGGTACCTCCGGACCGTCCGCTTTCCACAATCAAGGTCTTCTTGCCATACCAACCGGCGGCACGGCGAGCGCTTCCACTACCACCGCTACCACCGCCCAGGACGATGTAGTCATACTGCTGTGTTTCCACGGGGGCCATGGTGGATGATTGCTGACTGTCTCGAGTAGTAGATGAGGAAAAGTGTCGAGAAATGGTAGAAAGGCGGGACTGAGGGGCAATTAAGTCCGCGGAGGGAAGACGGGGAGAGTTGATGGACGCCAGAGTTCGGTTTACAGTCAAAGGAAGAAAATTCCCAGAAAGTTTCAGGGATGGAGAGACTCGAAAGTTGATCCGAGAATATCGAAGGGAGCGGGAGAGCATGGGGAGAGAGGGAAGAGGCTATGTACAAAATGAGGGGACAGACAAATCCGATAGAGTGACGATGTCGATTTCTCAGCGTAATCACGTGATAGATCTAGATCGAGAAATGAATGGTACATTTTGGTGTTGGGCCGGTATTAGGTCTCAGTGTTGGGCCTTTTGCAAGCCACCCAGCTATTGACAGTGAAATTTGGGATTTCTTACCTTCTACAGGTCACCTAACACTAGTATGGTATTGCGAATTGCACCCAGCACCGTTGTCTACCTCGGTTCGGTTATTTTGCTCAGTATTTCTGCAAATTCGATACTAAATTCAGTACTGCAGTAGTATATGTAGATGAACTGTTGTATTATGTTGAAAGATAGGAAATCCAAAAAGAGTGGCAAGTGACCAGCACGGCACCGTTGGAAGCATAGGAGGCAATCAAGCTTGCAGCTCAAGTTCCAGATAATTTGAACGAATCAATCATTGGAGCAACAAGAGCTCAAAATGGCAAAACAAAGATCAAACAAAGGGGATTGTCCTGCCCTGTGGATTTGAATGACTTGGGGTATATATGTGATAGGAAACATGAAACCATGAGTGGCAATGTGTGAGAGCAGCATAGGAGTCGAGGTTAAGAAATGGCATCGGTAGAAAATCACTATGCCAGAGTATACTCTCACTGTGAGGAGTGTATGCTGAGTTGTGACTTGGTGTCTCGACTAGTCTTTCAAATCATGATATGGGTAGCAGAGCAAAGAGGGATGAATGGCTGCTAGTGCAGGCACCACCGGAGTGTCTGGAGTGCAGGTATATCTGATCGGTGGTGAAGCACAAGAGGAAATGGCATTTGCACACTCTCCTGCGCTGCAGTTCCAGGTCGTGGTTTGCGACAGGAGGATTATTCGATGGGGAAGGACAGGGACCGAAAGGGGGTTGGGCTCGCAAATGCTGCTGAAATGGACCGTATGTTGAGAAAGAGTTGAATGTAACCTGAACCACAGGTTTCAGAGCCCAGTGGGCTCTTTATCTGTGTCCGGGGTAGATCAACATTCTAATGGGAGTAGGCGATGACGGCAAAGGAAATCAGGCAGAAGCACAGAGGAATATAGACAGAGCGTTCCATTTCAGCGTGGGAGTGATTCATTCTCGAGTGGGTTGTGTACAGTGTACAGTGTACAAAGTGTAGAATGTAGAGTGTAGAGTGCAGTGCAGTGCAGTGTCCAGAGGGAGGGGAGTGTGGGGAGAGGCGGTATGTTCGGCAGTATTGGATGATGTAAGCGCGTTGGGGCCTCAACAAAAACCTCAGTTCAACCTCTGCGTAAAGAGCGTGGATATTTATTTAAGACTTGTATTTGCGAGGGCTCAACTGCACGAGAATATGGTAGGGTCAGTCACGTCTGAGAAACTAGTGAACTGCAGAAGCCACAATATGCATTCCTATATACATCGTGCATAAGCACACTCCCGATCATTCTGTATCTTCTAATCTACAGCAGGCTTTATAAGCGTCCATAGTACATTTTTCATGTAGCTCTTACGCTCTAGTTTGGCTTTTCTTTTTCACGTCATTTTTGCCCATTTTCGAGTGCCTTCAGTTGATAATTTAGATCATCGAAGGGTGGGGATGTGAAAGGACTTATGGTCCCTGTTGTATAGTTCATCAGTGGCTTTTCTATGATAATGTACTGTTAAGCAAAGCCTTTTCTGGGCAATCCCTATCGCCCTTTTATATACGCTTGGTGATCTAGGAACACATTATGAGTACTAGCCGCTTCTACAGCAACGATCGACATGACTCCTACCCCTAGCTGCCTAGACTTACCATCCTGCTTCCGAGGGGGTCCCTGTGTAGGGTCAATAACACTCACCCCAAACACTCCACATTCACAATGAATGAAGAATGCAAGGGGATACCATCCACGCTTTGAATCCCCAACCAAATCAAGTATGATCAGCCAGCATACCTGAGGAAAACTGGATCCAGCCTTGCCAACCAATGGTGCAAGGCCCCTAGCTGCTCGGGTCTGCTAAATAACCCTGTCCTTTGATTATCAGCCAAATTTTTGTCTTAGAACAACACCCCAGGGTAAACGTGAACTGATCTTCCAGACGCGTTGCAATTTCTTTAACTCCAGGCCACTTTTCAATCACCTACTATATCATCGCCACAATGCGTGTCTCTGCTCTCTTCTTCGCTGCTGTCTTGTCTCTGGCTTCAGCCAAAAAGATCAACATGCACTGCAATTTTGCAGAGGACCACACTGGCATGGTTCAGGAGCCCTACTGCTGCCGTGATATGGCACCGGCACGAGGAAATTCTAAGGCCAACGAGGCAATGGACTGTGTGTATTTAAACGGTCTAAAGAAACGTTCATCTACTAATGCATATCTTCCAGGTGATAACCTCAAGCAGCCCCAATTGTGTGAAGATCAGTCGCGTCCGGCCTGCTGCTACTCTATTGTAAGTCATTGTTTAATTTGCGGATGTGCTGTTTGTTCTAACCTGTATTCTTTTACTTTTTTTCTAGGGCCCAAAGAAGATTTGCACTTCGCACGTTGTCTTCATGGATGCAGAGGATGTTTAAAGGCCTTGGACTCGAACCGCTAGATAGTGGATTTGAAATGGTGGGATGAGACCTTGCTTGTCCCCGGCTGTTAGATGTCGGTTTTTGCTGTGTAATAGACATCGGAGAATGTACATTATACTTTGTTTCTTGGATTCCACTCCTTGGATTGAATGATCTGTATACCAAGTCCACTAAGGGGATAATATTTTCATAGTTCGTTGAAGAGCTGCAACTAAGTTGACAGCATAGTCATTATGCATGAAAGTAAATAAAAAGCAATGCTAAATAATACACCAACGCCTGTTTGAAATGCTTAACGTGCTGTGTACAGTCACCAAACGCACAATGCTCTCAATCAGATGTTACCCCCAGCATCTCCTCGGTATTCTTGCGAAATAGCCTGTCCGCTAAGCCTGGTGTGGCTGCACAAAGGTTCAAGCAACATTCGGTGAATGGGTTGATATCAACCCCAGAAAAACGAGTGTGTGGCCAATCCGTGCCATAGACGACCCGGTCCGGTGCGGCGGAGAGAAATTCGCGTGCCATGCTCTGGAGATCGCGCATGTCGTGATCTTGACTGAGCCGATAAGGAGCGGACACCTTCACATATGTCTTCCCACCGCGTAAGAGCGAGATCAACGATGAGAATCCTTCAAGGGCGTAGGGGTTGAATGAGGAAGTATCTTGACCCCATGATGAAAGCTCCGGGCTGCCAAAATGGTCGATACAAATGCGCACGCCTAGATGAGGTAGAATCGATTCGACCATCGAGAGCATCTTGAGGGGAAGATATATTTCGATAATCCAATTATGTGCTCGGGCAATTTCAGCATGTTCGACCAAAGTTTTTTCCAGCTCAGTCCTATTCATAACTTTCCCTACAGACTTGAGGTTGACTCTCAATCCACGTACCCCCAGAGAATGCCACAGTTCCACCGTCTCGGGTTGGACGGTGGTAGGATCAACAACCACAACGCCTCGGCCGCGAGATGGACCTGTTTTCTGCAGCGCATCTATTAGACATGAGTTGTCCGTTCCGTAAATTGAAGGCTGCACAAAAACAACATTTTTGATGCCTAGTGCAGACTCAAATGCCAAAGCTTCGGTCAGCGAATGCGGATTTGGCTTGTATACTGCGGTTGGGGAGACGGGGAAACGGTCTGGTTCCACGACATGCATATGGCTGTCCCAAGACCTAGGAGGGAGTCGTGGTTTTGGAGATACACTCGCCGCTGTATGATTCCAACGTCGTTGCTCTACAAGAGTGGAGAGCGCAAGCGAAATTGATGCAGTCCCTTGAAATATATGTGTTGGCTGAGCAGTTGTCAACATTTTGCATAGATCCGAAACTGACAGACAAAGACTCTTTTAAAAATGGAAGAAACACAAGAGTTAGAAGAAGCCCAGAGGTTATACTCACAGAATTTCTTGTCCAGCAAGGAGTCGCCCTAAGGCACTTCAAAGATACCATGCCAGTTTCAGCGGTCAACGTCCGAAGCATGTACAATGCCAGCAGAGTTTTTTCTTTCTTTTTTTCAATGCAACTGGACACCTCGGCTGTGCCACAGCAACCCCCAAGGGATTTTCTCCACTGATCAGCTCGCACTTGTGACAAGGGTGAAAGGCTCGGAAGTCGTCCGGGGGCTATAAATTAATATAGATTGGCGAGCAAGCGGAGCCAAGTGGATATAGGAAGGTCCTCGCATGGTAGCCAGTCGAGGTAAATGTATCTAACAAGAGGAATATAGGTAGAAATAAGTAGTTGTATACAATATAAAAGTAGCGAAATAATGAAGAGTTAAGTGCTCGACCACCTTTGGAAATACCAAAAGCTCGGACGTTGACCGAAGCTCGTTCTGTTTGGCCGGGATGCCGAGCACCCATTTTTCTCTCTTCCACTTTTTGCCGACCCCGGATTCTCCTCCACTATGCGATGGGAGTTCAATCCCTATTATACGCTAGTCATTGTGGTCATCGCTTGTGGCGGCATTCCCAAGGGTAAGTCCAAATGGCGGGGTGCCTGGACGCGGGCTTACTTTTCCAGGCTATGATGAGGGTGGCTACAGTGGCAGCGTCACTCTGCCTTCTTTTAGGGCCGATTTTAATCTCATCCCATCCGACTGGGCCGACGATGCTGCGGGGCTAGCCAACCGGAAAGCGAACATCACCTCCTTTAATGTGCTGGGTGCTGCGCTCGGGGCTCTAGTAGTCCTCTATCTGAATGACCGACTAGGGCGCCTAGTAGCGTGGCGTTTTGCATGCATCGTCTGGGCTTCCGGCACACTGGTACAAATCTTCTCATCTGGTTTCTATGGGCTTCTCTTGTTTAGCCGCATCTGGGGCGGCTTGGGCGCCGGTGGTCTTACGGTGACTTCCCCGTTGTATCTGAGTGAGATTGCACCCACCAAGACACGAGGCCGGGTGGTTGGGCTCTATATGATCCTGCTCCTAGCCTCTCTGGCCATAGGTGAGTTTGGGCCCTGATATACTTTACATGTCGATACTAACTGGTCTCTTGTTCAGGGTTCTTCATCAATTACGGCGCCAGTGTTCACATGTCAGTCACTCGAGCCCAATACCGCCTCGTTCAGGCTATTGCTCTCATCCCCGTCGGTATCGCATTCGGCCTATCCTACCTTTGTCCTGAAAGTCCTCGATACCTCGCTTCGAAACAGCTTCACCGGGTTGGATTGGAGGCGTTGGCGCGTCTGCGTGGGAAGGATACCAATGATCCAAGCATCATTGAGGAGTTTGAGACCATTGATGCACAGGTGCGCGAGCAGGCCTCGGACCTAGCATCTGTCTCTCATTGGGCCATATTCAAGGAGACACAAAAGAACCCCAATTACCGGCAGCGGTTCTGGCTGCTTCTGACAATGCAGACCATCGCCCAGTGGACTGGTGGAAATGGCATCACGTATTATGTGACCAGCATATTCGGCGTAAGTCGCTGTTTGATCCGACACCGAGATTATCGACGCTGACAATATACTAGTACGCTGGGCTCACTGGGACTGCTGAATCCCTCATATCCTCCGGTGCATATGGTATTACTAAACTGATTTTCACTGTGGCCTTCTCATGGGGGCTGATCGATCTCATCGGTCGAAGACGCTGCGCACTCGCTGGACTAACCCTTCAACTAGCTGCACACGTCTACACGGGCATATACATGGGCCTCCGCCCCGATTCAGCAAATAACCAAAACGCCTCAAACGCAGCGATTGCCTCGGTCTTCGTCTACGCCGTCGGCTGGTCAATTGGTCTATGTACTATACCTTACCTCTATGGCACAGAGATCTTCCCCACGCGCATCCGCAATGTCAGCTATGCCATGAGTATGGCGCTGCACTGGTCTTTCCAGTTTGCCGTCGTTCGCGTCACCGGCGAAATGTTTGTGTCGCTCCATGTATGGGGAGCGTATCTCTTCTGGGCACTCATCTGCTTTCTTGGCATTGTCATTCTTGGCATCTGGATGCCCGAGACCAAAGGCGTTCCAATTGAGCGCATGGGTGACTTGTTCGACGGGCCTTGGTATTTACGCTGGCGGGCAAGGCCACAAGAATGCGTTGTTGCTTCGTCGACTTCCACCGCTACAAAGACTGTTGCCCTAAAGGACAGTCGCCTCAAGTCGCACGACTCGGCCTTTTGATTGCTTCTTTGGCTCTCATCATTTCTCGGCATTATAAACCATTCGATACCCCTTCTTTATTTAGCCCACACTGAGCGATACCGTTGCTTTTATATATCTCTTTGAACTCTTTTGTGCATGATACACCGCAACGTTAGACATGTATATATTTGGGAATCGTAAACATCAAACTAAGCCCATAAAGGGACTTTGGACAACTTATTGAGGAGGACCTCCCCATCCCTGCCCAAATCCAGTGGTCATGTTGGTGGTGATGGGCTGGGCGTACGAAAACGCCTCGAAAACCTCAGGTGTTATCTCGTACGATCCGGGGTCATCTATTGCCATGACAGCGTTTGGCATTCCGCCCAGCAGATGGGTGGGTGGCATTTGGGGCATTTCGCCAGCGCGCATGTCGAACCGTGCTCCTGGGTGGTGGAAGGTGTTGTAGCCTTGCATTAAAGAAGGTTCGGGTCCCGTCGGTTGGGCATGTGTGCTCATTGAAGTTTGGGGTTGAGGTTGATGCTGCCCAGGAGAAACATGGCGGGAAGGATTGCTATTAAGTGACGGCGACTGGCTGTGCTGAGGCCGATGGGGGTGAGTATAAGACGGACTTTGATGCTGAGTGTGGTCCTGGTCTGGTTCGGGTTGGCCAGCAGGCATTGCACCGTGGATGTTGATTTGGAGTTTTTGGAGCTCCACGGAGATGAGATTGAGTGCAGTCACGATGACCGGATTAGCAGCTTTGACTCTCTCCAAAGCGAAGATGCAGAACTTGAGTTTCTCGAGTGTTCCCGATGCGGCGTACTTCAGAGCTTGGATCTCGAGCAGGAAAATGGATGCTGCTGTGTAGATGCTGTACGCAAGGGAGAGGACGACATGGCTGTCGCCGAATGTTCGACGATAGAGATCGAAGAGGGAGAGGATAGTGGTTGCTGAAGCCATGCATTGTATTAGATGGCTTGAGTCATACGTTTCTTGTCGGACCTTGAGCAGGTCCCGCGAGCAGAGGATTGGGCGGTGGAGGAGAATGTTGATGGTATGGTAGAAACAGCTACAGTAGAATGACAGTTAGCACCAGTAAGGCAAGGGAGTAGACCGGGCACATACTTGAGAATCACAATATGACTTGGTGGAGAGTATGGAGGTAGATTCACTGCCGACAGTTTCAAGTATTCCGGTAGATCGTCCCACCAATCGGCCAGACTTTTACTCTGCTCCTGGACGCAGTCATAGAACTCGGAGGCTGTGCTTTGGCGATTGGGGTCATAGATGTGAATGAGGATCTGATTCAAGACCTCGGCCAGGCCACACATCTTCATGAAACATGAGGTTGAATGGGCCTGCGTGGGTGGATAGTGAGCACCATCTGGGAAAGTAACGCCGTGAGGTGTCCATGTTTCGATCTCAGCGGTGTCGTCGAGAATCATTCTTGGTGGGCTAACGCGCGAGTGCTGCATTGTTGGGGCACGGCCAAAGTATAAGGAGACCACTTTGTCCCAGAAATAACAACCCCAGAAGAGTCGGTTTCGTATTTCGATGTCCTCATCACTCAACTGGGCCGACCCCGAATACTTCCGGCTATCAATAGAGATACCCAAGTCGTCCAGCAGCCGGAAAGCCATCCCACTGTATAACCAGGCCTGTGTCCGATTCCCACGACCACATTCTTGAGCGCTGAGTAGCAGCAATGTCTGGATTGTTGGGATGCCTGCATATCCACTTTTGAGCGAGTCAAACACGCCTGTCAATGTACGATGGGAGAATTGCGCTCCTCCATCGTAGGAGTCGAGAAGGGGGCCGATCTGAGGCTCCGCTTTGCACCATCGCACCGAATGGGAGAGGATGGCGTTCAACAGAATATCCGAGTAGTAGGGTCCGTTGATTTTCATGTCACCTGTTCTTGTAGGTTAATATCATCGCGGTCTGAAAGAAGGAGGCTGGACAGACGTGTGAAGGCAGGACGATACACGAAGTTCCACAGTGGCTGAATCCAGCACCAGTGGGAGTCGAGAAGATATTGGAAAGGCTCCTGCAGACGATATCAGCAAGTAATTTTCAATAAACCAGCAGAAACAGTACCGGCATAGCAGCCATCTGCTCGAACGCCCTCTCCCGCCACGCACTATTAACCAGGCGCTCCTTGCGGGCTTCTAACTCCTGAGCGTAGTGAGAAGTCGATGCTGTTTCATTAACCGCACCACTGGGCAGTTGGAAGAGACTGGTCGGCCCGTGAAAGGAGATGCGACCGTCGTTTTCCACATTCAAGCCATCGAATTCCCGTGCGAGTTCTTGAGCATCGGGGTCGGCCTTGATCTTAGGACCGCTTGAACTGGACTCGGCCACCGAGGAAGGCGAGCTTGCCTTGCGCAATTCCGCTTCGCCCTCCCCGCGGGACTTGGAAAGTGCATCCTCAAGTTGTGCGACTCTAGTTTCGAGCTGTTTCGTATAGGAAAGAGTCGGGGCTCTGTACGAGCATCAGAATGAGGCAATGGCATAGATTAAGCAGATCACTCACAAGCTGTACACGCACGCCTCGCCTCGCGTAGCGCATCGCGAACACGACGGACTAGCTCCGTTGCATTTCACCTAAGCAGTCAGCTCAGCAATCTCGGTCTTTGTCCGAAATCCATACCTTTCGTTTGCGACAGGCCTCGCACGAGAAGGCGCTCTTCCGGGGGAGGGTTGTCTTGGGAGGCTCGGCCATTCCAGATGGAAAGCTTCGATTGTAACGAGGAGGGAGACCTCCATCGGAAGAAGTGACAAAATCAGGCGAAAAATTTTGGCCCCAATTCCTCGTGGGGCAGTGATCGCGGGGAATGCAAAACGTGAGATAGTGTTGACGTCTGCCTGAGTCTTTTGGGGGCTTTTGGAGAGTTTGGAGTAAAAACTGGGACTGTTGGGGAGAACGAGAGCCAATGAAGCCGATACTTGCTCCGCTGAAGAGCGAGGGAGAGGAAATAATTGGCGGAGGGCGGTGGGTCTTGGCGCTCCACTGTATAGGGACGAGACTACTGCGCGCTATATCTTCATATTTGCAATCTAAACTTATACTATTACAGCCTTATTTCTTGCCTTTCTTGCCTTTTCCCGTCTTCGGTGCATCACGGTCACTCTTGCCCTTCTTCCATCCAATCTTGCCCTCGTGTCGCTCGTTGGCATCATCCAGACGTTTCTTGTCCTTGTTGCTCAGCTTCACGTTGCTCTTTTTGACACTAGGTCCATTCAGCTCCACAGCACCTAGCTTGCGGGCAACCTTCTTATCCTTCTCGGTCTCGAACCATGTGCGCTTGGGTCGCGACATGATCTCGTGTCCGTGCTTCATCAGGTTCTCGCCCTTGTTGACTTGCATCTCGACCTGAGCAAACTGCTTCTCGGTCTTCTCCTCTTGCAAGACCTCTTGAACCTCATCAGCCAGATCATCCGCCTTTTGCGCCCAGCTATCAGCAACAGCTTGCTCAATCACACGACTGGCAATCTTGGCGCCTTGGGCCTTGCCGGCTCTCACGGCGAGCTTGACCACCTTGCGATCGGGCTCGGCAGCAATGGTACAGGCACGACCGGATCGACCGGCACGGGCAGTACGACCGACACGGTGCAGGTAGATCTCATGGCTCTGAGGGGCCTCGTAGTTGATAACAGTCTCAACACCCTTGATATCCAGACCACGAGAAGCGACATCGGTGGCTAGAAGGAAGGCAACCTTGCCATCTCTGAAGTTTTCCACGGATTTGATACGCTGTATCGAATGTTAGCATGTTACGTGGAGTATAAACTGGTGAGGACATACCTGTTCCTGGCTCAAACTACCGTGAAGCTCTCCAGCCTTCAATCCTAGTAGTCCGAAAATGATACGGACACGGTGCGCTTCTTTCTTCTGTCGGAAGAAAATGATCACACGCTTTGTGTAAACTTCTTTGCACAGGTGCAACAGATATCCAAGACGCTTTTCCTCACGACCAGGACGAAGACGCACAAACTCTTGGACAAGAGTTGATACAGTGTTCTTCTTAGCATCCACCATCAATCGCATGGGGCGGTTCATGCCAACACGGATAAGCTTGTCGACAGAGTCTGTCATGGTGGCAGAGAACAGCATCGTTTGACGCGACTTGGGGATTGTAGTGAGAATCTCATTCAATTCATCGGCGAAACCGTCTTCAAGCATACGATCAGCTTCGTCGAGAACCATAATCTCCAGGGTGTCAACTGTGAAACTCGGCGAGTTACGCATGTGGTCAATGAAACGACCGGGAGTAGCGATGATAACATCGGGGCGCTTCTTGAGCACATTCTCCTGCTCACGAAGACTGAAACCACCAATCAATTGACAGAATGTGACGTCTGTGAAAGTAGCCAATTTAACGGCAACATTGTAACACTGAACCGCTAACTCACGAGTAGGCATCAAGATCACAACACGACTTGTAGGAACCTTCCTGGGACGGAAGAGAAGACGCTCCAGGATTGGAACAACAAAAGCAGCAGTCTTTCCAGAACCAGTTACGGCGCTACCAACAATGTCCTTGCCCAGCAAAGCAACGGGAATAGCCTTGCGCTGAATGGGTGTCGGGTCAGTGAATCCAACCGAGGCCAAACCTCGAAGGATAGGGCGAGAGAGGTTAAATTCTTGGAAGGTCATCTTGGCCATGGAAGCCTTGATGTCGGTTTTCTCCTCGGGGGCAAAGAATGCTTTGCGCTTCTCGGCTTCCTCTTCGTCCACTTCGCTCTCTGCGTCGGAGCCTCCGTCGGAACCGATGTCGTCTGGGTGGCCGACAGGTGTGGCGACAGAGTCATTATCAGATGCAGTATCGTCGTCGTCTTCGTCTGCGTCCTCGTCCTCGGATTTGTCCTCGTCATTGTTTTCTGGCCCAGAGCCGACTTCAGGGCCTTCTGCCTCACTCTCCTCCTCGCCGTCAACACCCATACCGAATCCATCAGCGGCCATGAGTTCGTCGTCGTCGAATTCCACAGGCGCGCCAACTTCTGATGCGGCATCGTCCTCGGATGCGCTGGCGCTCTCCTCTGCGTCCTGTGCCTTCTTCTTTTGCTTTTTAAAGGCATCATCTTTCTTGGCCTGCCTCCGCTCAATGATGTCGTCAATATCCACGGCCTTCTTGTCACCAGACTTCTTCTGTTCATCAGCAGCACCCCAGCCATCGAAGCCTTCGGTGACACCACGATTGGCTGCGCCGCCAACATCAAACTCGAACTCGGGGTTCAGGACTCCGTCATCTTCTGTCGCATCCTCCGCAGCATCAATGTCCTCCTCATCGGACTCGGGCTCGGGCTCGGAGGCGGCGTTTTTCTTGTTCTTCTTGGCGTTCTTCAATTGCTGCTTTTCTTGCTGCTTTTGCTTCTTGTTCTTGGGCTTGGGGGCCTCGACTTCGCGCTTACGCTTCTTGTTGTCGACTGGGGCGTCGCCCATCATTTCGTTGTCCTCTTCATCGTCGAATCGGGGTGCGTCTTCGTTATCGGAGAGCGTGAAGACAAAATCGTCGTCTTTGGAACTCCTTGAGGGAGCCATCGTTCGGGCTGAGGCGTAAACCTGGGGAATTCAAGTGAATGAAGAATTCCTAATAAGACAAATTACCCCAGAGAAAAAAGAAGTCCTTGTAAACTCTGCAAGCTAGTCCCGCAGAGAAAATCGATCAACATGCAAAAAAAAAAGTTCCCCGGGCGGTGACGGGCAATTGGTGACATAAGCTGAATCTGACACCTGAGGAATGAGGTCCCAACATCGAAGTTCATGTGACTAAGTTAACGTTAACTTAATACGTGCGGGTCAGACCTTTATAAGTGCATAAATATCTAACCTTAAAATCTGTCACTACACATTCATACATTTCAAGGTTTTCTGATTTCACGTTCTTCTTGCTGTGGCTTGCGCCCTTCGTTTATGCACATAAGGCGCACCCTTCTTCCGATCCTCTCCACCCCATACATTCCCTTCTCACCATCCTTCGCCTCAACGTCGTGCATTGCGAAGCACTTCACGTTCCTCGGGCTGTTGTGCTTTGTAAGGTCTCATGTTGTACATGAAACCAGCAACATTTTCGTGCCAGTGACTGTGTGGCTTTGTTCTTCATTTTTGGGTCCTGGAAGGTACTTCAAGTTTGGCAAAATCATAGACTCTCCATCAGCCATCGTGGTTCCGTCGAAGAATGCAGTGTGACAGATATCCACTTTCTGAGCCCCCGAGCTGGCCACCAGTTCTGACGTCCTTGTTAAAGATGGTGGACGAGGAAACCATCAATTCAAACCACCAGTCCTCCTTGTGTGAAACTTGAGGGTCCCATTTGTTCAAAGGGAAAGGAGAAGGATCATAGATTGCCTCATTATGGTGTGATGTGAATGTGGGCTTGCCATTTTCAACAATAGGGAACAGGCGGGTAGGATTTTTATATGCCATCAATTGAGGCAGACGCTGAGCATTGGACCATGCACGATATTCGGGGGTATCAAGGTTGGCTTCTGCCCAGTTGCATACTGCATCATTGTTGTCAACCTCCTCATCGGCAATGGGTCTCAAGGGGTTGCTCAGACTCTCAGATGCAGACCGCGGCCCAGCGGAGCCCACGTCTTTGCCATACTGTGGTTCCGCAAGTGTTCGGTAAACGCTGGAGGTCTGGTCAACCCTCGGTCCATCTCTTGCTTCGGGAAGTCTGTCGGGACACGCGTCGTTCTCGTCATCCCTCGGCCGATTCTGCCGTTGGGGATAAATACTCATTATGAGAGCGATCTTGGCCTCGCCAACTTCAGCCCACCGCAAATCTACCGTATCCTGGATACAGGCGTTCTTTTCATTCTCATCCAGTGCCAATAATCTCAAGAATTCTGCGCGTAGGGTGGGGTTGAGTTGCTTGAAAAATGCACCATCGTCGATGGCGTCAGATTTGTTGAAGACGACACCATCAGGAGAAATAGCTTCTTTGCCCAGTGGATGAATATCACTGTTATCTATTGAATCTTCTTTGGACTTGGGTTGATCAAACTGTCGGTGCCAGACACTGGACATCACCGTTATACGCCATGGCTGGATCTGTTCGATCTATAAGATGAATAGCTCAACTTGCGATGGTTCAGATGAGACTCGCATTTTGGGTGACACAGCTTTGCATTATTTGTTTGTTTGTTTTTTCTTTTGTCTTTTGTCTTTTGTCTTTTGTCTTTTTGCGGATCAAGGATACCTGCTGGCCTACCAAACAGCTCGTCAGCATATCGGTCTTGTTGTCAAGGATGACGGTTGATGATGGCCACTTGTTCACTTATCCTGAACTATTGCCTTATTCAGCGTATGACATAGGCCTTCTTGTTTCCTGTTGATTGACTGTAACGTTGCGGTAGAAATATGCTGCAACCTCAGGGTTCCCTGTTCTGGGCTCCAGTACTTGTACGTATCGCGGTGTGATTGTCGAAATAGAAGAGAGACGGGAATGAGTATTGAGTCGGAATTAAAAGACAGGGGTTGATGATTGGAAGACCAATGACAAGGGGCGCTGTGCGAGAGATAATGAGACGCTTAAATTGGAGATAAAAACGGCCTCGCCGCCGCGAAGTATGGCGTCTCTATAAGTCCTTTTCCCCCCAAACTGTCGCTATTTTGGCGCGCATGGCCCCTCGGCATTGCTTAACATTTTGTAGCCATCTCTTCATGATTAATGGTCTTTAAGAATTCCCAGGAATAACCGTCTCCTTAACGGCTTCTTCAGCCACATAGTATCCTCTCATAGTACCCAAAAATGGATTTTCCAGTTGGGCTTAAATCAATTACTTACTACGCTTTCTTGAATTCCTTTCCCTCGAGTAAGAAAAGACACTGTACAAATTCATTTGAAACAGAAAATGAATATATATATCTGGTGCACTCATGTACATGAACATCTGCGGCCCACCAAATTTTCTCCCCCGCACACATCCACCATGTTATCCATACTTCGCAAGGCACGCTTAAAGGATAAGGAGATGCGAATATTGATGCTGTAGGACTTTTCTCCAAGCGTTGAGACCGAGCTAATTCTTGAAGGGGTCTTGACAATGCGGGCAAGACGACCATCGTCAAACGCATCATGAATGAGGATGTCACTACGGTCAGCCCAACCCTGGGCTTCATCATCAAAACCATTGACTTTATGGGGTAAGTTCCCGCCAAATTTGCAGAATCAAATGCTGATCTGTCACAGATACAAACTCAACATTTGTGAGTCCGAACTGCAGGAGACCGCAATCGGGGACTGACGCCACCAGGGGATGTCGGAGGACAAAAAACTCTCCGATCCTATTGGAAAAACTACTTTGAAAAGACTGACACGCTCGTATGGGTTGTGGATGCCACTGATCGCCTTCGCGTGAACGATTGTCGACAGGAACTCGCGGGTCTACTACTTGAAGAGGTTCGGAAGTCCCCGCAGTGGTTGGATATTCACTGACTGGACGACAGCGACTTACGGGAGCCAGCTTGCTGGTCTTTCTGAACAAGACAGATGTGGAACATTGCATGGATGAGCAGGAGGTTCGCGAGGTAGGGTTTTGTTGCCTTTCTAATGGACCAAAGGACCCAACTGACTTCTACAGCGACTGGATTTGGACTCCATCAAAACACACAAGTGGACTATCTTGCCCTGCAGTGCAATGACCGGCACAAACTTGACTGAAGGCTTAGAATGGGTGGTACAGGATGCTAAAGACCGGCTATTTCTCTACTGACGGTCTCAACATTATGTTCACGCCGGTGGACCCGTTGAATTTGCATTTGGCCTCTCTGAATCTCATTCTCTCCGGGCTTGCAGTTCAAGTATACAATGACATCTGATAGGTGGAAGTATACGTGTCAGATCAGAGAAGTTGTATTCCGAGACTGCAAGGCACAAAGTGATATATCATTATATCTCACCCCTGAAACCAGGAAATAGGACACAACGATGAAACAAGACAACAGACACAACATCACATCGAATTCACCAAGAAAAAGAAAAGGTTGAAATCCTGAAAAAAACCACGTAGAAGCCGGGAGAAGACATCACTGCGGGGCGGTCCACACGTAAACAAACCCTTAAACACGCTCTAGGGGATGCACCTATGCATGGAATAGCTGCAACTGTGGATAAATTAAAGGCGCATCTCGTTTCTCGTCATTTTGTTCTCAGAAAAGCCGAACTCCTCGACTAATGTGCGCCGATCGAGCCCGATCGATTCCTGATTTAATTTCAACAGGGCGGAGAACTCAGCCTTCCTCTCTTCCCCTCCGCCACTACTCACACCATGACTGAAGGCTCCGACGTCAATGATTTCCTGGAGCGCATTCGGGAACTAGGTGAGCGGCGCGACAAGGAAGACGAAGAGCGCACGAAGAAATTGGAGGAAGAGATTCTGCAGGGCCGGAAAGAAAGACAGGCCCGGAGAGCTGGTACACCCCTGTTCCCCGTGTGGTAGTGGTGGCAGGCTGCTAACGAGTTGGCAGAGCGAGCACGATCTCTCGCCCTCACAGATGACTCCCCAACCCTCAATGTCGCGCGACTGAGCGCTTCCTCCATCAGCCCCGGCTCGATCAACCCACCGGAACACCTTGAGCCGACTCCGCGACAAGAGACGGATGTAGAGGAGAAGCTGGAAAACCCCGAGTCCACTGAGAGGCGTGGATCAGTTCAAGACATGGATTCACCTCGAGCACGCCCTCCGTTGTCTCGTAGCCGAGCAGGGACCTTGTCATGGCAGCAACGTCCCTCGTCGCGGGACTTTGGGTCTCCCACAGCATCCCCAACCCGATCGCCGACGCGTGCAAGTCACTTGAGAACCTTGTCCACGGCATCAGATGAAAACAGGCTGTCCCGCTCCTTCGGATTTGCGCGTCCAAAAGACTCGTCTCCCCAGAGCCCGGAACGAAGTATTGGCTCGCCATATCATAGAAGGGAAGAACGATCGGATAGTGTCACAGAGCCGAATGTCCCTCAACTGCCGACACCAAGTCTGGACCAAGAACCAAGTGCCGAGGTTGAGAAGCGAGAGCCAGAAAGGTCGCCGTCCATTCCAAGAACCGCGTCTCGGGATAGCAACACAAGCCATCGCTTCTCTGTATCGTCAGTATCCGGGCTAGGTTCGCCAGTGCATCTGTCGGAGGCTCAAAAGCTCGAGCCAGTACAGGCTGATTCTTTCTTCGAGGAGCCGGCACCAGAATCTCCCACCCAGCGGCGCATCATGTCACCTGAGCGAACGCGGTCAACATCGCCTACAAAGGGTCTCGGGGGTTTCGTTCAAAGTGCGATGATGAGACGGTCAGACAGCGTGTCTAAACGATGGAGTGCTCAGATTCCGCAAGGACTGAGTCGGTCCAACTCGATCGTCTCAAATCGCAGTAGTGTAGCAGGTCCAAGTATGAGTGAAATGGTCCCTCCTTCTGCTCGTGGAGTTGGCCGTGACACTCCCACTCTTTCTCAAAGACCAGGCTCCAGCCACAGCGAAGCAGCCACAGAAAAAACCGAGAGACCGATAACACCTCCTGGTCCCCCACCTGCATTCTCAGATAGAGACAGTGTGCGTGCCGAGGGAAGCCCGAGCAGACCAAGTCGTCCCCTTCACTCCAGGTCCGCCAGTTCAGTGACCACTGACGGCAACGATTCTGCTTTTGTCTCACGCACTATGGATCCCAGACGCTGGAGCCCCAGCAAGGCTACCTGGCTAGAGAGTGCTCTCAACCGGCCTGAGTCGCCACGCTCTACCCGGCCCCCCTCGCAGCCCTCCTGGGCCAGGGATCGACAATCTCGAGGCAGTGTCGACATGGGACGAGTGAGCAATTTCAAGGAGGTCACCCCCATTGGTTTGATGAGAACACCCCCGCCGGGACTTCAGTTCAAGAGGTCCAGTGCGTCTGGCCCGTCACTGCCTGAAAGCCCGGGGAACAAAGCGAAAGAAACTGTCACTGAGTCCCCATCTGTTCTGGGTACCCCCGTTGCTAGCAAAGTGAAGGAGACAATCCCAGAATCTCCATCTGCTCTTGAAGCCCCTGAGGCCAAGGCAGAAGAGATTCCAGAATCCCCCTCTGTTCTTGAGACTTCTGATACCAGCATGGTAAACCGGTCGATTCCTCAATCTCCCTCTGTTGGTAGTTCTGAACACGTCCAACCGAGGGAAACAGTCCCCGAGTCTCCTTCGCCCGCTGAAGAACTCCCATCCACACCTGCCAAGGAGACGGCGGAGCAACTCCAATCTGTCTCTTTTACTGAAGAAAAAAGCGAACCACAAGAATCGGCAGCTGAAGCATCCACAGAGCTTGCAGAACCCGAAGCTGCCCCCGAGCCTGAATCGACTCCGACTCGCCGGCTGCCTCCCTCATCGTTGAGTCCCAGACCAAATTTCTCCATCTCTACATCCTCCCGGGAGCCTATTTCACCCAAGCTCAAGCAACCACAATCTCCGGTTGTTGATTTTAGAGCCAATCTTCGGAAACGAGAGGTTGTCAAGGATAGCGGACCCGAGAAAGAACCAGAGTTCAAGAACGTATTCGGACGGCTCAAGAAGACCGAAACCCGCAACTATGTTGCCCCTGATGAACTGAAGGGCAATATCCTACGCGGCAAAGCTGCTCTCAATTCCACTGGAGGGCCAAAGAAAACTCCGCGAGTTGATGAGTTCAAGGACAGCCTTGTGAAACGCAAAGATGAAATGAAGGCAGGTGGAGGCTCTATTAGACGAAACACTGCTGGAGAGAAGGACGCGCCGCCAAAGCCAACCGATGTTATCCCAGAAGCTATTGCTGTTCGACAAAGCATGTCCAGACCGAAAAGTATCAAGCGAGTTTCTGCCGATGAACCAATCTCTCCCTCCCAAAGCATCGGCTCCTCACGAGCATCTCACGATCGACAATCATTCTCGCCGTTCCCTACTTCGCCCGCAAAAGAGATCAGCTCGTCGAGAACGTCCCAGGAACGACAGCCCTGGCCCCCATCTCCTGCCAATGACGACCCTGCGTGGCCGTTGAAGGACACTGTCGTGTTCCCTGTCGCCCAGGAAGTCCAGCCATTGTCCTCATTCCCTGTCGATCATGCCACTAAAGAGAAAGAGTCGGAAAAAGTGATTCCGGCAACTGAATCCCTCCAGGACACTCCTACGCTAGAATCTTCGAGCCAAGAACAAGACCGTGCGATGGTGGACCAAATTGAGCCAAGCGTCACCAAGGAACAGGATGCTCCCACCGAGCCTATCTCCCCGGTCCACAACTTGCCACCGGTCCCCGTCGCGCAAGCTACTGTGAACCCAACTCCGGCAGGAAAAGGCAAATTAGCAGGCCGAATCAATCCCGCGTTGGTTGGTTTGCTGTCTCGCGGCCCGCCCATGGCCACTGAAGGACCGAAGAGGGACCTCCCGACCCCGGTCTCTACTGAGAAAGACTCCGCCTCGCCCTCTGCACCTTTAACCCATGTCACCAAAGAGCGTGCCAGAGGCCCTAAGAGAAGACTTCCCAAGGCAACTACTGCTTCGACCCCGTCCCCCCGGGATGATTCTGAGGTTGGTGCTATTTCATACTTTGAAACCATCCCATCACAGACTCCTCCAATCCCTGTTGAGTCTTCGGACGACACGTCGGATCGCCTCTCGCAACCTGATTCAGATCTGATTCCTGACATCGATTTCCCCCGTTCAGGCAGCCCGGTCACCGAACTCCCTGTGAATAGTCCCTTGCAGGAAACCCTCGAACGCGAACCCACTTCTCCAATCCCTGCTGCGTCTTTGGACGATACGTCAGATCGTCTCTCCCAATCTGATTCAGCCTCCCTTTCTGACACCGAAAACCCTCGTTCAGTCAGCCCACTCGCCATTCAACCCCCCGTGAACATCGCATTACCGGATACGGATATCCCCGAAAGCAAACCTGCGCTCTCGATCCCTGTTGAGTCTTCGGACGATGTGTCGGATCACATCTCACAACCTGATTCGGTTCTACTGTCTGACACCGAAAATCCCCCATTGGCCAGCTCGGTTACTACACAATCCCCTGTGAATATTCCATTACAGAGTAGCCTCGAGTTGGAGCCCGAGCAACGACCTCAAACTCGTTCCTTAACAACGGACTTTGATATATTTCCCTCTCCTGGTTCCTCCCCTAGTCTCAACACTGCATCCCTTGCTCTTGACAGCCCTGAAGGCATGAATGCATCAGACAGACCGCCCGTCCCGCCAAAATCTAGTCCACCCACATCTCCATTGCCTTCAACGCCCAAGTCACTATGGGGACAGCGAAATCGGTTTGCGTCGTCGTCTCCATCCCCTCTCAGAACAAGCTACAAAGAGAACCGCATGGATACACCCCCGACTCCTCCGCAGAAGAACATCCCCGGTGTCACAGTAGCCGCCGCACGGGGCTTTGTCCCATGCGCCACAAGCCAGTCCTCCCCTCCTGTGCCCCCAAAGCAAGATGATTTTATGCTCAACAAGCCCACTGATCCGCGCCGACTGTCCCGTAAGATGTCAGCACCGTCATTGGTTGCACAAGCTAGCGAGGCACGAGAGGTCATTGCGGGATTTTTCAAGACATTCCCCAATCCTCGAGACCGCATGGATATTGACCCGCAGGTGATGTTGATGAAGAAACCGGAGGAGTCCAAGATCAGAACACTCAAGCTGCAGATATGGGAACTCACGGGCGACGGCAGACGCCAGGAACTTCCCTCTCACCAAGAGTATATTCTCTATCAAGGCAGCATGTATCTCTGCGTGCATTCGTTTGAGGCTCAGGGGGGTAACAGCTCAGAAGTTTATCTCTGGTGTGGAGACGATGTCCCTGATGCTTCGGTGGACAGTGAACAGATGTTCGCTCGCAAAGTAGCCCGCGAAAATAGCACCAAGCTGCAGGTCATTCGACAAGGCAAAGAGCCAGTTCGCTTTATCCAAGCGCTTGGTGGCATCATGATCACCCGTCGAGGATCCAGCTCTCGCCACAACTCATCGGCCCTCTACATGCTTTGTGGCCGGAAACATTTGGGACAGATGACCTTTGATGAGATCGACTACTCGTTGCGCAATCTCTGCTCTGGCTTCCCATATGTTGTTTCAGCTCCCTTTGGCAAGCTTTACTTATGGAAGGGCAAGGGCAGTGGGCCTGAAGAGACGGGTGCCGCTCGTCTCATCGGAATGGACCTGGGTCTGACTGGGGAGTTTGAAGAAGTCGCCGAGGGCGAAGAACCGGAAGACTTCTTCGATGTCTTTGCTGGTCCCCGAGAGGCAGCTCCTCACATGTGCCAAGATTATTGGCAGCTCAAGCCAAAATATTCCCAGTTCCGTACACGGCTTCTGCGTGTCGACCACGAATTAGGGCAACCGACTCGTTTCTGGAATCTACGCCGCCCTGGATCAGGTTCGCCCGTGGTGAAGCCCAACGACTGCATTCAGGAAATCGAACCTTTCTGCTACCGCGATCTCACCGACAAGGATGTTTACGTTCTGGACACGTTCTTTGAGATCTACGTGTAAGTAAATCCCCTTCTATGCGAACAACCTCATACTAATCCCCTGATAGGATCATCGGCGAGCAAGCCTCACAAAAGTCGGCTGATTTCGCGTCCGCGGTTGTCTTCGCGCACGAGTATGGTATCCTGGCCACATCTCTCCAGGACCGACCTTTCATCCCGAAGACTTTCGTTGCGCTGGGTGGTGTCGCCGACCGCTGCCAAAGCGCATTCCGCAAATGGAACCCACGCACTCTCAACGCACCATTTGTATTCCCTCTGGATGTGGTTATTGAAGCCATGCGAGCTCCAGGGGACAATTGAGGTACATTTTATTTTCTGTGCATATTCCGGCATTTCGGGGGGAGTCTATCTTCATAGAGCATCTGGGATGTAGATAAAGGTCACGCATTGGAGGTGTAATTAGGCATCTCGGTTGATATTGAACGTTATTTTATTGAGCATGTTAATATTTGAGAGCAGATATAATAGTAGATATAGTAATAGATGTGCTAGTAGAGTGATATATGAGAAGAGAAGTATACAATACTCCTACACTATGAGATGTCAAGGTTGTTGGTCTCAAACGGAGATAAAAAAAACGGGACCCTCATGTCGCTATCTCCTAGCGTCTCCGACTTCCCCCAAATTATTATCTACAACTTGAATATGCCGTGATTCTTCTCTTCAACATGGATCCCTTTCTGCTAAAGGACCCTGCGGTGCCATTCCGCTCGTCCACCGATCACCTGCACCACACGTGGGCCAAGACCTTCTTCTCGCGCCCGGAGCTGTACATCCGCCCTCAGACTATCCCCGAGATCCAGCAGCTGGTGACCCTCGCTCGTCGCTGTCGTCGTCGAATTGTCACTGTGGGCAGTGGCCACTCGCCCTCCGATCTTACCTGCACCTCCTCGTGGCTCGTCAACCTCGATGACTTCAACCGCATCCTGAATGTCGACTCCGAAACCGGCTTGGTCACCGTCGAAGCGGGCATCCGACTGAGTGAACTGGGCACACAGCTGGAAAAGCATGGCTTAACACTCGCGAACTTGGGGAGCATTGACAGCCAGTCCATAGCGGGTGTCATTGCGACGGGCACACATGGCAGCTCCCTTCACCATGGACTGCTGTCGGAATGCATTGAATCGCTTGGCCTGGTACTTGCCAATGGCCAGCTGGTCCGTTGCAGCCCGACAAACAACCCGGATCTATTCCGCGCCGGACTAGTCTCACTCGGAGCCCTCGGAATTGTTGTCGAGGTCACCTTGAAGGCGACGCGAACATTCAACATTGCCTGGCGCCAGGAGCGGTATTCGCTATCTCGCGTGCTGAGTGAATGGACCCAGGGGCTGTGGACAGATCACGAGTTTGTGCGCGTGTGGTGGTTGCCATATGAGAAGGGTGCTATTGTCTGGCGCGCTGAGAAGACCGACCTTCCTCTGCGTGCCCCCCCAAGAAACTTCTACGGAGATTCACTCGGCTACCATATCTACCATAACCTGCTTGCACTTTCTTCCTATGTCCCGCGCATTTTGCCCTGGGTCGAATGGTTCGTCTTTGGCATGCAATATGGATTCCGACCTGGCTCGACTGTGACTGAGGCCGTTGAGCCCGCACGTTCAGGACTGTTGATGAACTGTCTGTTTTCACAGTTCGTGAACGAGTGGGCTCTTCCTCTGGACAAAGGACCTGAAGCCATCCTTCGCCTTTCGGCTTGGTTGAACGGCGATTTGAAAACCGCCCAAATCCCATTCTCTCCCAAGGGACTGTGGGTGCACTGCCCAGTCGAGGTACGGGTCTCGGACTCATCACTAAACACGAAACCCCGTCCCTTTCTGGACCCGACTTCTCGCGATGGACCCACGCTGTACTTGAACGCGACTCTCTACCGGCCCTACCTCCGCGACCCGCCTTGCAGAGAACGATACTATGAAGCATTCGAATGGCTCATGCGGGACATGGGCGCCAAACCTCACTGGGCGAAGAACTTCCGCACTCTAGGCCCCTCCGAGTTGGGCAACGCGTACCGCGAAGACATGGACTCGTGGTTGAAGGTCCGGCAAGAAGTCGACCCGGACGGCATGTTTCTGGGCGAATGGCATCGCCGCAATTTACCCCTGACTGAAGCATCTGACTCAGACGAGCGGCTGCCCCTCCTGGAGCGCGAGCAGGAGCGTCGCAAATTGAATATCAGTGGCGTCGGTGATGGTATAGAATGGGTAGGTGATCGCCGGGGGCAGGTCGAGTCGGACCACCCGACGGAGATGACATATGACTTCCCAGAGTCCTCTAGTCCCACGGCCAGCGAGGAAAGCTTTGATTTGCTTGCAAAGGGGGAAGCGAGCATCTTACTCCCCGGGCCCGAGATGAGCAATTAGGCTCCCAAGCAAACAATATCGGTGTTGGTCGGGTGCATGTCCCGACTTTCCCTGCCCTGCTGATCGTGTCGAACACTTCTGGCCGGCTCGGTCGCTGTGCTTATTGTGGCTTCTTTGTTTTTCAGTCCTTGTTCTTTTGCTTCCGGTTCTGCGTTAGGGTTTTAGATCGGGCAATTTGGTATGTTCGGGCTTAGCGCACGTTAACACAACGGTCCCAGGAGAGCTCTTTTCACCTGTTGATTCATTTTCTCTAATATGCTACCCATATTGTTACTATTCTTTTGCTTTTTTCCCCTTGGGCTTCCTCGCCAAGGCAAAATCTAACCTTGTGGTCTCCGATGCTGATTGGAATCTGTCGGTGAAAGCCCTGCGTGTTTTTGATGCATGGTGCTCGTCAGGTGTCCTTTCATAGGGCCGTTCATCTGGATGAATTCAATAGTCAATAATTCTACCTTGACCATCTACATTACCTGACACAGGTTTCTTTTCTGGTATCGGGGAGAGGGTCTGTCTACCCTTGGCCTTTGTCTCTTCTCCCCTGTCCCCTGTCCCCTGTCCCTTGTCCCATGTCCCAGCTGAAAGACCTGAGAAACCTCCAGCTTGCACAAATCCATTTCAGAGAGGATCTAGCCACCGTGGCAAACCCGGGATTCAGCATTCAAGTCTATATCTGTAAAGCCGAATGGGACCAGCGTGATAGACTGCAACTCGCACTGGGAGTATACGAGCACGCTGAAGATCAATGCAAAGATCTAGCCTAGACAACTGTTCAGATTAGGGCTGCCTCTCTGGGCCCAGGATATCTGTTTGTCTTGTGCAGGCTGTGCCAGGGTTATACATAGAAGGATTTCACAAAGAGAAGCAGACCAACAGACCCCGCTTCAGGCTTAAGCGCTATCCCCTGAGCAAGACAAAAAGACCGAAAGATCAATTGCTGGGTATTCGTGACACGTTTCGGTGCAGCTGGTTGACTAGGATTTTTTTATACTTCGGTTCTTTGGTTTGTCTTGCCATCTCCCACCTCCCTCCGTCTCTTTCCCTCCTCATCTCCCCGTCTCTCCTCTCTCTCTCTCCCTCTCTCTCTCTCAGCATTGACCCCTCCACCGCACTTCATGCAGGTTGACAGGGGTCTCGATTGGTGCAACATGTGCTCCCAATTCCATTTCCCTCAGCCGCCAGGATCACACGTGTTGGGAGGGGGAGAACTAACGTGTGACGAGACGTTGCAAAGCCCTCAATGCATTGGATTCTGCCCGAAGAGCATGCGGCTCGGACCGTGCTCAACTGCGCCCAAATGATCCCCGGTCATCCTGGGCTCTGTCGCGCTTGTCTGACAGACTCTCCACGTCACTGGTAAATATACCCTGTGCTTATATGCGGGGCCTTTTGATATCAAGGCCTGTCCATTTCACCCCCACTTGCTCCCTTTTTTTTTAATTCTTTGCTGGCCGAAGATTGTTCCTACTCCTTCCGAGCTCTATATATATTTCTTGACTACAACTCTGTCATCTCTTTGGATTTTGCTGTCCCAGCGACATAATCAGTGGATCGTGCTGTGCGCAAGATGATACAGTCCAATACATCATGGCAACCAAAGCTTCGCCCCAAGGGCTTTCTCCATAGCATTGACGACTTTGCGGCAGTGGCCTCACTATCTGAGCTGGAACACCGGACCAGGACGGGGGAGGACAAACGCGACCAGCGCGTTTTTCGGGTCAAGCGCAAGCATGTTCTGAAGGCGTGTGATCGCTGTCGCGTGAAAAAGACCAAGGTATGTTAACAGTCCTGGGACTGTGGATATCCCCTAACACAGTACAGTGCGATGGGAAACAACCTTGCAACCGCTGCTCGGCATACAACCACCCATGTTTGTTCCGCGAGCGAAAGGCCACCCAAACCAAAGTATACTCTCGAGGGTGAGTGCATGGTTTCAAGGTTTCTAATTGTGAGCGTGAGTTAATCGATGCATGGATGCAGCTTCGTCGAAATGCTCGAATCCCACCACTCACTGGTAGTCAAGGCTCTTCAGAAACTCTACAATCTCTGCATCAACAACGAAGGCTTCCCTGGCGAGCCTCTTGCTGAAGCACCAGGTGGCCACCCTCTCACGCACGCAATTCTAGATCGACTGGGACTAATCAAACAAGCCGAGGAGAACGCTGACGAACCAGACGAAGACTCCGAGGATCTACGATATCTGCGCTTGTTATCAACATCGACAGAATGTAGCGTCACAGCTGAGCCTTCGCCTGAGCCTATGACGCCTCCAGAATCTTCGCCAACAACGCTATCAAACTCGATATGCCCTATGCCTACACCCATGCCGAATCGCAGAGGCACGGCCGGAAACTGGCAGTGGGACCTTCAGCCGATTCAACAGCCAAGCTACAGCTACTCTGATGCCGGATACCATGATTTGATGGCCATGCAGCGGTCATCCATGAACGCATCGGATATGGGCACTGATATCTCGCCTCCCATTGAACTACCGGCCGACCTTTCGAGTCTATCGCATAACCATCAGCATAGCCCGCCGTTTCCATATGTCCTTGATGGCTGCTGTGATACTGCGACTGCACAGGCTGATGTTAAACCTGTCCTGTCTCGACATCATAGCCTGATGAACACACCCCCGCATTCGCAGCTGCACTCGCATGCGCATCCTACAGCGGCCACTTTGCCTGGTGATATGATTGGCAACTTTCAATTCAAGGCACCTGATTCTGAGTTCTATCAAGGATTTACGCCTGGCTGGTCTTTCCCCTCTGAGTAGACTTTTCATCCGCTGCAGTAAGATCTAACCTGTCTCTCGTTCACGCTAGCTCGGGTTTGAGCAGAAGCTGCTGGGCAGCTTTTATATTTCACTTTTTACCTATACCGTGCCATTTTTAGCGTTCTTTTCCTTATTCTCTTATCTCTTGATCATTTTCAGTTCTATCTATCGCTCTATACTCCCACATCCATTTGTGAAGCCAGAACCACAGCCACTCCTTGGATTGGTAATGGTCTTGGATCTGACATTATCAGCACGGAGCATGGAGTAAGGAACATCCAGGATACAAGACAGGACATATGTCTGGCCTATTGATCTTGCCCTGACCATTCGCTTTCGTGTTTTTCTCGAGCTCAGATCTTTCTTTGGATCGTTATTCTTCTTATCCCTCAGGCTCTTCAAATCAGGTATCTAGTTTGAGACATACCCTATCAATCTAGGTACTAGTCCGTGGCCTCCGAGCTCATAAGCATTAAGTTCCAATTGTGTTGCCCAGAGTCTAGGGGCCTTGTTTTGTACAAAGTTGGAAAGTTTGTATGATACACGGGTCTACGTGTCCATATACATTGTATAGCAAAAGAAAGCTAGCAACTTCAGCTCAAATCCAAGGGAATCATAGTACACTATGTTCCTTGTCGCGAACTGGGATGAGCTCGGCGTGGGGGTATGTGACACATTGACCCTGCGCGTGAGTGGCTTGATGACCCTGTAGTGCGATGACACTAGGTAGAGATTATGGTCATGGCGATGTATGTTGTGTTATCTAGACAGTACTGCATGAAGCTATAGTCACAAGTCACCCAGAGACGGAGACGAACTCTCCAACCTTAGAAATATTATTTGATGAACATTTGAATTTAAATCTGATTTTGGGGCCAAGTCCTCACGTCTACTAAACAGACGTGAATAATGGAAAATGCACATACACACGAGGGAAAAGAAAAAGTAATAAATCAAATAGAAACCCCGAAGCTACCCAATGAATAGTAGAATGACCACAAGAAAAAACAGACATCATGTTATTCGACCTTTCAAGAAACAAAGCATGCCAAGTTCCATGTCACACAAGTCTCAAGTACAATCGGTCAATCAATGCAAGAGAAAGGGAATCAATCCTCGTCCTCCGTTTCCGTGTTGGTGTCGCTGGTATCGCCTGCGTCGCCATCGGTGTCACTCTCACTGGAGTCATCGGAATCCTTGGGCGTCCTCTTCTTGGGTGGTTGACCCGTCTTGAGAGCTTGCATTTGGCCGGCGATGGAGTCTGGAGAAGAGTTAGTAAATGATACTCGAGACAGGGAATTGATGGGAACTCACCCTCGTCGGGTTCACTGATATCGTCGTCCTCTTCCAACGCGGCGGCCTTGGCTGGGTCTTCGATGTGCAGGGTGATTTGTGTTGAGTAGTCGAGACCCAGGTAGCTGTCACAGAGCATGTTGAGGACGAAGGTGAAATCGCCGACCTGCGGAGGAGCCTGGAACTGCATCTTGAGAGTCTGGACGTTGAAAGTGGGCTTGCCGGCCTCATCGAAGATCGGCTTGTCGAAGGTGGTAAATGTAAAAGGTGGGACGGCCATCTTGCCCTGCTTGGCGTCTGCGAGGAAGATGTTCCAGCGGGGGGAGTGGTCGCGGGCGAGGTACGGGGCGTGAGCGAGAGGTGGCTGGATAGTCTCAATCTTGTTCTCGACCTTCTTGCCATCCACAAGCTTGGTAGCGCGATTCTTCGCAGGTTTGCGTCCCATCAGGGCCTCGAGGTCGTCTTCATCAGGGTCGATGTCTTCCAGATCTACCTCGTTCACTGGAGGCACGGATGTGCTCCCAGGAGGAATGAACCGTGCCTTGACAACCAGCTGTACCAGACTGCTGGGGGTAATGACCTTCTCACCCATGACCTTGAAGAAGATCTTCTCGGGCTGGAGAACAGGAAGTTGCTGGGCGACGGAAACGGCATCGACGTATTGCTTTTCAGACAGGAGACCGGCCCCGACGGTCAGACTGCGTCGTTGGTTCTCGGGAAGAGTCATGAACTTTTGAACGGTGAAGTGCTCCTTGACATCTTCGCCTTCGACGGACTTGACGACGGCTTCGTTGAAGTTGGGGAGTTGCAGTAGGGGCGAGGAGCCCGGGGAAACGGCCTGGATGAGGTTCTGAGAGGTTTTGTAAGCACCGATGATGGGTCCAATGCTACCAAAGGCAAGGGAAATGGCAGTGAAAGCTTCGGAGAGAGACAGAGCAACAGGAGCGGCTTCGTATTTTTCTGCGGAGATCAGTCAGTATAGTAGATTAAATGAGAGACGTCTGTTCGACATACCAGCATTAAGAGAGGCGTCACCTAGATCAATGCGACCCAGGTAAGCCCAGAGCAAAGCCAACGCCTTGCGGCGAGAGGAGTTGTCCATCTGCTTCAGAGCCTCACGGTCCTTGGCCGAGAGGAACGAAGAATCATCTGCCAACACGCGCTTCTCAAGCTTAGCCAGACCGGACTCGGCCTGAGCGCCCTTGAGCATGTCCTTGAATTCCTCGCCAGACGACAAGGCACTGATGATGCCACCTTCGGGGATATCTTCCTTGTACTCGCGGAAAATGTTTCCGGCACTGGCCACAAGAACACGTTCCTTGGTGTAGCGCTGGGATCCATACCACCACTTTCCGACAATATAAGGCAGAAGAACACCCAAAAGAGCACCATAGACCATCAAGACGTACTTGCCATTGCCCTCCATGACAATGAATTGGGGAAGGGCAATACCAATGCTGAAGCTCTGCTTGCCGTCGGGGTGGCCATACTGAAGGTAGTTGTTGCGGACCTCCTCGTCGGTCAAAGCCTTGTAGGCCTTGGTCAGCTCGACGAAGCGCTCATTGAGCATATCCATGGTCTCATTCTTGGAAGGATCAGGACGGATTTTATCCGGGTGGTAGATCAACGACATGCGCTTATAATGTCTGGAAATAGCTTTCTCATCGGCGCTCTATTTGCGAATAAATTGTTAGCTTGTGCTTCTATACCAGCAGCCCTGCCTTGAACAGGACAACTCACCCTCGAGACACCCAAAATGTCATAAGGATCATATGCCTTCACCACGGTCCGTGCCGTGACGACAATTAAATAGATCATCCATGCCATGACGGCATATCCGAGAATCACGGTAACGATGCGCTTAATTCGGCGCTCTTTGCGCAGACGCTTGCGCTTCTGCGCGTCAATGAGATCTGCATGTTCTGGTTTGAAGTCGGATTTGATGCGGGGAGCGGTGTTCTCAAGCTCTGTAGGCGAACAATCATTAGGTCGGGTCAATCATGATTTTCTAGACCAGACTCACCTTTGCTAGGACGTAGAAGGTTGTAGGTCAGAGGAAGTGTGACCAGGCCGGTCAAAGTGAGGATGAAAAAGGGGAAGAATTGTCCCTAATACTTCAGTCAGTACTCTTGCTTCTTGCTGGTATGAATTCCTTACCTGCTCATCGTATGTGTAGTCTGACGACATCGTGCGGCGCTTTCAAGGTACAGCGGTGCCGCTGTCCGCGGAATTTAAAGATCGTGTTGCACAGGGCTGTTGACAATAGCCTGGAAAATGTAATAGGGCGCAATACTGAGTTGAAGATAAATAGCAGAAGCTTATTGAGAGCCCAAAAGCATGGCCCGAAACAAAGGAGTGAAGGGAGAGACAATATCGCACTTCCTGATCTGGTGATGACCGTGTCCTCAAGGGTCTCACCGCCTGCCTGAAGTGGGGCTCGATGGGCAGATGTTAGCGGTGAACAATTACCTTACTTGTCACCATTTAGCTATTCAATTACATGCTCTGCTTGTCACCATCTACTTGGTACTACTAGATTCACTTGCACCTGTTGATATCTTGATATGTAATTTTGCTCCTGGCTACATATATACAAAACTCAGAGCTAGTCATGAGAAATTTCCAAAGCTCAATGCTGCCATTCCCACCCCCTTCTGTTTGGGGGACAAAAACAGAAACATCACACACATTCCTCCTCTCACTCTCATCACCTCACCTTGCCTGAGAGGGAACTCAAGTGTCAACAACTCAAGGTCGGACACGAACTCAACCAATACAGGCAGAGCGTGATAACTCAACAGTGACTCATTTTTGGTATGTGACTGAATCAACAGACCAGTATCACGGCCGGGTCAAAGAGGACCAATCCAATGTCTGAAACATCTTCATTGCTGCAAGTCAGGGACCCGGGTATCCGTGGAATCTGTGTTCTCGTTGTGGTTGGGCGCTTTTGAGGTGGCAGACGCGGGGTGTTGCCTTTGGCGTTTTTTGTGTTTGTCGAACGCGGATCATAACGTCGCAAATTCATTAAGGTGGGTTTTTTTTGTCTTTTCATGGACCGAAAAAAAAGTGGAAGGAAAATAAACCGCTGGGAGTTTCCAGGCTGGGTATTTGAACGTTCAATCTCCAAGGGCATGGCCACTTGGGCTGGATTGAGTCAGAATGGTTGTTATGGTGTCATGGTAAGTGTTGAGTGATACTCACGAGTCGATATAGTCAAGTCCGCCGAAATACTCGAGCATACGATCACAGAGACTCATGTCATCACCCGGCTCTCCGCCGAACAGACGATATTGTTCATCTTGGCCTGCTCCCAGCCCCGTTGGGCGTTCACGGGTCTGCCATGCTGTATACCCAAAGTGCCATATCGGGGCGGGGGCTACAGCTGGTGAGCCACATGAAGTGCATGGAGAGTTTTCGATAGACACAGGCTCACAGAAGGCGTTCTGAGGTGTCCGAATGGATGCCGGGTCAGGTTGAAATGTTATAGATCGGTTGCGAGAACGAGGACGGGTGCGACGTCTGTTATGCCGGCCCATTCTAGAGAAAAGAAGTAAAGAGTTTTAGAGCGACCATCACCCCTGAGGACGAGATGAGGTGAAAAAAGCGCAGTCCCAGGGGTGTGGCTTTATAAGTAGAAAAAAAAAGGTGCGTGAGTCACTATAAAACGACCCACTTTCGGGTCCCACTGGGAGATCTCCCCAAGGGATGAGGTCCTTTGTGACTCGAACATCGCGTGATTTACACATTTTGAGCACGTTATTCTGCCTGTTTTGCCTGGAATGCAAGCACGCTATAGTTAGCACGTTATTCACTTATATATGAACCATGTGAGTCTACTATGACTACTATGATGACGCCAAATATGATACAAAAACCCAACACATGACGACAAGCCCCCGATGCCGGTGCATTAGTGCCGGCCCGACTGGCGATCGTGTCAGGCAACGGAGTGGTCCCGATTTCTCCCTATTTCTCCCTACGGAGATGGTCTGACTCTCCGAGCAGAGTTTTCATACCTTGCATATCTCATTCTTTGTCGTGTTCTAGAATTTCCTTTTGCAGAACATCAAAGAACATGGAAGAATTAGAAACATGCCAAAAAAAAAAGTCAATCACCGCAGAACAAAGAATATACTATTCTCCCCTTTAATTCGAGCCCTAATTATAGACCCCCTTGCCAAGTGAAACCACTAAGGAAAAACAAACATCTTGATTTCAATGCTCTCCCTGGCAGCCCCATCTTGAAACTCAGGGTCAACAAATGCTGAGTGTGGGACGCTGACCCCTTTGTCGCTGTCAAATTGCGTAAAGACCAGAGGCTCGTTCGGCTGTTGACAGCCCAGATAGTACCACTTCTGGTCTGGACTGAAGGCATACCGGCCCAGTTCATTCCAGCCATGAGGCAACATCAGCCGCGTGGGAATGCTGTCGCGTGGATTCACCGAGTTCCAGTCACAAACTGCAAGGGGATCTCGCTGAATGGTTTTCAACGGCCGCCACACATTAACAATCAGGACCCGGCCAGCGAGGAGACGTGTCCGTTCCTGCAGGTCGGGTATAATCGACTCCAGATGGTGCAAGGCCCCTTCGGCGGTGAAGTCTGAATGCACGCTATGTGCCGGTGCGCGATTGTCGGCATGCAAGGATGCATCTGTCGCGAGGCACCGAACCCGATGTGCAAAAGTTACCGTCCTTGTTGCGCCAGTCCTGCAACCTGATTTAGTGAAATGAAACATGGTCAGGGGATTTACGCTGACATTTGGCGCACTAGTTCCTCGGTCTGAGGGATGATGGTGTCATGAACCTGTCCTTCATCCGTGGCATCCCCAGGCATATCATGTGACGCATATGCAAAGCCATTCTTGTCCAGCGAGAAGCTCGATTCCTGGCCTCGGATGTCATGCACTCGCACTGGGTGCATCTCATCATGAGCACGCAATGCCTTGGCACCTTCCTCAGGCTTCCCGTTGGTAAAGTCAACCTGGACACGATTGTCACCCACGGGTGCTCTCCAGAACTTGAGCTCCGTGTCGACATGCTTAGCTGGATATTCGAAATGATCCCCCATGTTGAAAGCGATCGGTGACCTGCTGCGACCCACCGTCTGGGGAAACTGGGGTTATAAGGACCTGCGTCGTGGGCAAAAGCTAACAATGATCGGCAGTCTCGGGGTCCGGTTTGGGTGCATAAAAAGCGAAGCTCCAGAGGAAATCTTCATTTCTGTACGGGATTGGGGCATTAATGCTTGCCTCCCAACTGATCAGCGCTCTACCAAGACAGTAATACGAGTACGAACCCGAGGTGGAGAGCAACATTTCCTTGAAACGAAAACGTTTCACTGTGTATCACTTTGTATCACTTGGTTTACTTGGATGTTCAAGTCAAGTCTCAGATGGAGTATTTGGACATAGATATATATTCATAATGTACATGGAGTCATAATATCATCGCAGTATAGACAGTGAAAAGACAGAAGGACCCAGAATAAACATCTGACATCTGTCAACAACAATTCCACATGCAACTACCAACCCAAAGCAAACATGCTTGGCCGTGTCACTGCAGCCTGTAGGTCGATAGAAATGCTTCTGCTATTCCAGGCCAAACTCAAACCCCGACGGTCTCGAGGTGTTTGGTGCAAGCCAATGGATTGGAAAGAAAAATAAGTATAAAATTAAATTAGGAGAATGTTGAGCAAGAGTGGTGTTAGGATGTTCATGTTCATTCATCCCATCGGTCAGCGTTGGCGGCCACGAACTCTCGATAAGAGTGCCAGGTATCACGGATACGGCGGGAGGCGTTGTGCAACCAGGTCATGATTGGTGGAGTTGGATATAGTTTGGAGGTATTGGAGGTGGAAGTTTGAAGATCAAGCCGGTTTGATCGAATGTAGATGATTGTGATATGCAAGATTCTAGTTCAGCGAAGACATAGCAGACTATATATAACTAGTAGACATGTAGCAATTTGTCAGATGAGTTGTAACCTTGAGGTCTGGCCTTTGAATACTAAGACGTTTGCCACTATTCAGATGTATAAGCCGAACCAGATTTTGACGTGGGTCTCGGCCCGGACACCCGAGCTGATTCATGAACTGGGGCTAGATCTATGAATATGAACTTGATGTTATTCCCGCTGTATGCTATATGCTGTACGCTGTGCTGTATGCTATTTATGCAGATCCTCGAATAATGGCAAGCATTTCGTCCCCCTTGGGTGCTGTAGTCAGGTTCTCATAGCCAGTGGCCGTCACCAGGATATCATCCTCAATACGCACTCCACCAATGTGTACATATTTGTCTGCAACATCGAAATCAATAAACCGGGCAAAGGGCTGTTTGCGCGCATCGGCAAGAGCCAAAGGCGAAAAGTACAATCCTGGTTCAACGGTGACAACCATGCCTTCTTCTAGAACCGGCGCAGACGCAGTGCAAGGCGAAAGGCAGGTAGTGGCCCAGTGTGGTCGGCTCTGACCAAAGGCCATGATTGATTTCTCGGAGACATCATGCACTTCCAAGCCAACATGATGTCCGAGTCCATGGGGTAGGAAGACCTTGGAAGCCCCAGACTGGCGGATCTCAGAAACTGCGCCGTTCTTGAGCACACCAAGCGCTTGGAGTCCCTCAATAGCAATGTCATGGGCTAGAGTGTGTAGAGACAGATAGCGGACTCCCTTGCGCATCCCCTGGATACACTCCTCCTGCATACGCTCTACGAGTTCATAAATATCACGAGCATAGTGGCTCGGCCATTCCCCAGACAGGGGGAAAGTCCGTGTCACATCACTTGCATAGCAATTCCACTCCGCACCAGCATCAAGACAGACAAGAGGCTTCTTATGGAGAGATTCATTATTCCGGTCATAGTGGAGGACTGCTGCGTTAGGCCCTGATGCGGCGATGATCTGGTATGCCTGATTGCGAGCGCCATTAGAAACGCAGGTGTCTAGGAATGACCCTTCAATCTCTGACTCGTTTGTAAAGCTCTGGATGCGTTCAAGAATCTCGCGGTGTGCAAGATCCGAGACCTTGTTCGCCTGGCGAATCATTCGGATTTCATATTCATCCTTAATACCTCTGGCTGCATCCATCGCAGGCATGAGCTTCACCAATTCGAGAGGCGCATCAGCAGGAAGGTGATCGGGCTTCTCCGATTGATGAACAAGATACAATTCACTGCCCTGCTTGCGCTCATCAAGCCATGTCTGAATTCCTTCCTTCACGGCCGATTGATAGAGTACTCGATCCACATCATATTGATCCAATGCATCCTCTCTTGAGAGGGTCGGTCCCATCCAGATAGCCCGGTGAAGATCAAAGTCGGGGACATAAAGGGTCAACAGGTCTTGTTCAATATCGTACGTTAGCGAACAATCGGGTTCGTCAACTCCGCTCAAATAATAAAAGTATCGTCGTTGCCGGAAGGGGCGCGACTGGTCCGAGTCACGAAGGTTGATAGTTGGCTGCCCAGAAAGGAAGATCAAGCCACTCGAAGCCTTAAGCTTTCGGGCAACATTGCGCGCGTGATGCTTAGCTAGGGCGAATTAGCTGAGAGGGCGAAGGGAAGGGAAAGGGGAAGGGAAAGGGGAGGGTCAAGGAGACGGACCTGGGTACTTATCGCAGGAAGTAGGAGTTGCCAGACGAATGTCGTAGGAGTCAACTGAATTGATCATGATCTCAGCCAAGGAGGAGCCCCGAGAGCCCTGGGCTGAACTAGTCGCTCGCATGGATGAGAGGGGTCACTTTGGCAGCAAGGAGGGGAGGGAAGCCGAGGGGTAGTAGCAAGAAAGGGAAATCAAGGCTTAGAAACCAAGTTTTGTATGATAGGTAGTCAAGAGGGGCTGACTAGGAGAAGAGACAGAGAGAGAGAGTCTGTCAGCCTTGAGAGTTGGAGACCCGAAAGCGTCTTAGATAACTTCCCGTTCTCCTCTCAACTTCAACTTCCAACTCTCTTCTCTTCCCTGTTCCCTGTCTTCGTTACTTCTCCGTTTTCCATCGCTCTTCTTTATTCCTCTATTCTATTTTGTTTATTGCAATCAATGAACCATGCACGGTTCTGAGGCGAGCCCCGGGCTCCTGCCATCCACCTTGAGAACGGTGATAGGCACTCCGACGTCACCGCTCCTCTCCCCGACCGACCCGTCTCTCTCCCAGCAACAAATCCAGTCAAATCTCCAAAATGTTCTCTCGTCGCTCTCTGAATTTCGTCCTGAGATCGTGGCCGCCAGTGGCAACTCGACCGGCTCGACCGGCAAGGGCATCCTGATTGGGATCTTGTCCGCTTTTGGCTCGGCCGCCGTCGCCTTTGTCGTGCTAGCGATATTCTTTTTCTTTAAATACACCCGCCGCGGGCGAATTATGCTGGATCGCATTGGTCGACCTGGTGAATATGACGACGAGCAGGCCTTTGCGCGCGAGGAAGAGGCGGCGCTAGAGTCCATGGATGACCTGGCGCGGTCAGAATACTTACGAGCCAAAGGTATGGCAATGCATGTCCAAAACTCGCCTGGTTGATTTGCTAATGATGCGCAGCTTTCGTACAAGGAAACCCGCCCGAGTCCGTACAAACCGATATCTCGCTTTCACAATTCCTCGCCATTCAAGAGAAGGGTGTCTCCGCCTGGGAGTTCCAGCCAGAGTTGGAGATTGCCAACTGCTTTGTGGAAGCACGCACAGAGATTGAGTTTTTTGACTCCGAGTGTAGTGTACAGACCAACCTGCCCATCCCGAAGCAGAATGAGGTCTACTACTGGGAAGCCAAAATCTACGATAAGCCCGAGTCGACAATGATCGGGATCGGCCTCAGTACTAAGCCGTATCCTTTGTTCCGAATGCCTGGTATGTCCAAAACTTATTCCTCAACGGGCAATCTGCTAACTGCTTCCAGGCCTCCACAAATCCTCTGTTGCCTACGAGTCCACCGGACACCGCCGACTTAATCAACCGTTCACACCAACCCCATACGGCCCTCCTCTACTTCAAGGCGATGTTATCGGTGTAGGCTATCGGCCCCGATCAGGCACCATCTTCTTTACCCGCAACGGCAAGAGGCTCGAAGACGTCGCCCATAACTATCGCTCCCAAAACCTCTTCCCTACAATTGGCGCCAACGGGCCTTGTACCGTTCACGTCAACTTCGGACAAATGGGATTCGTCTTCATTGAAGGCAACGTCAAGAAATGGGGCTTGGCCCCCATGACCGGCAGCCTGGCCCCACCCCCACCATATGGTAGCGAGCAAGGCAGCATCCTGCTCGAGTCGGGCCGTGAGAGCGCGGCTCAAATCTCCCAACGCGTGTATCAAAATGCCAATTACGCCGCCTCAGGTTCAAGTGTTAGGATCCCTCCGGCGGCCAGCCCAGGCCCTGCTCGATCACCCACTGACATTTCCCTCGCCCAGCTGGCCCACATCCCTTCCAATGAAGATGCTGGTGAGGGATCCAGTCGTTTTGCTGGTGACGAAGAGCATGCCCCAGAGATTGAAGAGCCTGAGATGCCACCACCAGAGTACTCCAGCCCTGGCAGCAGTCGCAGGGGCAGTGATGCCTCCCTAGAATATCCCCCCAGAGGCTCAGAGGACTCCCACTCTCCATCCAATGAACCCACGGAATTTGAGTCAAATCTGCCCAGTTACCAGACTGTGGTGGCCCGAGACTGGCCTCAACACTCAATAGAGGGGATTGACCCCTGATACAGCGTCTTTGTTATGAACATAGCTTCCTCTGTCATTTCTTTGTTTTATTTAGCGGGTTTACGGGATGGCGTTACAAGCAAATCGGGCTGATTTCTGGGATTGGGACTGGGCGAGAGTCAATGAATCATGTATAGGACGTTGTCCAGTGTTTTACACTAGCCCAGTGCATATACACGTAGACAGGAAGTGAAAAGAGACCGTATAAATGGTCGCCAAGAGCTCAGATCCTCTGCCAAGACTCGAAGCTTTGATCTCTGTCTTCCTCTTGACGCGTCTCCATCAAATATCAAACATCAAATATCAAATATCCATCAAAAGTTCATATCAAACTGTCTCTCCGGATTGCCATACCCGCATCTCCACCAGATCTCTCCACTGTCTTGAATCTCCACCCAATACGAGATCCGCATGAACTCCGGGGCTGGAATTCCGCCTCTCGAACATCACTTCTGTCTCTAGCTGCTATTTTCATACTGGGAGACGCAGCAGCCCAGAACGCAAGATTATCTGTTTAATTTCTTTTTCCTTGTTCGCCTGTTTAGTCGGAACCCATCGGAGCTGTGAATCAGTCTGCTGAAGCACCGCGATTGGCGCTCTCCCAGCTTGGGTCGGTTCAATCGTCAGCTCACTGTTCGTGTCTCAGATTCCCATGGAAAGTGCGACAATGGCCGACCAAGCCACATTCCAAGTCATTGTCTTGGTAAGTTTGATTGGTTTCTTGCAGATTCCACGTGCACAGCCATGTGTCGGGGTTGCTGCCCAGCCCGATCATTGGACCTCATCTCCCACATGTGTTCTGGGTCTCTGGCATATCGAACTTCTTACCTACACATGCACTCTTGCAGAATGCTAACTCGCCCAGGGACCAACGGGAGGACCCCGTGAAGACAGCGTCACAGGCATTCTTGTCCGATCGACCTCTACAAAGTGGTCGCCAGACTCTGTGGTAGCCGTGGACGCGGGTACCCTTCTTGCGGGAATCATCCGACTGCTGGAGCGATACATCCCAGAATGCAAGGATGATCAGGGATTGATGACAAGTGGGCCCTTTCAGGGGCTCGAATTGCCCTACCAAACAGCACAGGCAAATGCAGCTCATGTCTTTCGTGAAATCATTGGCGCTGTACTCATAACCCACCCTCATCTGGATCATATCTCAGGTTTGGCCATCAACACTCCGATCTTGGAGGCTGGGGCTGGCCCAAAGCCGGTGGCTGCGTTGCCGTCAGTGTTATCCGCCATCAAGAACCACATGTTCAACGATGTCATCTGGCCGAACTTGTCCGATGAGGATGGCGGTGCTGGTTTACTCACATACCAGCGCTTGGTAGAAGGTGGAAACCCTCGCTTCGGTCGTGGTGACAGCAGAGGCTATGTCAGAGCCTGTAATGGCTTGTTGACAAAGTGCCTGAGTATCAGTCATGGAAAGTGCAAACAACGGTATCATCCAGAAAGCGGTATACATCATCGCGCTGGGAGTACTGTCTTTGCAGAACATCAGTTGATGATTCCTTCGAGGGCGATTTCGGTCGACCAGACCGATGGCAGGTAAGTTCATACCTCGACTTTTCCAATGAGCTGAGTTGCTAAAACGTGCAGTTTCTATTCTCCTGCTCGCTCTCCTCGTATTTTCCCCTCTAACCCCAAAGAACCCCCTTTGGCAACAGTTGAGAGCTCGGCATTCTTCCTGCGCGATCATCGTACCGGTATTGAGATCATTGTGTTTGGTGACGTTGAACCTGACTCCGTGTCTCTCGAGTCTCTCAACAAGCGAGTCTGGGAGGCAGCAGCACCAAAGATTGCCTCGGGCAACCTACGGGCCATTTTTATCGAGTGTTCGTACAACGACAGCATCGACGATGCCTACCTGTATGGCCACATGTGTCCGCGACATTTGGTCTCGGAGCTTAGCGTGCTAGCTGCGAAAGTAGTGGAAGTGCGCGAAATAAACTCACCAGACAAAAAGCGCAAACGCGAGGCCGAAATTCCGGTCGTCCCCGAAGCTCGCAGCGAGCAAGTGAGCCCTCGATCGAAACGGTCCCAGAGTTATGCCGAAGAAAAAAGGCCGTCTGTTCCTCTTACTGAGCCTCGCTCACACCCAAGTGAGTCATTCGAGCTGCCACACGTACCTGCAGCTGCGCCTCCCGACTTTGGTGATGGGGGCGATCACGCAGATATGGTTGAAGAGCCAGAGCCCGAGGCCTGGGATGATACCAAGCCTCTCCCACTGGAAGGGTTGAAAGTTTACATCATTCATATCAAAGAACACCTTACTGATGGGCCACCTCCTGGTGATCTGATTCTAAGTGAGCTGCAGGCTCATGGCAAAGCGGCGCACCTGGGTTGCGAGTTCTTTATTCCTAACCCTTTGGAAGGAATATGGATATGATAGGCATGGTGAAGGAACGGGAGGCATTCTGATTTAATTTTCCGTTTTTGAGCGTTGGATTTATCATTTCTGTGTATTATAGCCAATCTTCAATTCTTGGTGCTAAACTGGATCTACATAAATCTTGAATATCCACACTAGCGTGGTACCGTCGGGGGTTCATTGGGATTTGTTGGACGATACTTGTTTGGCAGTGCTTTGAGCAGTCCATCGGCAGAGTAGTAGTTGTTCAGGTAAAACACTGCCAGCGTAAGTTTTAGAGCAGACCTTGTACTCACTAGGAAACTCACAGCGTGCAATGATAGCGAATGTATCACAGTTTTTCCACTTGGTGTCTTCGTTCACCAGACTTTTGCAACCTGCATAGTTGTATACCTCCGCCTGGCCGCCACCCAAATCTCTCGGGACTAAATCCTTGTTAGCTTCTCAATGACAGAGCAGAAGCAGAGCAACCCTAAACACTCACACTGATCGAAATTGCCAGCATGAATCAGCTCATGCGTGAAGACCGCACTAATAGTCTTGGACAGCAGATCGACATTTTTGCCGCGGACATCTCTCGTGTTCAGTTGACTGAATGTTGCCTGCTGGTTCACACCAGTCGATGGTTTGTTACAAAGCATAACCACATTCCCATCATTAGTGTGGTATGCAATAGCATGAACCACATCGCAAGGCGTCTGGTTTGGCCCAGGTGCAGGATTGAATCGCACATCTGCATATCCACGATCCCGGTCTCTGTAGACACCTGTAGTGATCTTGTTCAGATGCCCATCACCACAGACAACAGTAAGCCTATCCACTGATTCAGAATAGTCACCTGGAACCTTTGCTGCTGGACCGAGAGCATCTAAACACAGATTTTTAGTCGATACCCATAGTGTGATGTTGATAAACTTACTGACAATAGCCTCATACGCTGTAGCACCATGATCTCCAAAAAAGTCATCCAAAATACTGCGTCGACCTTGATCTTTGCAAGTTTCATACATCGAAGTCGGCTCATCGCCTGTTTCGTGCATTCGCTCCCACATCGCACAGGCTGTTCCTGTTTGACTTGACCATTGCAATACAGACTTTGCTTCTTCCATTGCTTGCCTAATATCCATTCGGTGGTTTCCGCAGTCACAGCTGCCATGAATGTTGTATGCCAGAGACTGTGAGGCCACTCCTAGGAGGAGGGCTGTGAGGAGCTTCATTGTTTCAAGGAATGATCTTTGCCGCAAGAATGACTGAGATCAAGAAGGTCGGGTAGAACGAAGTATGAGTAAAATCAGCCAGTCTCCTGCTTCAGGGGACTCAATGGAGGTATGTGCTTCGAATATCAGCTCACAAAGTCTTCAGATTCAGGGTGACATGGATACAGGTCCACCACCCTAGAGCACATCTACTTCGCCCCAATGTGATAGACTCAATCTTTGGGGGCCATGCAGCTGACAATTCTCTAGTCTATACTTGCCGAAGTAGGCAGAATGGAACGTTTTAGCAGTTGGGTTTCATCACATTCGCATCTATTCCTAACAATTGCAGACGAACAGCCCAATCAGTGGCAACAGCTGTAGTGGAGACATTCCGTGCCCAGAGAGAGAATATCTCCTTGACATTTCCAAACACACCACGAAACCGAAGCTGACGGGCGATGGCGCTGTTTCAGTATAAAGTCCCCTGCCAAGGGCCTCCACCGTGGGGGCCGAGAGGATACGACGTCGGGATAATAAGCACGATCAACGAATCCAACCTTGCAGAGCGTTAAGCTGACAGGGGCGATGAATCCTGTTCCTGGTCAAGTAATTGGGGGCGGTTGATCGACATTGAGCCGAATGTCAGACGCTAATCCCTTCTACTTTGGAAACAAAAGCTGCAGGAGAAGTTCTCAAGGCTGACGCAAGAACAAAATCACTCATTCAACGATCTTGCAGGATCCAGGTAGATCATCTGCCATTGGATTACATTTATGCTGGTGCTTACATGGGGCGAAGGCTGTGCGGGCCGTGTAATATCTTGTTATTATTGCATGACATGGTAGCTCATTTCCCAATGTTTCGAACCAAAAGGGAACTTGAATGGCATAGACGAAATTCACAGGAAAGAAGAAATCTCCTCGTTCCAGGTGCAAGTCCGAAGTCCACAAGTTCGCAAATATGCAACTTAGGGCTATCGTCTTCGGCGTACTTCTACTCGAAGCAGCCGCCATTCCATTTGGTGGCTCTTCATCTGGGACATTTTCATCGTCCTGCAGTGGCTCTGATTTATCTTGTCTTCGATCCCACTCTCCCACGAAGGCTCCAACCTCGTTACCTGGCTCATCCTCGTCTTCTTCGTCAATTGAAGCGACGAGCTCTCCTCAGTCCTCGCCTACCACATCCACTGCCAGTGTCTCTCCAACTTCTATGCTTAGCTCTTCATTTTCGAGGCCAGTGACTAGGAGCTCGAGTATCAAATCAAGCTCAAATGCATCCCCCCAGCCAGGAACGTCTACATCAAGCTCCCCTGGGAGTGTTACTTCTCCTACTCCAACCCCAGGGTCATCTTCAACTGGCTCTTTGACTAGGACTTCTACTCCTGTAACCTCATCTTCTGGGGCATCTCACTCCGGCTCATCTTCAATCGGAGACTCAACTGGATCTTCTGCTTCTTCTACTTCAGATTTGTCGACACCTGGCAGGTCGACCACGAGTTCATCGGCTCCCGGTTCTTCTATACTGGGCACATCTTCACCGAGCTCATCAATTCTTGAAAGCACTCGTGGAATATCTATACCTGGCTCTTCTATATCTGGGTCATCCACGCCTGGGAGCACTCCTGGAACATCTCCAGCTTCAACCCCATCGGGATCTGCGTCTGCATCATCTATCCTGGGGTCTTCTACATCTAGAAGTGCGTCTAATACTTCTGCCTATGCTGACACAAGCGTATCCTCATCTGCACCATCGACACCTGGTACAGCAAGCTCTCAGCAGCCGACTTCCACCTCTACACCGCCGATAATTACCATTACATCTCTTTCTACCTCCTCGGCGAGCACAGTCACAGGCGTTACCAAAAACACCCTCATTGAGACGACGGATAAAGATGGACACCACACAGAAGTTGCCTTCTTCTGGCACTGCTGGTTTTGTGGCGGAGGTGGAATCTTGGCTTGGGGGATCGGTACGTTATGCAACGTTTATCACAGCACAAAGCTCACATCAAAGCAGGACCCAATCCCGGAATTTATCCTCCGCCTCCTGAACCTCCGATAGCAAACTGGCCGACTATCACTATTGGACCCGATGCGGTGCCTACACCTGAGCCGGAAGCGTCAGCATCCCAGCCGTCATCTACTGCCACATCCTGTATCTCTACCTCGACTGTGACCAATACCTGGGCTTCATGTACATCCGTTACCAGTGGAACCAGCTCAGGAACTCCTGTTCTCACCGAAAGTTGCAAGACAAGCACATTAGTAGAGACTGGCTGCAGTCTCACCTCCACAGATACTACCACGACGGCCAGCCCAGAGTGTACTACCAAGACAGTGACCAATAGCTGGGTATCATGTACACCAGTTACCTCAGGCACGCGTTCGGGAACTCCCGTGTTGAGCAATAGCTGCACTACAAGTACATCGCTAGTGACGGGTTGCAGTGCCACACCCTCTTCGACATCAACTTCGGCAACTTCAACGCCCTTCTCCTGCACAATTGCTGTGAAAGCCAGCCCATTCGCTACGCTGACGGACCCCATTCCTGATGTTGCAGACACTTCCTTTTCTGCCGGAGCTTCATCGACTGATTCTCGTCCTGGATCGAGTAGCTCTAGTGTGCAAGCAACGAGCACATCCCATACTAGCTTCATTAGAACAACTACAAAGTCAAGCAGCTCTGGAACAAGCTCAGCCTCGTCAAGTTCAACTTCTGCAATTGAGAGCAGCTCATCAACGATCTCACGCACTACAAACACATCGTCCTCGGCCACCTCAGCATCAGCAACAGCAACAAAATCTTGCACTGGAGGAAACGGGCAAACCTATCCTGTTTCCCTTCTGAACACGGATGGCTCCACATCCGGAAACCTCGACAAGTTCTGCATCAAAGCCGCTGGTCAGACAGACTGGCCCTACAAGCAGACCTTTGATGGTGAATATGCCGGAGACACCAAAGTAGTAATGGAAGTTTCAACACAGAAGGGATGCAAAGCCCCATATGATGGAGAAATCTCAGCCGACTACTGCAAGGAATACATGAATCTGCTGGCCAACGACTGCGACACCGACAGTGGCAACAAGCATGGCGGGACCGTCTCCACAGATGAATGTTACATCTTCAGTCTGAGTGTGACATCCGAATCCAAACTCAGCTGCAAAGGTGGCGATGGATGGACATTCCCAGTCGACATGTTGAATGAGAGCGACAAGATGGGCAGCGGAATGATTGACAATTTCTGCACTAATATCGTACTGAACACCAAAGACGGATTTCATGAAGACTATACAGGCTTGGGAGAGACTGACAATGAATGCACCATAACTCTCAACTTGGATGGCTGCGAGGGGGAGCCGAAAATGTCGAAGGAAGAATGCGTTCATTATGTTGGCCAGATTGCCAATGACTGTGATAGAGACAGTGGTGATAAGCATGGTGGTATATTCGATGTTGGAAACTGCCTGTCCTTCAACATGACCATGTATGATCCATATGTCGTGTTCGCGAGTTAGTACATAGCTAGTTCTGCTATGATTATGTTAATATTTTCTTGTTTGAGTCATATTGAATGTTTTGTGGAATAAAGCTACTAGACTAGATGATCGGTGAGCCTTTTGAGACTTGAAAGGCCTGATGGATAGGGTATGGCTTAGTTATGTGGCAAAGTATGATCCACAATGGCTATTGATGTACATCGTTGGCGAAGCAAAAGATCCCAAGGCTACTTTTGGGCTTCATTCATTCATTTCGACTTAGCTTGGCCAATAACGTCCTCCCAAACCGAGGCATCATTGGAGGGGATCCTGAGGCCCTTCATAGTGGAGGCAGCGTTCTCGTCCTCAAGGGGAGGCCGGCTACCAGGGAGATCCAAGATGGCTTCACCATCCCGAGCAAACGCGATCAGTTCCTCCTCGGAACCCCATTCGCTCATGGCCATTATACCGATAGGCACGCCGCCATCCGGGCTGTAACCGGCAGGACAGCTGATTGAAGGGCAACCAGTAAAGTTGGCCAGCCAAACATATTCCATATTACGGACAGAAGACTTGCCATCCGACAATCCTCGAGACAAGTCTGCCTCGCCGCCATCGATGTGCCAACCGGGAATGGGAGTTGTCGGGGTCACGATAAGTAGTCCAGGGTGAGTCTTGAAAAGGTGAGCCATGTGTGTCATGATCAAGTTGCGCAAGCGCTGAGCGGCAAGCAAATCTTGGGCAGTGATCTGCCACATTCCCATGGAGACGAGCACTTTGTTCGGGGCCGTGAGCTGTCGGATCTGGCTCGCATCGACACCGGATGCAATTTCGGCCATGATGGTCAGAACGTGAGCTCGCTGGCCCTCTGGAAGATATGGGATTGAGATGTCGACAATGTTGTAACCTTCCTGGCCGTAGTATTCGAGTGCTCGATCCAGGGTAGCGCGCACCGGGCCTTCGGCCCGATCGATCCAGTCACGAACAATACCAATTGTCTTGGTCCTCTTGGCGCCGGGAGAAGCTGGCACTGGGTTTGGGAATTGTGATGAAATTGGATCTTCCGAGGCTGGTGCTGGTGTGGCCATAGTGCGGTAGGCGAGAGCAAGGTCATCGATGCTGGCTGCCATGGGCCCGAGGACGCCGACAGTGGGCGCAAGACTCAAAGACGGCGCACCAGATACTCGACCATGAGAAGTTTTCAATCCCCAAATGCCACAGAATGATGATGGAATGCGAATTGAGCCTCCACCATCGGCACCGAGTGCAATCGGCACAAGTCCAGCCCCGACAGCATATCCGGAGCCGCCAGATGAACCGCCACAGTAATAGTCCTTATTGTGGGGGTTCTTCGGAGTCCCATAGTTTGGATTATTGTTGTTAGTATCTGTAAATAGTCAGTTACCATAGTTTGTTTCAACATCGGAACTTGAGTACTCACCAAGACCCAGTTCGTGCATGGTGGTCTTTCCAATTACTATAGCTCCAGCATCCAACCACTGCTTCACACACCATGATGTCGCGTCGGTGCCATGCTTGAAGTCCAGCTTGGTGCCTAGTGTGCGCCTATATCCGGTGATGTGCACTTCGTCCTTCACTGCGACCGGGATACCATCAAGAGGGCCTAGCGGCTGGCCCTTCTTGTATCGCTGGGCGGATGCTTCTGCCGCTGCAAGGATTACATCAGCTTGCGACTCAAGGAAAGCAGTGGCGTGTTTCCCAGCTGGCTGAAAATCACGTCGGATCAGAGGGAGTAGTGTCTCAATGACGGCGATCGGGGTCAGCTCGCCGGACGAGTAGAGCGCATGGTAGTCGGCAGAGGTATAATATCCGTTATCTCCTTTTCTCCGCTCCACAGGAGCTGTATCTCTTGGCTTGTCTTCGCTAGTGTTGTCGATGGGAATCACGGTTGGATCGTAGCGACCAGCGTATTGGCTGAGGTGGGGGATCTCGCGGATGACGCCGAAACCAGCATTGCGCCAGAAATGGCTCTGGATAAAGCCGATATTATGGATTCTAGGATTGAAAACACTGAATTAATGTCTTGCGACAGCTCGATGGAGTTCGGTGCGACTTACAATGTTGCGCCGATGGCCAACGATGTGCCGCGGAAGACCGGAATGGTCTGCTCCTCATTCTTGTATGGCACTGAAGGGCCTTCGCGCGGCGGAGGATAATTGAGAAATGCCTGTGAGCTCATGGTGAATGGTTGAGGTCAACATGAGGAATGCCAAGGTTGGAAGCTCAAGTGGCGGCGATAGCTTATCACATGCCGCGGCTCAAGTCAGGTCACATGTCCTACGTATCAAAGTGCAAATGTGTACATAAGTGCCATATATTTAGTTGAAAATCTACAGACTTAGCTTGATGTTGTACTTTTCCATGCTCAAAGCAGCAGCAGTTAGTACTGCTGCATAGACAATCAGGATCCCCATTGCTTGTGGGGTATTGAGATCCAAAGTCGGAACGCTCAGGTTTACTGCGCCCGTAAGCAAGTTGGCAATCAAGAAAAGCGCAAGGCCTCCTCGGTTGAAGGCATGTAGAATGCGACTGGTCGCAAACGAAGTCTGCTCTGCCTCGCCTTCCTTATTAGTGGCCCGGTGGACCGCCGGGAAGAAGACAGTCTCAGTCAAACAGAAGAGGAACAGCTGCGCGCTGTTGAATGCTGACACCCAGAGGACATACGGCATGTTAGCCAGTCGACGCGACACGGGAATATTGGCGCCGTATCCAAAGGCGTAGGTGGAGTTGAAGAAAAAGAGGGTAGACCAGAACAGAGCTTGCACAATCAAGCTTGCCAGAATAGATATCCGTGCCTGCTGAGGCGACTTGGTTGCCGATGTGCCGCGAGGAATAATGCGAACCCCAACACCACGTCCGGCGAGGAAGATTGCAAAGTACCCAATAAAAGAGAAGACACCCTCGCGGTTCTTAGAGAGCAGATCCGGTCCTCGGGGAGACACGAGAATATATCCCTTAAGATCGGTCGACTCCAAAGCAACTTGATAAAGAACCGCAGTGCCAAGTGCAAGCACCTCGTACGAGGGAACCAGTGTAGTCAAAGAATCAAAGAGCTCCACAAAAGGAGGCAAAAAGCCAAGTGTGAAGAAGAAGTTCCAGTGCACGCCATATTCCGTCACATGTTCCGCATAGTCCAAGCCCTTTACGCTCCACAAACGGATGAGACCCAGTAGAAGCAAAGGAATGGAGTGACGAGCTGAGCCAATCAACCTCTTATGCAAAGCCACTTTCGGGGATTTCGAATTGCGGCCTTTCAAAACTGCTCGCGCAGAAACAACTCCGGCGGAGAACACGAAAGATCCAACGCCCAAGTCCATCAAAGAAGTTCCCCAGTTCTCAACCTTGGCGAAGCGGCGAGGGAATGCGCGGAAGTCAACAGCCAAAATAGCAACACAGGTAACGATCATCATGGCTGCGCGATATGTCGTCAAAAATGGGTGGACGGGCAGGGACAGCGATTCTTCCTCGGGGCTTTCCTGTTTGGCCTTGGATTTGCGAGGTGGTTTGGATTTTTGAGGAGTACGAAGGCCCGATTTGGTAAGGAAAAGCAGTACGGCGGGGGAGACGAGGAAGATGTTGAGGAGGAGCGGCGCCGAGGAGTATGCTGTTGTCGCGAACAAGATGGCGAGAACATTGAGGAGGAAATCCGTTACGAGTGCCGCAGGTCCATAGGGTGTGAAAAAGGACAATCGGGATTGAAGCGCTGACCAGAGAAGGACAGAAGTCTAAAATGATCGCAAAGATTAGCCGCTTAGCAAGCTCATTGGCATTGGGGTCTCTTACTGATGCAACGAGAGTGACTGCATTGATTTCGAGGATTGTGCTTCCAGCAAGGTTTGACACGAATGCCTCCTTGCGAGCTTTGTAGCTCGGATCCATATTGAGCAGTTTGAATGGCCCTCGACAATTAAATGACGTGGGAAGAAAGAAAGTTGGAGAAGCTCCAGTTGTTTACCCGCCACGGTCACCTGACCTCAACGATATCAATTTCGAACATCTGTCAATTTCACTAATGACAGAGTGTCAATAGTGCAATATACTTCAAATTCGACTCTGCGAAAGTGGGGTGAATATACAGCCAGATTCATGACAGGTGTATGTATAAGTATACTTGAACCTACCCCACCACGCCTGTTCAAGAGGACATACTAGTTGAAATCCCGGTCATTATATTGGGTTCTACAAGTGTACGGAGTAATATATCGATATAACTTTTGCAAAGCTGCTTTAGCACCCACAAGTGTGATGGCCACCATGTATCGATCTTAATTGTAAGGAAAAAGAAAAACAGGGAGAGTTGATGCACAATCAGGGCTTCCAAGTATGTACACAACCCCCTAAGGATAAGATGCTAGGCACTACGTATTCGTAACTAAAGATACCCGATTTAATTGACGGGGTGTGCTGAAATCCATTGTACAGTTGACCTCAAGTCTGTAATGTCCAGTATCCCCGTGATCAACTCCCCTGTATGTAGTCCAGGGCTAAGTTCACGTACCGTAATTTTATGCCAGAAATCACAGTTCTTGTACCTCGGAAGTAGCTTTTGAGGACACTTTTATAATTTTTACCTATTAATGTATACCGTATGAAAAAGTGGAGTTTAAGGATGACTCCAATAATGTCCAGCAAAACCGTCCGGTCTGCCTTTGCCTTTGCATCGTGTTCCCCACCGCGGAACACAGTCAACCGTTATTGCCTCACGCCCAGTCAACCAAATACCCAAGGCTAAAACTTCTACCTAATCCACGGAGGGAGAGCCAGGAACATCCAGCTGTCAAGGCTGCGACCAAACATCAGAGCCCGGATGCATGACAGGTCCCGTGTCCATACGGATTTAGGTTGACTTTAACACTAAGTCCGGAATTTGATCCGTAACGATCGGCCATGATCTCGAACTATCCCTATCAAGTTTGTGGAGTCTGTAGGGCAAAGTATGTTGAACGGCCGTGCCCCCTTGGCGGATTCTCACTTGTATGTAGGCTAATATTATACACTGGATGTTTCTATTGAGACACTGAGCCCAACAGAGGTAGGATTCCCCGTCACGAGGCGGAAAAGCAACAGGGTGCAGCTCAGGGTCGGGGGCCTGCGTGCTGCTCAGGCGTTATGCTGAGCCATTTCCGCGTGCACAAAACCATTGAGGCAACTCCAATCCCATTCATTTACTTTTCATAAAGGAAATGTCATGTCACTTGCATGGGACGTTTGTGAATATGAATATCTTGTGGTGCCCAGACCCTCGCTTTCGGTCTTACGCAGTTACAGGTCATTTTTCGTCGATCAGCAAGCAAAGTAGTGTATCTATGGCCAGATCATTATGTCCACTCTTTAATTACAGGAGCTTTATTAAAACCTGGTAATATTGAGGGCCCAGGGGCCAAGCTCCAAGCTTTCATATTGGCCGCGAGCACGGGGATCGGGCACGGGCACGGGCACGGAGGCAGATCCATATTGAGCAGATCACTCACATCGCGCCGTTTGGAACTGCGAGCCGCAAGGCTCGCAAATTGAAGGGGTTTAGCTTCCCCACTTAGGATGAGAATTTTCGCTTTTTGGGTCTACGGGAGAGCCCAAAGGAATAGGGCTTATATTAAAGCTGTTCCATCACGCACAAAATGCCCATAGGCCCTTGAAATTCCAGATTTTGAGATTTTCAAGTGACAGTCACCAATCTAGACCAGCACTAGTCTCCAGGCGCAAGTCGAAAAAAAAAAAGCGGACCTCGATATGGGACCGACTCACCGTAGTGGCCGGACGCAAGACGCTATATCCATAGCTTAGAGGCTACCGAGTTCGTTTATTCCTCCGAGCTCATTGGGTCAGGTTTCGGGTCAATTTGATTGCAGATGTGATTTGCTTTGTTGGGGATCTCAAGAGACATGGGTGCCATATTTAGCATATTTAAGGCATTTTAGTCACTATGATCCTTTTCCATGCTATTTTCCCCTTCAGCCTCGGATTTGCTATCCCTTTGCTTAAACCCTGCTCGGGTCGGGAATAGTCTTGCCAATCTTTGCGCAATCCACCACTTCCCCTCATATTAAGCCCCTCCAGATACCATATGCTGGGTCCATGATTCACCGACGGGGGATAATTTGTGATTGGAAATTGGGAATCTAAGGATACACATCTTGGTCGTTACCTGGTGCCCGACTTCAACACACAAAAGCTCAGAATCATGAGCTCGAAAGAGGCACCGTCACCTAAGAGACGCGAGTCTCGTTCGGGGACAAGGAAAGTCTCTTCATTGTCGGCTGAACAGTTGGAAAGAAAGCGCGCCAACGACCGAGAGGCCCAACGATCCATCCGCCAACGAACCAAGGATAATATAGAACAGCTTGAGGCTCAAGTCTCTAGCCTCCAGTCCCAACTAGAAGATATGCGGCTCCGGACTGAGAGATATAACGAAGTCATGCAACAGAATGCCTTTTTGGAAAATGAAATGAGCCGACTAAAGCGTCAAATTGCTTTGTTCACTGGAAGACCGGAATATACAGGCAGCAGTGAACAAATGGCTCCGATTCAAAGCGGGTGGTCTTTAGAGGAAGCGCCGAGCAGTGATTCACCCACAATTCCTACGACAGGGTTGTTATTGTCGCCGCATTTCACAGAGGCATCTAACACTCGAACGTCATCTGTTCTCTCATCGTCAAGCCGGGCATCTCATCCGTATGACTGGCAACGACCATATCCATCAACCAGATCACCCTCGCTCGGTGCATCTTCCGAAGAGTTTCCTAATCGCCTCGATCCATATATTGTAGATGGTCAAGTCCATCAGGGCGCACGAATTTCGCCCTCTTCGATTCCAGATTCAGCACCTCAGATCGGGTTTAGCGCAACCTCGGCGCCACCTCAAGTTGAATCTTCATTTGCCCAGTTTCCTTACAGCAACCGATCGCTTTCCATGTCAAATGCCACGCCTGTTACTCAGTCGGCTCTTGCTCAAACATATCACACCCCGGCGCCGCCATTTTCGCAAACCGCACAGTCCCAACGAGACCCGACATATCCCTATCCATGGGGGTCCCAGTCATGAGCTCGATAGGAGGAAGTCAAGACACCAAACCCGAGAACAAATACTTGAGCAGCGTCTATAGAAAAAGCTTAGACCTTAATTGGAGGTACAATCAAAGGTACAATAGCTTTGTGAGGTCTGTGTGAGTTGTACAAAGAATCCCCTGTTTTGCTCGAAGAAACTGATTTGGGACAGGTTGGAACAGAGAATAGGTTTAAACTGCAACTAGGACTCGGAAAACCACAACCGAGGTTACATTTAAGCACATTTGATCGGAAATAACAACCGGGGCTAATACTCTATCTATGCGGAGACTTTCCGGTCTCCACCATACCTAGGGCTGACAGGTCCACGCTGTCAGCCTTCGTTGCACCTTTTAAGCCTACTTGGAGGAAAATGCAGCCCCCCCCCCCCCCCCCCCCCCAAAATCTCGGAATAGTATCGACTTTGGTCCACGGTCGTGATATCTTGGTTGAGCATTGCTGAGAGATCCGAAAGCTCTCGCTGTAAACCAACCGCTTTCCTCTCATAAGAGCCATATACATCGAGATTCCGAGCAATTGGGATCAATAAATCTTTTCATGGCCCGTACGGATTCTAGTGTTCTGCATGTTCCCCGGGGGCGATAGATATATATCCAAAAAAAAAAAAAAAAACACGCCCAATGTGCCATTTCAAATAAAAAATAAAACAATTTATGAAGATAATATCGGAGGCTGTCAGATGCTAACTATTGCGTGTATTGCTTCTGGAGCAACTTAGCAATCGTCTGCAACTGAATGTTGCTGGTACCCTCGTAGATGGCGCCGATCTTGCTGTCACGGAACATCTTCTCGGCAATGCCCTCGCGCACGAAGCCCATGCCACCCATCCACTCCACGGCAGATCCAGAAACGCGACCAGCGACCTGGGAAGCATAGAGCTTGGCCATAGCGGCATCATGGACGAAGTCCTGGCCGGCCTCCTTCTTACGGGCGGCGTTGTAGACGAGAGCCCGAGCAGCGGCAATCTCAGTGTAGGCCTGAGCGATCTGGTGCTGCATGCCCTGGAAGTTACCGATCAGCTCACCAAACTGGCGACGATCGTTCCAGACGTATCTTTTCTGGTCAGCTAATGGTTCACAGTTCGGGTCAGTGTAGGGGATCTTACCGTGCAGCATTCTCCCAGGCACCGAGGGCCAGACCGGTCATCTGGGCAGCAATACCAATACGTCCCTCGTTCAGCACACTGATGGCGTACTTGTATCCCTGACCCTCCCCGCCGAGCAGGTTGCTCTTAGGAATGACACAGTCGTCAAAGTTGAGCACACAGGTGCTGCTAGCGCGAATGCCGAGCTTCTTCTCCTTCTTGGCAATTGAGAAGCCGGGGGTGTCCTTCTCAACAACGAAAGCAGTGATGCCCTTGTAGCCCTTGCTAGGGTCAAGGTTAGCGAAAACAATGAAGATGCCAGACTCCATAGCGTTGGTAATCCACATCTTCGATCCATTGATCTTGTATCCGTCAGCGGTCTTCTCCGCCTTGGTCTGCAGCGCAAAGGCGTCAGAGCCGGAAGCTGGCTCAGAGAGACAGAACGAGCCAACAGTACCGGTAGCCAGCTTGGGCAACCAGGTGCGCTGGGACTGGGCGTCACCATACTTCATGATCGCAGTGTTCACCAGAGTGTTATGAACATCGACCATCACGCTGACGCTAGGGTCAACGCGGGCCAATTCCTCGATCGCGACGATCGCCGAGGTAAAATTCATGCCTGCGCCGCCGAACTCCTCAGGCACCTCGATACTCATCAAGCCCTGCTCGAAGAGCTGTTCCACAATTTTGGGGTCCATGGTCTCGGCTTCATCCATATCCCGAACCTTGGGGCCGATCTGCTCCTGCGCGAACTTCGAGACCGTGTCAGCCATCATGGATTCGGTCTCGGACAAATGGGTGATAGGAGTCGGGGTCAGGTCGGAAAGGTCGACTTCCCGCCGACGAGGAGTAGTAGAGAATGCATAGGCACTGCAAAAAGAGAGAATGGATTAGTGAAGGTGTTTCAGGAAGCTGTAGTGCAGGTGGTACCTCTGTACGGGCCGGCCAGTAGCCAGGCGTCTACCGGCCAGCCGAGCCGAGGGGACGGAGCGCGACAAGGGTCGCATCGCACGGATAATAGAAGCCATTGTGAAGTGAGGGGAGTAAATATGGAGAGGAAGAGAAAGACGAAAGCTTGGGAGGTCATAATCACGAGCGCGGTGAGCCTCGGCTATCGGCGGCGTTGAGGATTCGCGGGGAGCGCAACTTGTGGGGCTCTTTCGGCCCGGTTGTTGTGTTGGTCGTGTCTGATTTGATGTTGAAGTCACTGTTTATTTTACATGTATGCTAATGGCTATTCTAATGATTATCCTAGTAGTAGACTGTTATTTATATATGAGTATTCTTCAATTTAATATCGCTATGGTTGTCGATATGGAGTTGAATGTAGGCATAAGTGCAATCTTGGATGCCATCTGGCATGTGATCTGTACCGGACTATTTCTAGATCCGACTACAGCGCTACATTATGCAAGATCGGAGTTACCTCTCTCAATATGTCTATATCCTTTACACTTCAAAGGAGCAACCTGGGTCTTCATATAGCTGATGTCAGGGAGTGTACTTTGGTAAGTGATGTTTTAGTTCTAGCAAAATATACTATAGCAATTGTGGTCTTATACAACCTTTCCGGGATCACGAATTAGTTACTATCCAGATATTGTTCTATTGGTAGACGATGGACCTCCGTGAGTGTCCACATCCTCAACCCGAGTCACAATATTCGTGGTAATGACCACATCTTTGGAGCCCACAATTTGCTCGTTGCTTTCGTTCGGTCCCCTGGTCCTCGTAAGCTCTATCCATCGCATATCTTCTTCCTCTTCTTGAAATCTGTTGCCTTCTCCGTATGCTTTCGATTTGAAGTTGAAATGGTTCGTTCAACTTGTTGGTACCATATACCGCATGTCCACTTGATCCACGGAGATTGTATGGATTTGATGTTTTCTTAGTGAGACCAAGACGTTGAAGGACTCTTTCCATAAGTGGACGGATGGGCGGTACGCAGCCGACCACGATAACGATCCAGGCTTCCGTGGAGGCCCAGATGAGAAGGGAGGATTGAGCCCCTGTGAGAGAAAATTGTTAAGTACAATTTGTGCGTGGAAAGCTGAAGGATGAAAGGCCAACATCCCACCTCCGGAAAACATAGTTGAGAAGAGCCAAGGATGTATCACACACGGAGGCAATGTGCCAATGAGACTTTACCGGGAGAATTCATTTAGCCATAATCAAAGTCAATTTCAAGGTCGTATATTTGCCGAAGGAAGCGGCACAAAAAACATTGCACTTGATCTAAGATCCTTGTCAAAGCACAGGCGTCAACTTAAATGAGGCTATTGATTGGCTCTCAAGAAACAGAAACTTAGACCCGCAGATCCTAGGGCTTGCGTCGTGTAAATTCAACCAGGATATTGCTGCCAAACTTATGGATAAAAGGACCTTTGCCTAGAAAGAAAAAAGAGGGTTTCCCGCTCCAAAGCGAGATGAAGGACTTCACAGGACCGGTTCTTAGACCATAGTTAGAAAGAGACTACAAACGCAAAGCCAAGCAACGCGGGAGTGACGGAGAGACCCATCTGGACCAGCTAGATTAGGACGATAGATTAACAAATCATAAACTGATCGAGATGGCAAACCATGATCGGCCATCAGCCGAAGCATAGACTCAAAATGCCGTACAGCACATGTTCACATCATTTTGTGAGAAGTTATATAGAGTAGAACAGTGCGGCAATTTCATGTAAATGAATGGCTTAGACAGCAACAAAGTACTAGGCGACAAACCCTGCGCAACCTACACAACTATGCCGTTGTAGCCACGACCGGAGGTACATGGCGCACTTACCCCCACTAAGGAAGGGCCCGAGACAAGCCCCGAGCCTAGCGAAAAGATCCGGGATGGCGGCGCGGCCACAGCGGGGAATTGAAACCCACAATTAACGCTAATAGAGACTAACTCGGCACGAGAGAATTAAAGGCTGCCTATGCATTATGGAGCAATACCTCCGATTTCTGGTCCTGAAAAATTACGTGGCATATACGTAAATTCCTTAAAGTTTTATTCGAAACTATGAACATCACGCAAATACATGCAAACCCAGGGACACGCTAAAATTCCCACCGGAATTGGGTTTACATCAGACCAGCAGCCTGGAGAAAATTCTTCCGGTAGAGCCAGATGCGTATTTCCTTGCCCTTGAGGTAGAGGGGAATATAGGCCAGGTATATGGCGACATTGATGGCGGCCACCGTCATGAAAACACTCAAAATGCCACTGGCCGTGATGAAGTCATTAATCACCCAGGTCCAAATCCAAGCGATACAGCTCTTCAAAGCAGCAATGGTGACCATGATCTCAACAGAAAGCTAAAAACAGCCGTTAGTCTCTGGATCAAATGAACCAAGAAAATAAAGTCTCAAAGTTAAACTAGACTCACCTCTTTGTGGCAATCCAAGGCATAATTCATTCCTAGCGTGGTACCCATCTGACTTCCTACCGACAAAATACCGGCCCCCACGACAGGCATAGCCCAATGCATTTGGTGCTCATACGATAGCCCGAACCAGAGTGCTCCGAAGAACGTAAAAAATGCCGCCAATAAGCATGTCGGCAGTCTCATCTCTGGCTCGCGAACTCCATGATTCTTTGTAGTGAAGAAAGTGGCGATCCAATCACCTCCTGGACCTGAGAAAAAGACTCCAAAAATGGACCCAATGAATGGCGATAGAAAGAAGAGGCCCTGTGCGTTGGAATTAAACCCATAAGGCGGAGGAGAGAAAAGCTGTGCAACGGAAGCACCGAGAATAACATTCCAACTCAATGCCATTCCGTAAACGAAGCATGACCAGACGACTGTGGGATATGCCAGGAGCACAAATGGACGGAGGAAGACATGAATGAGATTCACATCTGGGTCTCCACTGCTCCAGAACTTAAGTTCTTCCACAGATGTATTTTTTGGAATAGTGCTTGATTCCTCAACCAGAACCTTTTCCTTCTGATCGGAGTCCTCAGCTGTTCGGTTTGCAATGAATGGGTCAGGCCTGGGTCCACTGAACTTGGTCTCGGGCATGAAGAAAAACATGCAGACTAAATTGGCAGCAATAAAGATAGCCACAATCCAAAAGGCCCAGTTCATTCCCAATGCCTGCACGATGAAACCGGAGAACATCGGACCAAGTTCATTACCACCAAGTACAGCCAAACCATAGATAGCCACGAGTTCGCCGCGGTTATGCAGGAAGAACATATCGGTCACTGTGGAGGGAACAATAGACTCGATAGGTGCCTGGAAAGCACCTAAGAAGGCACGCCCAACCAAAAAGAGGGTGTATGTTTTGTTAGATGCAATAGCCAGCCAAATACAGGCGATGCCCATAAGGAGGTTCGAGAAGATGTAGATTGGACGACGGCCATACTTGACAGCAAATGGCATCCAAACCACGTTCCATACACCTTGATTGATTAGACAAGCCCCGTTTGCGTATGTCAATGTCTGAAGGGACTTTCCAAAGGTCACGGACAGCTGGTTCATACCTAAACACCAATCAACATCTCTTCTTCAGAGGCCAGTGAATAAGTTAGGCACTTACCAGCTGCCATGATTGGACCTGTAATGGCGCCCATAAAGGCAAACCAACAGCCATTGAAAAAGGTCAAACTTTTCTTGGTGGTGGACCAGCTCAGAGGGTCGTTCGGGTCGTTCATCGAAGGTTGAGGGACTAACAACATGCGCCCCTCACCAGATGTTCGATGCGTCAACAGATGAATCTGACCAGAGATACTGCCATCATTTTTGTCAAACAATATCTCAGTGCCAGGCACGTGAACCCGGCCTTCGACCTTATTGTCGGACTTGCGTTGCGAATTCTGCGACATAGCGAATATGCACACGAGGGCCCCTTGAGTATAGAATGGAAGAAATTAAGATGAGTCCCAGAAGGGAAAATAACGACTAGAGTACCGCGTAACTTTGTCTAGGCGGAGGCCTCCTTTTTGCTACAGAGGTATAAGCCTAGCCACTCCTCTTTCAGTGGCCAGACAATGTTAGTGTCGAAAAATCCGACATGGCTCCCTTTTATTTTTTTTTTTTTTCTTTGGTCCCGTCGTCCAGCACAATCCTGGTCGTTTTTGGGCCAATGATAAGTCCTGACAAGTCACCAATGTGGTGGCATCCAGGGATATGCAAGTGGCTGTCGGAATAACAGCAGAAGTGCGTGTAGGAAGCCTTGACCCCCTTCAAAACACTAACTTTTCTCTATCGTCTATCGGCTCCGGTCTGTTTTCTTGCTTTTTTTTAGTTTGTTTAGTCAATTTAGTTGGTTATTTGGGGCTGCATATGTCTTTAATTTCATAGAACACACCATGGCTCCAGTCTGACTGAGCCCATGAACAATTTAAGACACACTTATCCAAGCCTCTACCAGTACTCTGCGTGGTAGCGACAGGACAACTCCAACATCTCGCATTCTGAGCGATCTCGGGACTTTCTCTCCACTCGGGATCTTCGATGCGCATGAGGGGTATATAGAAACGAATTTACGACGGCGATTGAACGTTCATTCGGAAATATTTGATCTCAGCCCAGTGGAAAGAATGGCACCGTCTTTCGACTTTTCATCTGGCCTGCCCGAGTGCGCTGACAGTCTGCCGACTGATGTACCTGTGCTAATTGTTGGAGGAGGCCCGACTGGCCTGCTGCAATCGCTCCTTTTGTCTCGACTCGGAGGTATGGCTTATCGGAGCCCTTGATAGCCACCGTTGACACATTTTGACAGTACAATCACTGATCATTGAACGTTATGCTGAGCGGTTGGAGGCGCCCAAAGCCCACGCGATCAACCCGCGCTCCCTAGAGATCATGCGTCAATATGGCCTGGGTGAGAAGCGAGTGCGCCAAATAGGCACATCGCGAGACGATAGCCATTGGGTCAATTTCCTCACTAACCTCAATGGTGACTCGGTTGGGAGGTTGCCTTATGAGCGTATGGATCCCGGAGTCTTGGACGACACTCCAGTGGTATGTTGGTTTTCCGATGAGGTTGAAGAATACGGTAACCAACCTTGATAGATGATTCACAATATACCTCAGCCAGCTCTGGAGCAGGAGTTCACAAAGTTTATTGAGCAAGATCCCAACATCACTCTGCTGAAAGGATTCAGTATTCATGGAGTAAAGCAGGTAAGATAAATGAAAGACTACATATTATTAAAGAACAGTTATTAACCAAAAGCCGAAGCAGACTGAAAAAGAAGTCGTGGCCACCATTGAGGAACGAGCAACAGGATACCTGCACAAAACAAGATCACGACACCTTATCGCTTGCGATGGTCGCAGAAGCAAGGTCCGTGAGCTGCTCGACATTCCATCTGAAAGCGAGGATTCAGATCAAACGATGATGACCATCCATTTTAACGCAAACCTTCGGCCAGTGGTTGGTGATCGTGTTGGTATGCTTTTCTGGATTATTGACCCAATATCCGCTGGATTCATCATTGGTTACGATCTGGATGGAAACCAAGTCCACATCAGCCAAGTGGATGTAGAGCAGCACCCAGTTGAGTCGTGGACTGAGGAAATGTGCAAAGCCAAAATCCGCGGAGCTATTGGGAAAGACGATGTTCCGTTTGACATCCTGAGCTACCGACCTTGGGTCTTCAGGCGGCAGGTTGCTGTGACCTTCCAAAAGGGGAATGTTTTCCTGTGAGTCGTTGGTCAATCGTTTTGTCGTGGCATGCTGATAGCTAACTCTGCTAGTGCTGGTGATGCTGCTCATTCATTCCCACCAACTGGTGGCCTAGGATTAAACTGTGGAATTGCGGATGTGCACAACCTAGCTTACAAAATTGCTCTCGTTCATCAAGGAGTAGCGAGCCCGACTATACTCTCGACATATACAGCTGAACGACGCAGTGTTGCCGAAGCCTATTCTAGGCAGAGCGTCAAGAACGGCAAAGAGATCTTTAGTTTGCTACAGAGCCTCAAAACCGCTGGCGTCGAGGACGTTACCCAAGCTCGCAAGAACATGGTGGAAGTATTGGCAGATCCAGTGCAACGTGCAAAGGTTGAAGAGGGAATTGAAGGACAGCGTGAACATTTTGACAATGTAAGTGAAATACTATTGAGGATATTGTGTCACTAAGCATTCTGATCATTTTTTCGATAGCTTGAATTGCATATCGGATATGTCTATGGAGCTAGCAAGCCTCCTGCTCACGCTTCGTTCTACTCTCCGAAGTTTGTTCCCGGTGCACGATTGCCTCATGCTTGGATCAAATTCCCAGAAGCGCAAACAAACATCGGAGACATTCATCAAGAGCCAATTGACGTCTCTTATGTGAAGGAACTGAGCGAGGACCAAGTCAAGGCTTTCCAATGGAGCACTCTGGATTTATGTGCGCCTGACTCCTGGACTTTAATACTCGGACAAGATAAGCCAAGCTTGCAAACCACCCAGTTCCAAGAGCACTGCGAAGCCATCAAGGTGAAACTCACTATTTGGCGCGCCGGTCTTGACTTTGATACAATAGACCAGAGCTGGTTTGCGGATGAGCTGAACAACCAGGGTGGCATCTTAGTTCGCCCGGATCAGCACATCTTCATGAGGGTCAGTTACTTCACCACTGGGGAGGATCTGATCATAGGGCTGAACAGGCATCTTGGCTTGTAGGCCAATCGGAGACCTAGTGTGGGTACAGACAGTAAAGAGATGAGAAAGTTGAATTGATGAATGCTCTTGAAACTAGTCCCCCGAAGATTGTTTGTCGGGATGTTCAAACAATAGCAATTGGTTGATCATATTGCATGTGCAAGTCAGGAATCGCTCGGTGCTCGCATAGATACCTGGTAACTGTGGCGCTGAAACATGCGGCATGTCAATAGAATTGTCTAGACATCGTGTGTTAGATACTAATTCCTTGGAGCTTAATTTATATCTTTCTTTTTTGTTATCGACCCGGTCAGATTTCTGTTTTAGTCCGGGTGCACATGCTAGCCCCTTCCTGTGTTCATTTTAAGAGTTTCTAGGTACTTTATTGGAAGCCACGATATAAGCGATTTGCGTCGGGACTCTATTTCCCATTGCATGTGTTTATGCTGAGGTGGCGTTGAAAACCTCCCACATGAGCGAGTCAAAGTCCGGTGCACCGGTAATGTCTAGAAAGCCTCCGGGGACAGAGTCATGTAACCAGCTTGTGGAATCAACATTCATGTCGTAATCATCCATGAAGGTATTTGTCGGCAAGTTCTCACTGCTCGTGTCGGGCAGTGAGAATGCTTCAGTTGTATTTTGTAATCGTCGTCCTCTACCGGAAGGACCACGGCCCCCATTTTGCGGGAGAGGGGTATAAGGGGCCTCTAGGCTTCGGGCTTTAAGCAATCTCTGGACTGTTGCTCCAGATAGCTCGTGGATACAATCCCTTGCCCGCTTAGCCTCGGTCCAGTATTCTCCAATGCTGCTGAGGATATTCAAGCTGATACAAGTATCAGCCACAAGTTCATCAATCTGCACTTCAGAGGCAACAGCAGGAAGTCTCCACACACAATGAAGCATGATAAGTGTGCTCAAAAATATCGAGTGAATAATGAATCTGCTATACAATAGTGCCTCCTGTCGATATAGCTCACCAAAGCCATGGAGTAGATCCACAGAATGCCGAGAACATTGCGTGAGCATATCGTCTGCTGGCTCAGGGATACCGGGACTGGGTCTCAGAATCAGGATTATCATTTCATGATATTTCGTTTCGCAGATCTTGGCTAATGCTTCCAGCCCAGATGCACTGGGAATCTCCGCATGCCATGACTGGAGACGGCCGACCATCTCCTGTTGCCACAGATGAATATCGGTGATCGGTGGGTAGGCATATCGAGGGGCATCTCTGCAGATGCTGTGCATGACATATTTGATTTCAGAATTGATTCGTGCGAGTTTGAATAGATGAATGGAGAACGTCATGTGAGATGGTGGTTCTTGTTGTGACCTTTCTTGGGTGACTTGTTCGGCGAGCTGCATATCAGAGATATCTAGAGGAAGCTTTCAAAGCTATTAGCTGATATTAGAAGTTGGAAAAACAAAGGATGCTTACGAACCCGAAGTTCGCAGGCTTCGTCTCGCACTCCGATCGGTCGGCCCATCATTGTTCCCAATGTACGATCAAAACTATAGACCACCCAGAAAATTCGAGTCCTCATCTCTTGCTCCAGAAAAGATATGGGAAATGTCGATGACGCGCGGACGTCACGTTGAAGGCCCAAATCAATGAGCGCACCCAAACATTGATAGTTCAAGCTCCAAACATTAATGTCACAGGATGGATTGTGTAGCCCATAAACCATTAGCAACAACAAGCTCTGCAGCCCTTCCAGGGTGCCTTCAACACATGCACGGTCGAAATGCTTTGTAGCTGCCGTGTAGTATCCCTCGGCAGGGAGAGGAAGTCTGAACCGCCTGGAAAGGTCGGAGGCAGATATGGCGAGAACCATGAATACTTGGAATGCGTCCACTGGATCTGGTGTTGCTGTTCGATTGGTGTACAGCTTCTCCAGACGTCCCATGTGTGAGGGTTCGTGAAGAAATGGATAAATCAGATGCATGGAAGCAAAATACTTCGAGGAAAGCTCGATAGCATCTTCCTTGCGGTGTGGCAGTAGAGCCGGATTGTTGAAAAACTCGCTTGATAGCGACATTGGCTGGTTGAGACTACCATTATTTCCCGGTGGTGCGGTCCGCCGACCAGCGCTGGAGAATACGAGATTTGCCAAAAAGTAGCCGCTGGAAGGACCGATGTATCTAGGCTCACCTCCTGAGGAAAGAGATACGAGGCCTATTTCGTGCGCTGGTCTTGATTGTGTGCCAGATGGCTGGAGATCGTTTGGCCTCAAAGGTTGCCCGTGGTTTGAGAGACTTGCTGATCGTTGGCTGTGAACGGCCTCGGGAACAGCATGCTCAAGCTGTGTCGGTCCATCTGTATGATCAAGCAGTGAGATCGCTGTTTTATCTAGTCCCGGTCCATCTTCAAGTCGAATGCTGGAGTCCTGTTCCTTGACCAAGGATTCTAGCCACTGTATTCGCTTTTGCAGATTCGCGATGTAGCTAGCCAGCAGATATCAGTGCCATTTACATCAACATTTGGAATAAATCTCTTACGTGCGGTTGACTTCCTGCTTTCCATCATTAACACACTCGACGCCGTTCTTTTGACATGATGAACATTGTGGAAGCTCTCCGTCGCATCGGATTTTCCGTCTCTGGCAACGGCGACACGCGGCGCGGTTCCGGGACCTGCGTGGAGAGTCCATGCGGGTCAGACTTAGCCCGCGATAAGTATGTGATGTATTTTGTTAGAGAATTTGAAGCGATACTGTGTGTTTCAGGCTCAATACACGATGTCGTCGCGACGTGAAGAGAGTGTGAAGGCAAAGTCGAGATGCTCGGGTCGCTTCCGCCAAGGACGGAGGACATCCGCTGCGTGCTTTAAAGCGAAAATCCCCCTTGACTGAACTTCACTTTTTTTTTTCTGCTGTTGAAGAATATAAATAATGACTCTCGTTCACATTGGTCAGTCTCATTCATCCGAGTCTATAATCCAACTAACATTGTCATAGTCCTGTTTAAGTTTCGCGCGAATGTCGGAGACGAAGTCCGACAGGAATTCCTCTCACAAATCAAAACTCTTAAGACTTTGCCTTGCGTCAAGAGTCAAAGACTCGTTGCTGGAGGCCCCTCTCTTACCACACCGATTGAAAAGAGCAAGGGTTTTCAGTATGCTCTAGTGAGCTATCACGAGGACCGGGCAGCCCTAGCCGAGTACCAAGCGAGCAGTGAGCATGAGAGGTGAGAGTTAATAATACTTGTACCCTAAACGTTTTTGATACTGATGTATAAAATAGAGTGACAAGTACCTACTTCCTTCCTTACAAGGAAGATCTAGTTCGGTTTGACTTCGAGACTGATCAAGAGGATGAGGCGCTCCTCGGATTCTTATCTATTTGAAGTCCGTACATAGAGGCTAACTTTATAGTAATGAATATCACGATTCATATTTATAAAGATGCGGATCTTGTGGGATCTCCTTTTGGTGGTATAACATTTCTCACTACCCAGGTTATAGTACATACATGAATGAATGCTTAGGTATCCGACACAGTTTCAAAAATCACATTCACAGACCCAGTAACCTCAATTTCTTGAGGGGTCAGGTCCAATGCGTCAACTTCATCGTCATCACTGGCAAAAGATCGTCTGGCCTTCTTATACTTCGGAGCCGAGGCCATCGCGACATTTCTGTATCCGCCCTGTGAATAGTCTGTGACTTCCACTGCAGTGACTTTCCGCTGTAACACCTCGGCGTAGTCTTCAGCCTTCTTTATTGCGTCACGCAGTGCCATTTTACGAGCCTGAGAAGCCAGTTCGCTTCCAGTCTCATCAGTAAGACGCCAGTTGATTGAGTCCACCTCGATATTGGGATAGTTCAAGAGCTTGCCGATCACTTCACTCATTTTGGAAAAGTCTCTAAACGCAGATTTGAAGGAGATACTGGCATGGTGCGGATTGGCCGCTGGGTTTCCATCGCTGTCATTGGGTTGAGACCACGTTTTGATATTTGTGGACGAGAAAGTTGTCACTGGGTGCTCAGCAGCGGCATTTTCCTCTTTGGTCTGAGGACAGAGCAGTTTGAAGAATTGCTGTACTTCGTTAGAAATCGAAGTGACTTCCTTGGCGATCTCCTCTTTGCGCGGACCGTTCGCCCTCACTGAAAAGGCGAGCGCGCCCCGCTCAGGATAATGAAACACGGCTGATTCGCCGGTAACAGTAACTTTGAGGCATGGCATGGTGGTTGATGAAGAATAAACATGGGCAGAGTGAGAAATTAAATGGCAAACATCAGCGCAGGCAGCCGAGTATCACGGCCTCGTAGCCCCACCGTGTCATTTGCCACAAATGTTATATTGGAACGTTATGAGTCAAGCTCCATAGTTCCTGGGTATTGTACATGAAAGGATTCGGGGTGGATTTCTATTGGTCCTGCGTCGCATGAATACCTCAATCGCATAGTCTGATTTGAATGCCAACCTCACAAGATTCCATCCTTTCCAACGGTGCCCACCTCCAGCGAGCCGATTTCAGAAAGATCCATGACTATCGGACTTTGGTGAAATGGTCCAAACAAAAAGCCATCGAGCAGCCGCTAGATCAGGGGCCGCGAAAGACAGTCCTCTCAGCCTATACTCTGTCGGCAAAGAATGATCGCCCTTGGAAAGCTTGTTGGCCGTCCAGTGATCAAGGACCCGGCAAGGTATATTGAGTACAAATTCAAGACCGGTTGCAACGAATAGAATGCTTGAATTGTCCTTACCGGTGCCCTTGCAGACCCATCTTGAGTAGAATGTGAACATCAATCGCGACTATGAAGGAAACTGCTGAAAGTCGGTTACGTGAACTTGGTATGGTTTTGGGGATAGCGATATATTTCAGGGACCGTGGAGCAACATCGTTGATTATTGATGGATGCAGAGAGCAAAGTGGACATTGGGTTAGATAGTCACTGACTTGTACGGACTTTCTCTTAAGGTATACGTGTATAATCAAGCGCGTTATATTATCATCAATTCAATGGCCACAGAGGGGCTCTGGGAATATTCGTTACATTGCAATGAAACGGTTCTCTATGACAAAGTGATAACATGGCGAACTGTTTCTAATAGACTGAAACTTCAGTTATTCCAATGATCGGATTTTGTGAGATCACTGTAGATTCACCGAGACTGTCTTGGTCTGGGTGTAGTTGAACAGCGCCTCTTCGCCCAGCTCTCTTCCAATTCCGGACTGCTTGTAGCCACCGAAGGGCAATTGCCAGTGCACTCCGTTGTACTGATTGACCCACACTGTGCCCGCCTTGATGTTGTTGGACACTTCGATGGCGGTTTTGAGGTTTTCGGTGTGAATCCCCGAGGCCAATCCGTAGGCCGTGTCATTGGCTGTCTCAATGATCTCCTCAATCGTCTCAAACTTTCCAATAACCCCTACAGGGCCAAAGATCTCTTCGTTCACGATATCCATGTCACCGGAGATTTCGGAAAATATGGTCGGCTCCATGAAGTAACCCGGGCGATTGACTCGATTACCTCCGATCTCAATCTTGGCTCCGGCCTTTTTGCCAGAGTCGACGTATCTGAAAGCTAAGTTAGCAGCTGATTTTGACTTTCGTTAATAGAGACATACCCCAGAATTCGATCCAACTGGGCTTTGGAAACCTGCGCACCATGAGCAGTCTTTTCGTCTTCAGGGGGCCCGATGGCTCGTTGCTGAATTTTCTCTTTCAACTTCTGGACAAAGGCATCGTAGATACCAGATTGCACATAGATACGACTGCCTGCGCAACAGTTCTGTCCCATGTTCGAGAAGATACCGTTGTCAACCCAAGAAGCTGCTCGGTCGAGATCTGCGTCATTGAAGACAATATTCGGTGATTTACCTCCCAGCTCGAGGGTGACCTTCTTCAGGTTGGAAGATGCGGCATCCTTCAAAATCTGACGGCCCACAGCTGTGGATCCTGTAAACGCAACCTTGTCCACGCCCATGTGACAAGATATAGCAGATCCCGCGATGTTGCCATAGCCAGTGACAATATTGATGACGCCTGGTGGGAAGCCTGCTTGGACAATAAGCTCAGCAGCGACCAGTGCAGATAGCGGTGTGATCTCTGCAGTTTTCAAGACGACTGTATTTCCGCAGGCAATAGCCGGTCCGACTTTCCATGCCCACATCATCAATGGCTGTTGAGTGTAAGCATTAGCCTGTTTGCCTAAGATATTGAAGGAAAACTCACAAAGTTCCACGGAATGATTTGACCACAAACGCCAATCTATAGAAATATCAAGTCAGTAGATCGCTCTAGAACTTCTCGCAAAGAAACAACCATACCGGTTCACGTCGAGTGTAATTCAACTTGCTGGGATCCGTGTCGATAACACGACCTTCGATCTTATCCGCCCATCCAGCATAGTACCGAAGACAACCAATAGCTCCACCAATGTCGCCCCTGGCACTGTTAATCGGTTTTCCATTGTCCATTGATTCTACCGCCGCCAGCTTCTCCGCAGACTCCTCCATCAGCATGGCCAGTTTGTAGATGTATTGCGAACGTTCAGCTGGAGTGGTCAACCTCCACGGACCATTTAAGGCCTTTCGAGCAACTGCCACGGCCTTATCGATATCATTTTCGCGTGCTTCACTGACAGCGCAGATTTTCTTTTCGGTTCTGGAACGGCATTTTCAGTATAGGCAGCTTGTGTGATAATCAATTGACATACGCTGGATTGACCTGTGTTTGTGTCAGCCTCTAGCCTTCCCCAGTCGGGTTAAAATACACATACCACGTCAATGGTACCTTCATCCGATCCACCCACGAACTCATTATTAATGAATCTGCTATATTTGAGCCATAATTCACAAGTTTAGATGTTTCAAAGACGTACAGTCCGGTGGGCTGCTGGTAAGCAATTCCCGTCGGTGTGGTGAGTGAAACAGCAGTTTTTGTCGCCATGATGAATATTGAGATATAGTTGAAATTGAGATCACTCCTAGTCAAAAGGAAGCATGATAAAACTTGAGCGGATCATGACAAATCGTGGGGCATATGAAGTGTTGATAACAGGTTTCTCATTGATTGACATCATTGCTTCATTGAATTTTCAGGCGCCATCCTACTTGCATGCCTTATCTATGACGTGGTTATGCTGTAGTGCATCCTCAATTAAGTTGGCCTATATTGTAGTAGATCCATCTGAACTTACTGTACTGATGGAAGGGCGACTGCTCATGGCTCACAGAGTAGATGTAGAATCGAATTGGACAGTGCTTTGTCATCGATCTTTTCAAAGATCATCGTGGTTTATATCGAGTCATTCAAGGGTGTATTTTGCTCTCTGGTCATCGCGAATAAGCTCAAAATCTGCTTGTTCTTTTTTGACGGTATCAGTGTAACTCAGTTGTTGAACAAGTTCCCCCCTCCCCCAATTAATACGCATGTGTGTATTGGTTGGCACACTTCACTTGATTTATAAACTGGACCCTGCGCTGTATATCATGAACTGGTATATCATTGAAGAATACAAAAAGAATGCAGTGGGTGTAGTGCGATTAGCCACTAGTCTTTGATGGGTTGTCTAGATCTTGATTAAAGGCTTTCATCGGCCCGTATCTACAATAAACGCTAATGGAAGACATACAATATACTCTAAGCCGCAATAGTGATTATCACAGGATTCAAAAATTTGATATGCATTGGGCAAGCGTACATTATCTCATCCATAGCAGCAAGTATTGCTCACTAAGATCTTTGGGTCCCAGAATAGGACGAGAAAGGTACATGTGAGGGTGAATTAAGCCAGTCTAGCCAATTAGCATAATTGACCCATCTAGTGGTGTAAATTCTATGAGCCCTGTTGTAGCTAAGCCCCGGTGATATAACCATGCAGACAATTATCCCGGTTCTCTGCTATAAGACCTCCAACGCTCTTGGGATTCGTCGGGACTGAAGGCTCACAAAACACGGGCATGTATTGTGGAGCACGGTCAGAACAGTGACAAGACTCATCTAATAGAGAAAGCTAAGACAGAAGAGCTCGTCTATAGGGCACATGCTCAAGCGCACCGCCTTGGAACACAGGTCTCGTCTCTTCATTCATCCCAGTCCATTCCCAGCATGCATTCCATAAGGCTTCGCGTTTCTCTTCATCCTCACTGATCCGAGCGGCGGCATTTGGCATCTGTCCATCGAAGTGTCCTCTCACCGAAGAGTACTTCGGGTCTACAGCCAGCGCTATCAGGTCACGAGCAGAGTCTTTATTGGAGCGAAGTCTGTAGCTGAAGATGTTTATAATCGGAAGCGAGATGGCGAACAGCTTGAATGCGATCTGAATGATTTTACGCTGAGAGGTATGAGCACGGGAGTCAACAAGAAACCTGGGTCCATGGCGGTCACCGTGATTTTGCTAAGTATTGAATTCTAGATAACCTAAATTTCAGTGAAATCCTCGTTTCATGGAGCTCGTTTCGTACCTCTTGGAGTCGCTGGTTCAAGCTCTGCATGAACATGACGTTAGCCAGCTTGCTGTTCGCATATCGGCGCCAGCCCATGTCATGTTCAGTTCCAGCCTTGTCTAAACCAGGATTGACCAAGAAGCCGAGGTTCTCATAGGAAACTCTGCACCCAGCTTGGATAGTGGGATAGGAATCTCAGGATCGTGGATTTCGGAGCTTAGCATGACAACCCGACCCGACTCGCGATCCATGTTTCGTAAAATCCTGAGGACAAGAGAAAAGTGTGCAAGATGGTTGACTTGGAAAATAGACTCATGGTGATCATTGGAAAAGCGCTGGCCATTTAAAGACCATGTGAAAGCGTTGCAAATAATCGCGGAAATTGGAGGAAGTTGTTTTGATTCCACCAGGCCCGTGATCTCGTCCGTGAAAGCCCGCACTTCCGAAAGCGAATTCAAGTCCACGCTTTTGATCAGAAGCTTGCCGGTAGGATGTTGACCGGACATTTGTTCCAGTCGAGCCAGGGTGCGTCTTTAGGGGATTTTGTCGCATTTCGTACCGTGCCGACAACGGTGAGGGAAGGATGGAATAGGAGCTGTTGTACAGCCTCTATGGCTAGTGAGCCAGTTGCCCCTGTAATGATTACCGAGCCTGACATTGTATAGAATCAATCCAAGACTGAGGTCGAGTCAGCGAAATCAACGGAGAAAGGGAGAAATACTTAACCTGACATTCGGCTAAAGAATAGCCGAGATGTCATAGCTTTGCTTTAGAGGCATTGCCGCTATGACTGAATACACACAGACTTCCATGGTGAATGTGGACAAGGCTGTGTGATACAGGGTACATACTTGCGTTTTCTTTTCTTTGAAACTGGCTTGAGATGAGAAATCACATTATCACAATACACTATGAACCAATGTTCAATAGACAGATGTACATAGAGCACTATATGATACAAGTTACAACATCACTTCGGGTCACTGGGTCGATAGACGACTCGCTCTGCAAGTAAACGAGGTGTGTCGGTATCATGACTTGGCAAGAGGACCACATCAGATTCTCTAGCAAACTCTTTGATGGTCCTCAACGTCTGTTTTGCGCGTATGGGATCGTCGTTAATTCCATCCGGCTCCTCTTTATCCAAGAGATCCAAGCCATATGTTGCGTCGCCGGGGAGGAAGAATGTGACTTCCTCCTCCTTGGGGCCTTGGCCATATACCACCAGACCGATATGTCCAGGGACATGACCTGAAGTATCCACAATGACGATTTTCCCATCCTCTGTCAGAGGGTATGATTTTTTCCACGGCCCAAGCGCGTTGTCCTGCAGATCAACAATCCTCGGCGAGAAATCTCTCGGCCAGTGGTTCGGGGTAGCGCCCTCTATACTAACAAAGACCGGATGTTCTCCAAAGGTATTCCAGTGTTCACGACTGATGTATATAGGCAGGTCTGGCGCTTCCGCAACTAAATCCTCTAATCCACCGGCATGGTCGTTGTGGAGGTGACTCAAAACAACACCTTTAAGATCAGTCGCCTTGATTCCACAACTATGTAGCTGCTCAAGAATACCATCTTGGTGCGTTATCCTGAATTGAATCAGAAAGCCGTTGGCGAAAGCAAGCCGTGGAAAGTATCCCGCGTCGTTGCAACAAGGTGATTGTCCAGTATCGAAGAGGAAAATGCCTTCGGAGTGGCGAATGAGGAATACCCCCACGGGTAGCGACTCAGTCCATTCCCTGTCGAGGAATGATTTGAGGCGTCGAAGGATCGCGAAACTGCCCACTGGTTGTGAGCGCATAGATGGTCTGATGCGGACCGTTCCTGTGGTCAGGAACTCCAGTTGTACCGGTCCACTGTGACTACCGGTCATTTCTAGGGGACTGGTAGAATGTAGTGAGGGCTACCGAGAGATTGAAGGGTCCAAAGAACTAAAATGGAATTGGATTCATTTATAAATGGTCGATATCGACTGTCGATGGTTAGCCGAACAGGTGAAGTAAGCCGCCATGTTTGCCGACTGGACTTGAGGCTTGTATCAACTGCGATATGAAGGATATTTGTAGAGCTGGTATACTCAGTCAAGTCCGTAATGTTGTTCATGCGGTATGAAGCGAAATACTTGAAAGTTTGCTCCAATTCACACCTGTTGGGTGCAAAAAAGCGAAAATGAACAATGAAGAGACCAATAAAGAGATGATACGATCAGGTTAAATAAGAAAATAATATAGTCTAATAAAGATCAATCAATAGCCTATGTTCATCTTGTGTTCCGGGAAGGGTTGTTTTGGCAGTATCGCATTGCCGGACTCTTGTTTAGTCGAAACTTGTCGGCAAACTTTAGCCGAAATTCCCTTTGCCGACAACACCCTGCAGACATGGCACGTCGAGAATCGCCTCGAGCCCGGGTAGTATGCATCCGCTGCCATGCCAGCAAAGTGTGTACTTAAACTAAGCCTGCCATACGTCTGCTAATTTAGCTGAAGGTCCGTTGTGACCTCGAAGATCGGAGCGGGACTTGCAGCCGGTGCGAACCAAAGGGTCATCAATGCCAGTAAGTCGGGCCATCTCAACAAATAACACAAACTAACCTGCTAGGCCTCATATCGGGCCTCGTAAGCAAAGGAGAGCTCTTCGCTCTTCGCTCTTCGCTGGCTAGCAATCTGACACCTTTAACCCCAGGTCAGACATTGCCAGCTCCAGCACTAACACGGCCTCCAGAACAAGAACAGACTCCAGCACAGACACAGACCCCAGTACAGAGACATACCCCAGTACAGGCACAGATTACAGCAGAGGCACAGACTCTTTCCCAGGCCCAACTATCTGATACTACGCCATCATCGTCTTACAGCGCCCTAGAGCAGCGCACAGTTCATTGCGCAGATCTGGAAAATGTCAATTCAAAACAGCCGAATTTCATCGACAGGAGTGAGCTTATTCTCGACATAAGTCAGGCTTGTCGCCTCCCACCCCCAGTCATCACTCAAGCATTGGCAGACTTCTATTTCCGCGAATTATTTCCATTTGCACGAGTGATTGATCGAGGCAAAGTCGGAGCCTCGTCGTCGGTATTGATTCAGCAGTGTCTGTACTTTGCTGGGAGTACCATGCGTCAGCCAGCGGGAACAAGCGACTGGTCTTCTTTTGCCATCCACGGGCGGATCAAGACACTGCTTTTCGTGCGTCAAGACCCATGCCCATTCAACACGCTCGCCGCTCTTTCTATCTTGAGCACCTGGCTCCCATATTTGCCCACAGCAGTTCTACTGGACAGTCCATGGCAGTGGACTGGCATGGCAATCCGAATGGGAATACAACTACATCTCCACAAAGTTGAATCCTACAATCGGGTTGGAAATTCTGGGTTAATTCGACGAACATGGTGGTACTTGTTCGTCGCTGACACTTTGCAAATGGCGTGCTGTGGGCGCCCAGGGATGTTCCCTTTGAAAGACACTTCTGTATCGTTGCCTGATATCAGTGACTTCGAAAATCCCGACATGGCAGCACAGGCGTTCTGTCAAGTGACGCGCCTCTGTCTTTATCTGAAGGAGATTCTGGACTTGGGAAGGGATAACGAAGGCACTGGGGGGCAGACATGTCAGACCATGGACAAACTCAAACATTGGCGAGAAGTCTTGCCTACCGAACTAGAACTCTTTGGCCCCGATCAAGATAGGCAGGCTTACAGCCGCCCTGTGGTTGAACTTCACATCTTTTATCTGGTTTCAATTGTTCTGACCTGTTTCCTGGGTCGTCGTGATAACACCCCGCTGCTCAAATACCTGTCAATCGCCGCATCATCTTGCATCTCCCGGCTATATGAGGAAATTATTTACCGTGAAGAGGTTCAATACCTACTGCCCATTCATTCCTGGACACAACTCGTTGCCGCGATCCCCCGCGTATTCTGCGACATGGACTCTCTACAATCATATCGGGCAGATGATGACAGAATCAGCGAGCAAATATTGGGGAAAATGAGCGAGAAACATCCATCAGCTGGTATGGTGCTAAGCAAGATCCAGAGCCTTAGCAATCTTGGTATCAGCATGTTTCCTGTGCAATTTGATGCCATGTGGAATGGTCTTCCAGCACCAACATCAGACGAGAAGAAGCACATCAATACAATGTTACCTTTTCCCGTGGGCTTTTGTCCAATGCTTGACTCGGTTATGTCAATGTACGAAATTGAAATTACTCCTCTTGATTCTTTTTCCTCGGTACCCACACACAACGATGCGCAAGATTGGCCGGCGGTGGATTGGTCTTTCTTTTTGTATGATGGTTCTATGAGCTTTTAGTTGAGAACTTTGCTTGCCTGTGCGATTAGCCAGAACAGTGTCAACAAAAGAGAAATATTCATGATTTCCTCGTGTCCAGCAGAGAAAGCCAAGTGTAGAAGCAAGCCATACTACATAACTCCGTATACCCCACACACTCGGCAACGTCCCGCCTCTCGGAGCACACCCGCCCACCCTATAAGTACCTCAACATCAAGTCCTCAACAAATCTCTGCAACTACATTCAATCGCCAAAATGACAGACCCAACTGACCAGCCACACCAAATGCACCACATCCAGCATGCGGATCTCAAAAGCTTCGTGCAACAAATCCTCATCGCAAACGGCACATCACCCAGCGACGCAGAGGTTGTCGCAAAATGCCTCGTAGCAGCCGACCTACGAGGAGTAGACACACACGGAAGCAATCGCATCCCATCATACATGAAGCGGATCCGCCAAAAAGTCCTGAACCCATCCGCAAGACCAACAATCAACCAAGTGACACCAGCAGTAGCGCAAGTGGACGCACACAACGGCTTCGGCTTTGTAGCCGCACACGCGGGCATGAAACGAGCCATTGAAATGGCCCAAATCTACGGAATCGGCATGGTTTCCATCAAACACTCGAACCACTTCGGCATGTCAGCTTGGCTAGTCCAACAAGCCCTGGAAGCAGACATGATGTCACTGGTATTCACGAACAGTTCGCCAGCACTACCAGTCTGGGGCGGGAGAGAGAAACTAATGGGCGTTTCACCCATCGCATGTGGTGCACCATCTGGGAATGATGCCCGGCCATTTATCCTCGATATGGCGCCGTCAATTGCAGCCCGGGGGAAGATCTACAAGGCTCTCCGGCGGGGCGAGAAGATTCCTACAGATTGGGCGCTTGATGGGGAGGGACGTCAGACTGATGACCCGGCGAGTGCATTGCAAGGTGTTATGCTACCAATGGGCGGGCCGAAGGGGTCTGCGTTATCTGTTATGATGGATGTGTTTTCGGGTGTATTGTCTGGATCAGCTTTTGCGGGAGGAGTCACGAATCCGTATGATCCTTCTAAGCCGGCGGATGTGGGACATTTCTTGGTTGCTATTAAGCCTGATTTGTTTATGACTATTGAGGAGTTTAAGGGGAGGATGGATTATTTGTATCAGCGGGTTGTTGAGTCGGAGAGGATGGCTGGTGTGGATCGGATTTATTTCCCTGGGGAGATTGAGATGGTTACTGAAGAGCGGAGGTTGATGGAGGGTATTCCTTTTGCTGAGGCTGAGATTGCTGAGTTGAATAAGGAGGCGGATTTGGCTGGGATTGAGCATTTGAGAGTGTGATATTCGATGCTTTGCTAAGACATCGATTGCATCTAAAATGGATTATTATGTATGAGACAAGCTGGTCTGTCTGCCCATGTCTATGTGTTACATTCTATGGATAGCATAGACTGTCAAATGTACAAGCAAAGCACAAGGCTTGATTGACCACACTACTGGTCTTAAGATCCCACTAGACACACAAGGCAATCTTAAACAACTTGCCACAGAATACCAGCCAAGCCACAGAGCCACACAGAATAATGCACAGGTAGAAATAGTGTCACAGTTCAATTATCGTCGACAGGACCTCCCATAGAAGGAAAGAAAGGCTAGCGAGAACCAGAATAAACATATTCAATGGGAAAATAATATGCTCGGAAAAAGGAACACGAATAAGGTCTCACTTTACAGCCAGAGATAATAGTAACAGGAGAAGGGAAGGCAAATCACAGGGGATCAGAAAAGAAAAGAACAGCAAAATCAAAGACATTAGGAAAGGAACATGTATTCAAACAAAGGAAATAATGAACATGCTAGATAATTTATCAAACATCCAAAGGATGTTGAGGAATCGCTCCATGCATAAGAAGGGGACAAAAGCAGGGTATCACGTAGTATCCAAACAACCTCGCTGCTCTTCCGAGCAACTCAACGAGCATCAGAAAGATAGGGTTTGAATCTGCCTTGTGAGATCAAAGCTTGAATTCGAATTGCTTGATCTATCCGGTCTCACGGGCCGGGCCGATTTGGGAAGAGGCTCTTGTCTTCTGTCTTTTATTGACTAGCCAGGGTGAGATCAACGCTCATCGCCAGCTCTAGACTTGGCACGTCTGCGGAAGAAATCCATGACTTTGCGTGCTGCACCAGAGCTGCCAGAGTGGTGGGATCCGTCCCGCTCATATTCGTAGGCATCGGCGAATTTGCGGTGGTTCTTTTGCAAAACGTTCGGACCACGATTTGAGCGACCAGCCTGCATTGACTGACGAGGCATACTGTCATAGGTGCCGTTGTAGTCGTCGTAGTAGTTGGGCTTGGACTGGTAGCCATAGTTCTTGTCAGAGTACTGGTCTCGGTCTCGAGAGTTTTGGTACACCTGTTCAGCCGATGGCATACCGAAGGGATCCTGTTGCGGGTCGAATTGAGTGCCCAGGTCTGCGAATTGCCGGTCGATTTGGGCTTCGTAGCTGAGAGGCTCGTTTTCGGCATGAACGTCCTCTCCAGGTCCCTCGCTTACCATTCCCATGGCATCTTGAGCGCCATAGCTTGTCGAGCGAGCCCGACCTTCTCCAGGGCCTGCAGGGCCTGTAGCTGGCCGTTGTTGACCACGTGACTCGATAGGGCGAGGGATTTCTGCATGTTCATCGGGTATTTGAGCTCGGCCGGTGGAGAAGCCTCGGAAGGAGAAGGATTGCGGGAGAAGGGAGAACCGTCGAGGGCGGTTCTCGAGACCAGATTCGCTTGCCTTGCGGTTATGGGGATATTGCATGGAACGCCGGGAGTCCATGGACATTCTGGAATTCTCTCTCGGCAGTGGTTCCTTCATGCTGACTGGAGGGTAACGCTTGTCTTGTTTTGTGCGAGGTGCGTTGGCTTGAGAGCCACGACCACCCATGATTGAGCCAGAGCGTCCGAAAAGCTTCTCGCCAAGGCTGGAAACAGTGTTGGATCTCTTGTGGCCCTTTGGTGGCTCTTGTCGAGGAGTCGTGTTGAATTTTGAGGGCAATACCTGGGTACTTGGACGACCGATCGATGTACTAGAGGTCTCTGGTTCCTGAGGAAGGGTGAACTGTCTGCTCTTCGGCTGTGCCAAGCGGCCTTCGGTATTAGTTGCGGTAACGGTAGGAGCCACCGGCTGTCCGTAGGAACCACGAGAAGGCAAACGACCAGCGTTGTTGAAGGAAGCCATGGAGCCACCAGTGGCGGGCCGGGCTCCCGATGGAAGCCCAACGTGTTGCGACCCAGTGAGTGCTGCGTTATCCGAGGTCGAGCGCGGGAAATATCCTGGAAGGGGCTTGTTGAGGTTGAGCGCCGGCGCATCTGCGCCCTTCTTTTGGACTGGCTCTGCTGGTTGCACTGGCGCCATAGCTGGTTCTGCCGGAGCTGGAGCTCGGCGAGAGGTCGTTGCTTCTACTGGAGGTTCTCCTCTGGTCGTTTGTGACTGAGGAGCAACATACTCGACTTGGACGGTTCTTCGCTTGGCGTCGCGGGTGGTTTTGGACTTTTCGGATGGCGAGTCTTGCGAAATATCTCCCGCATGGTGGTTCAGACCACCAACAGCTGGGACATTGCTTTGAGATGTCTTGGGTGGTTCGCGCACAGAGGCACTTCGGGCGAGAGGGGGAGCTTCTTTTTGTATTTCTGTAACTGTAAGTTTCAAACTGAGCATTCGAAAGGAACTGGTCTCACCGGAAGGAATTGTGGTGTTGGCAATGTCCGCAACATTTGTTGTGCTGCTTGTGATATGAGACACAACGTGCGAGTATTCACTGAGCCAGCTGTGCCGGGCTACCTCAAACAGATCTGCACGCTTCCGCGGGTCGGGAACCAATATCCTCCTCAAAAGATCGCGTGCATGTGGTGTTACATATTCGGGGAATGTGAGAGGTGTGGTGACGATGTATTTGTACAGAAGATTAATGTTGTCGCCGTCGGGGTTTGCTGGGTCGTCGTCAAAGGGAAGGTATCCAGCCAACATGGCATACTAGAGAATGTCAGTTGAGCCAAAGCGCACGCCACACAGCAAGGGTCTTACCAAGATGACACCACAACTCCACACATCGACCTTGCGACCTGTGTATAAGGAGTCGCTCACAACCAGCTCGGGAGCAGCGTAACAGGGACTGCCACAGCTGGTCTGCATCAGATCGCCTCGGCGCAAACCATCGCCATTAACCTTGTCCAGGCGCTTCCGCTTGACATATTCCTTGTTAGTCAAGTTGTACTCGATCTCCTCGTCCAGCGGGTCTACTGGATTGAAGGTATTGGCGAATCCGAAATCCGTAATGATAATGTTGCGGTTCCGGTCGAGAAGCAAGTTCTCCAGTTTCAGATCACGGTGGACAATTCCCTTCTTATGTAGATAGCCAACTCCCGAAACGAGCTGAGCAAACAGTCGGCGCGCAGAATTGTCTTTCAGGTAGCGGTTGTTCAAGATGTAGTCAAACAGCTCACCTCCTGATGCATACTCCATGATGATACCAATGTGTCGGTCGGTTTCCACCATTTCGTGGAGGCGTACAATATTAGGGTGTGCCAGATCGCGTAGAATAGAAATTTCGCGGTAGATCTTCGGTAGTCTACTGGGGTTCGTTCCCAGAGAGTCCCTCCGAATAAGCTTGATAGCTACCTGGATGCTGCCATCGCGCTTCCAGCCCAGCTTGACCTTTCCGAACTCACCCTCACCGAGAGTTTGCCCAAGAATGTAAGAGCCGAAAGTGGTCTCCTTGCGCTTGACGATATTTCCGTTGTTGTAATCATGTCGACTGCGAGGCCCGCGAGCCTCTTCTGCGCCTTCAAATCCAGGGGCCAAGCCCGATGAGGAGGCGTGCTCTGTCGATGCGCCAACTTGTCGCACCTGCTCTCTTTCGTGGTCCACGACAGGGTCGCTGACCTGAACAGAGTTGAGCACGGCATTAGACTCCTTCACTAGATTTCCCTCGGGCTCCATCTCGGGTTGGACCGGTGGCGCTGTTCGCTCCACTTCGCCAGAACTCTCTTCTCCCTGGTGTCTCCGTGATTTGCCGTTTCGGTCTTCACGTGGACGCTCGCGGTGTTCCTTTCGCTCGGTCCTGCTCTTTCCTCGGGAACTGTGTTTTTCGCCCGGGGCCCCGTTCGGACTCCGGCGGCTGTGGTTTGTTGACGAGGTTCGCGGGGGAGGAACCGGCGGTGAACCTAACATGTCGGGATAGGCGTTACGAGCATTCTTTTGAGAGGGAGACGCGGTGCTAGTCGATCCTGGGGAAGTATGGGTGGGGAGCACAGCCGGCTGACGGGAAGTGCTCATAGCCGAAGAAGCTGTTCGGGACCGGCCTCAGAAGTGGCTGGGGATGGATTAGCAAGTCGGTCGGTGATGCGCGGTCCTGCAGCACATCAACGTACCTTCTGATAGATGCGCGAAGAGGCTCTGTGACTCCCGGGGCAGCTTTGGGCAGAAATTGGAAATTTCGATTCGTAGAATTGGCGCGAGGGAGCACAAGGTTGAAAGTCGAGGGGCGACCGGTCGCACTCAATTCAACGCGCAATCTGCGTTGGTCAGTCCCCAGAGTCTTATCAATCGCCAAAAATGGTGTCGAGGAATGGGGGGCAACAGCTGCCAGATCGGAAGAATGGAGGGGACGCCACCAATCGCGCAGCCGTTGAATAATGGAGCTTCACCCACCTGATGATGCCCAGGGGTAAAGACGCGTCAAACACCCAATGCTTCACAATAGCTGCACTGCAGCCTTCCAGTCCCAGAACCACGATATTCGGCACGTCAAAGATCGGAGAAACAACACAAATGTCTCAGACGCGAAATGCCGAGTCGAAATGAAATCAATTGAACATGGTCGAATCCAGGAGGGGAGGGGGCGAGGGAGGGAAACACCGGTCGGAGATCCCTTGAAAAAAGGGGAACACCCTCAAAGAACGAAAACTGAAAGGACAAAAAGAAAGAAGAAAGGGAGAAAGGGAAGGGCAGAGAGTTGTAAAGGGAAAAAAAGAGGAGGTGAGATACGAGGTTTTGGGGGGGGGGGGCGGGAGAGCCCTGGGAGCTCAACTATACTCAGTATGGTAATACTTTGACTATATCCTGATCTTGACATTGATGTCTAACTAATGTAATATCTCTATTCTGTGATTCTGTATATTCTATTTTCTACAATCTATGTTCTATATCCTATATCCTGCGTCCTGTGTCCTATGTTCATTTGTACCCATAGTCGACTGTCTGCGACTCGGGCCAGTTTCCTATATTCCAAATTCTAAGTTCTGTCCAAATAACATTGTCCCTTGCTCTTCACCTGGGCAGTAAGGACTCTCTAAGTTTCAAGAAATAGGGGGTTGAGGTGGACACCGCCGATCGTCATTATTAGCCTCCGAGTTTTGATCTCACATTGCATTATTTATAGCTGCTTAGCGCATGAAGATGCCTATATCTTTGTGTATAGTTAATCGAACCTAGCATCCAGCATAGAATGTAGATGTGTATGTGTATAACTTCGATTTAAATGTATTAATGAAGCTCAATGCAACCACGGTTGAAATCATTCGAACCACGGAAACAGTAAGATCGCAGCAGATCTCTGTTCGCTTCAAAGAGTCATGTATTTTCTTCATAAGTTAACTGACTTATTGCAACGACACCCCACATGTTGGAACTCTACACGTCATTTCAATATCTGCAATTATCTCCAATTACCTCCCTGTCTTTGCCTTGATATCCCTTATTGCACTTTATTGGAGGTGGACATTGACAGTTGTCAATTGATGCGTTGGCATTTTCGCCATCTATACTCTCATCCAATCGATAGCGCATAGATCTACCGTTATCCAACAGTCCCAACCAACGGGTATCACCGCCGTTGCGTACTTCAAACATCCTTTCATCACTTCTCCATCTATTCATATGAGAAAGACGGTCTGAGTCGCTTTTGGGCTCGGTGCTTGCGGCCGCGCCACCTAGTCGAAACCCAAATTGCCTCCTGTTGTACCTGAAGTATCACATATTAATATAAGCATGTTGATATGTAGTCGGAACTTAATTCTGCTTGCTATCTACCTATCAAATCATGACTGAAATCGCTTGCCTAACCCCCCCCCCCCCCCCCACAAAAAAAGAACAGAGATAGATCCCGAGGACCCTTGCCCCGGAGTTTTACCGCTTACCCCCTGACATGGGCGCTCCATCTAGCGACATCGTCCCCGATGCGCCATAGGCTGGAGGCGGTGTGGGGCCCGGCGACGGACGGCGAACTGAGTCCCGAGCACCCAAGCTAGACGGACCCGCGTCCACTCCAGCAGTAACTTGGCCACCATCACCTCCACCAACGACAACTTGCTGACCGTCGCGCATTTTACCCACAACCATACCCTTGGCAACCGATTTCAGAAGCGCGCGCCGACTGACACCCGTGGCGTCAATATACACCAACCCGACATTCTTGATTCCGCCCGTCAGATTGGTCGCGACGTTGCCAGCCTCGGACCCGTAGCGGTGGTCAATCATGGAGCTAGCGGCTGAAGCGCCGGAGAAGAGCATGTTTCGGGCACTCTGCTCAATGCCATCGGCAATGGTGGAGAATGCGATCATGGATTTGTTCATCACACCGGGCTTGTAATCTGGTGGTGGATTGCTCTTGTCGACGCCTTTGCGCCGGCCTGACTCTTGTTTACGCGCCAAAGACGCGCCCAGATTTTGCGCAACTTTGCCAACCTGTCCCACAGTGCGAGCCGAAAAATCGGCAGCGCCGTGGGAGAAGGTGCCGACCTTGCGGATGCGAGCGTGGGTGGAGTCGGAGAAGGTCAGAGGCTTGGGGTTAGGCTTGGTCTTCTGTTGGAAGCTCTGCGCACCGCTGGCGATGGCACCTGCCAGATACGATGATCCAGTGACGATCAAGCGCGATGCTGTCGCAGATGTTTGGACGATGGTCGAGCTCTTGTATGCGGGGTGTCGGGCCATTGCCAGGTATTCTTCAGAGACATTGCTGACACTGACTTGGTTGCCTTCACCTTCGGCGGGGAGTTCAATTCCCACAGGTCCTGTAAACCTAATTAGCTTCTGCAAACGGTCCCAGGCACCGAATTATTTACTCTTGGAACCAGGCTTGACATCCGAATCTTCCACCACGTTATAACCATCTCCCAATTCTCCGACAACGCTACCGTCTTCCTCGTCAATCAGCACGATCCTTCCGTGCGCATCTGCATTCTTCGAGTCCGATCCAACATATCCTTGGCCGGGGGCGTAGTCTGCGGGGTTATAAGCAGCAAAGTCCTGCGACTTGGGAGGAGGGGCTCGTTCGAGGAATGCGGTGCACTGCGCAAGAATGGTTTCAAATGTATCGATATCATCCTGTGTCACATTACTGGGTCCAGAACCGATGCTGGGGAATTGGATGCGAATAAAGGCACCAGCGTCGGGTCCCATGTCCCATCGGGGGATGAGATAACTATCGGGAGGCTGGTGGAAGATCTGGGTAGTCGCCGGCAATGCGAGATCCAGCTCAGGTGGGAGATATAGGTGAAGGTAGAAGTCCTCTTCTGGCGACTCTGTACCTGCCCCGCCTGTGGTGCTGGTTGGCACCATCAGCAAAGAGAGGGTCTGAGGGCCCGACGGCGTGAGATCCTGCTCTTCGCCATCTTGTAAGTGGAAAGCGCGAATATTGTTGACGCTGTAAAGCAAACGGGGGTCGTGTGCAGCCATGATAGTTGCAGTAAACAGGTGTTCAGGGTCCGCAATCAACTGATAACGGAGGTATGACGTCGTGTTGCAGTCGGTTCAGTCGCGAGTTACCAGGTTACTTCCAGGTGCTGAGTAGGTCAAGTCGGTCAAGGCAAGGATGAAAAAGAAAAGAGATTGATCTAAGACTAAGGGGCTTCTTATGAGCACTTCATGTCTGGGCGCTTAGATAAATGGAGGGCTGTGCTGCGCCGCGTTTGCGCCACATTTGTGCCACGCCACAGTGTGGGGGTTTCCACTCTTTTCTATTCAACTCTCTACACTCCATACTTATGCGTGAATTCGATGTCAATTCGATGGCCACGTTTCAGATCTTGTCCGATCTACATCTAGAGAATCCGTCTGCCTATGATACGTTTGAGATCTCCCCAACAGCACCCTATCTGGCTCTGTTGGGTGACATAGGAGTGGTCAAAGACGATGGCTTCTTTCCATTCCTTGAAACACAACTACGCCAGTTTAAGGTCGTTTTCTTTTTGTTGGGAAATCATGAGCCATACTATTCGGCTTGGGATAAAGCACGATGGAAACTAGAACAATTCTCCCACTCGATCAAGCAACGCTCAGAGACAGAAGAAGTAGGAGATTTTGTATTTCTCAATCAGACTCGATTTGAGCTCTCGCCAGAAATAACTGTCCTGGGCTGCACCCTTTATTCAAGAGTGAACGAAGCCCAGAGGGAGCATGTGAGCTTCGGTCTCAATGATTTTTATCACATAAACGACTGGACAGTGGAAGACCATACAGCTGCCCATGAAGCAGACCTGAAATGGCTTAACGAACAAGTTTCCCATGTTGCTGCGAATGAGCCTCGGCGCATGATTGTCATTTTTACACACCACAGCCCAATTACCTTGGATCTCCGCGCAGTTGATCCAAGGCATGGGGATAGTCCGTTGTCGTCGGGCTTTGCCACAGATCTATCCATGGAAATCTGCTGGACAAGTCCGCTGGTACGATTGTGGGCTTTTGGACATACACATTATAATGTTCATTTGGAAGATAGTACCGGGAAAATAGTTGTGAGCAATCAGAGGGGATATTATTTTTCGCAGGCAGCGGCTTTTAACGATCGACTTGCGGTTTCTGTCTGATTCGCTATACCTTAGCACTCCTGCATAAATTTATTCTAAGTTGGTGTATATGATAGAAATGTGACATAGAAAGTTGGATCGGAAATATATATTTGAGTAGTCCCCTCCGACTTGATAAAACGAAATGACAGACTTAATCGAGAAACCACCAAGCTGGTCATGTCATGAAACAGATGAGATGACCTATATGACCTCAATATATTAATTTATGTTCGCAAATATTGATAAGAGCTGTTCGTAACACATATACGAATGTTCATTTTAATGAGTCAATCAGGATTTGATAATAAATATGCCTATGAAAAAGTGTAATAGCTGTAGTACAATAGTACTTGGAGTTGAAAGGAGAAAAAAAGAAAACCAGAAACAATTATTACCTTACCAAGAGGCAGATGGAAGAACCCAATTAAGAGACATCACCATGAGAAAAGCAAAAATAGATGGACGGGCGGTGGATCGAACACCGGACTTTTCGCATGCAAAGCGAACACTCTACCACTGAGTTACGCGCCCAGTTATGATACCGAAGACTGACTACTTAGCTTCCTATTGTGGGGTCTAGTTCTCCCGGTTCGGATAGGCAAATACTGCCCTAGTACACACACCTTTATTTCGCAAAATCTCTCTCGTGAATGTGTAGAATTATGTACTATATTGCTTCCATATATATGAGAACGCATAGAATGCGGGATATAACTCAGATACATGGCACTGATACTACCTCGGGAGGCGAGGCTGGGGATCCAGTTTCAGCCTAACCATCCTGGGACACAAAACCCACTTGCCAAGGTTTCCAAGGCTGACAATTAACAATGCTTAGTCATTACAAACAGTGCAAACATACAGTGGGATGCGAAATTTTGGCGAACGACTTGCCTTGCTCTTGGTCCCAAGGGTTGCCTGGTTACTTGCTCGACAAAATGGAAGCCGAAACGGTAAAGATTGATTCTGTGCTTGACGTCGAGGCCCAGAAGCGCGACGCGAATGACAATGCTGTCGCTGTGGAAGAGCCTCCGGCTAAGAAGGCACGATTGGAGGAAAACCCCAACGCGGCGAAGCAAGACATGCGCGATAGAGGAGTTGCGCCCATTAAAGCAGAGTATGTCCAACCCCCAACCCCTCTTCTGTGAATTACAGGATATAAACATTGTTATTCCAGGTACCGTATCGAAGTCGTGAGGCCACAGCCGAAAGAAGATCTCAGTCCGGACGATGCTGCCGAAGCCGCTCCTCGCGATGACCGTGATACCGATAAGATGTCCAAGAAGGAGAAAAAGAAGAAATTTTCGGGACAAAACACCAACCGAACCTATGGCAAATCCCAAGACGAAAAGGGCCTTTGCGCCACCAGAATGAACGCCAACGAATTCTCGGCCGGCGAGTGCAAGTTTGGCGATACCTGCCGCTTTGAGCATGACTTGCGCCGTTACTTGAAGGAGTACAAGCGCGAGGATCTCACCACCTTCAAGGTCTGCCCTATCTACGAAGCGCAGGGAAGATGCTCCGCCGGCTGGAGATGTCGATTGGTTGGCTCTCACTCGACCGAGAGAGAAACCGAGGATGGAAGAAAGGAGTTGATCTTGCTGGAAGATACAGAGCTCGTGGAGAAGGCTCGCCCTCGTGTGCCTGGTGCGACACCCGATGGGGTTGTCAACATTATCGCCACGGATGCCAGGGTCAGCCTTACGAGAAAGAAGGAGAAGACCCCTCGCGCTGATGCCTACAACACTTGGGTCAACAAAGTTTCTGCCGAGTTAGAGAACACACTCCACAAGCGCAACACCGTCCGAGAGAATGGAGAGCTTGTTGTTCCAACAAAGGAAAACCAGAAGGAAGAGGACGCGAAGGAAACGACTACGAAAGAGGGCGAAAATGGAGAAGTGAAGGAGAAAATAGAGGAAAAGGCAGAGCAGAAGGAAGCATTGGAGGAAAACCGCGCTCAATTCACTGAACCTCCTTTCTTGCCTTCCGAGAAGAGACGCATTTACTTCGGCCCAGAGACACCTACACTCGCACCTTTGACAACTCAAGGCAACATGCCATTCCGCAGACTTTGTGAAGACCTGGGTGCTCAATTCACCTATTCGGAGATGGCCATGAGCATGCCTCTAATTCAGGGCGCAAAGTCCGAATGGACCCTTTTGAAGGCACATGAGTCGGAATTGGCACCACCAACCGTCATTCCGGGAGACAACATCGTCCAGGGCTATGATAACTCCAAGGATTCCAAGTTTGGTGCACAGATTGCGGCTAACAAGCCATGGCAAGCATACAAGGCCACAGAAGTGCTTTCGAAGTTCACTCCCAACCTTCGTGTTATCGATCTGAATTGTGGATGCCCCATTGAGCTTGTGTTCCGTGACGGCGCTGGGTCTGCTCTTCTTGACCACGGCTCCAAGCTGGAGAAGATGATTCGAGGTATGAACACTGTCTCGCAGGAGATTCCAATCACTGTCAAGATCCGCACGGGAACCAAGGACAACCAGCCCAACGCTTTGAAGCTGGTTGAGCGTCTTGTTCTGGGTGGATATGAGTCCAGCCTTTTGGACGTGGGCCCTCCAGGTGCTGCTGCTATCACTCTGCACGGCCGCAGTAGACAGCAGCGCTACACCCGACAGGCTGATTGGGGATACATCTCTGAGACAGCAGCCCTTATCAAGCGCTTGAATGAAAAGAAGGACAGTCTCACTGATACCATCCGTGAGCCGGATGCCCGGTTCATGCCAAACGGCGGAAAGACTTACTTCCTCGGAAACGGTGACTGCTACTCCCATGTTGACTATGATGATCACGTCAACAACGCCGGCGTGGATAGCGTTATGGTGGCTCGTGGCGCTTTGATCAAGCCTTGGGTCTTCGAAGAGATCCAGACCGGCCAGTATCTAGACAAGTCTGCCTCTGAACGGTTGGCTTATATTGAGCGCTTTGCCAAGTACGGTCTCCAGGCTTGGGGATCTGACGAGCATGGGGTTGGAACAACTCGTCGTTTCCTGCTTGAATGGCTGAGCTTCGCTTACCGCTATGTTCCCATCGGACTGCTGGAGTACCTGCCTCCCAATATCCAAGACAGGCCACCTGCTTGGCGCGGTCGCAATGAACTAGAAACTCTCATGGGCAGTGGAAACTACAAGGATTGGATCAAGATCACGTAAGTTCTTTTCAAAATAATCTTGGATCATTGGTTAACTCATATCGCAGTGAAATGTTCTTGGGTCCTGCCCACAAGGACTTCAAGTTCGAACCCAAGCACAAGTCCAACTCTTACGAGGCCGAGGGTTAAATATATCTATTCCTTATGGTCAACAATTGTATATATCACAAAATCTTCACAGCTTTGCCTGCATGTTTACGAGGTGTTGAATTCAATGTTGGAGAAATTTTCTGTTAAAGGCAGACATTATGATTGTATGACAAGTTTCAATCAGAATACAGCTCTATGGGCCGCTTATTACAACAATGGCCATACGGATTTTCACACTTCACCTTTATATGATCTGATTGATTTACCCGAGGCAGTTGAAAATGGATAAAAAGTAGGTGAAAGAAGAGGCGAGAAAGAGGGGCCAAGTTGGGGCACAAACAACATGAAATGACACACTGCTTAGATTATCGTAGAGCATTTGTCTAACGCTTCATAGTAATGTGGATAGATCTAAGACCCCTGTTGTATTAATCAGAAGCCTAATCAACTGTCAAGAGTTGCTCAAAGAAACCCCCGAAGCCACGTTCTTTATCATGTAGATGGAAAATTCAATGACGCTTGGATCCATCACGACCAGACAGACCCATTGACTCGTTATTGCCCTTGGTGATATAGAGAGACGTCCGGTCTCGCGGAATCCGCTCATGAGGGAACGACCCAACCAGATGACCGGCAATATCAGCACCGAAATCCCAGCCTTCCTGCTTAGCAATCTCACAAGAAATGCTGTATAACTCTTCTCCAGACATATCCGGGTTCTCGCGGTACCGAGCCTTTACTGTGTTCCATATCCGCTCTAGCGCATCACGGAGCTTCCTCTTATGAGGATTATGTCCCATTACAAAGGTACGCCCAAAGTCCGCCTCCTAGGCCTCGAAAACAGGCCCCAAATCCACGACTAGTATATCATCTGGTTGGATAACACGATCCGGTGGGTTCTCGGAGAAGGGACTGAGAGTGTTTGGTCCACCGCGGATGACTCGTTTGTGCCAATGCGTCTTGATGCCATAGCGGTCGAGTCCTAACTGATAGACTTCCTCGTTCAATTTCTTTTCGGTGACACCATGTCGGACTAGATCACGCTCGATCTCTTCGAAAAGTAGGACGGCTTTGTCTTGTGCACTTAGGAGCTGGGATGCTCGTTCGATTTCCTCGGCGTAGGGTTACGGTTTGCCATTATATGAAGGGAGAAAGGTAATGTAGTACGAGAGAGTTAGAGCTGGTGATACGGTTATTTGTATGCACCCCAGGGGATTTGAACTATATACTGTACCCCTCGCGGGTGTCATACTAATAAGCAGGCATTGATTACGGCGTAAAGTGATTCGAGTTGGGAGAAATTGAAGAAAAGAGCTATAGTGTATAGTATACTATGTGGTACTTGCACATCTCCGTATAGATGTTGATATTCACCCGTTATCAGTTGGATATCTAGATCTGGTATGACGCAATGTGTTCAAATATAGGACTTGGTCTTATACAGTGGGACTTGCTCCATAGAGCTATTAGGATAAACTGAGCTACTTGAAACTAACTAATTAATTGAATAGACCAAACATATAACTATCTCTAAGCCTCTGAAAGCTTCGCGGAGTCCTTGATTGGTGACAGCATCACGTGCCCCATGACGTCTTCTTTCGAACCTGAAAACTTCCCCCATAAGACCACCTCACTTCTCCAACACGCGACTCACCTCCGCAATTACTTCAAATCGCTCCAGGCAAAGATAAAATCTTGCCTAAGCCCTGTGTCTGTGCCTGTTCACTGCCGAAACCACCAAAGTTCGCTTTGTTTACATTCACAAGCTATCTCCCAGCTCCCAACACCCCGCCCCTTTTGATTAGGCCAGAACTCAAATACAAGTCTCGCTGTAACCCCAATACTCGGCACAATGACTCTTTACTACAGCCTTGTATGTCCAACGAGCTCTTTCCCGGAATTTAACTTGCTGTGCCGTCCAGCTCCTCAACCGAGGATCGCTGCAGCCTAGTTCCTGAAACTGCCTGCACAGTCCAAGATGTCAACAACACGTTGTCAGATCTATTTCTAATACGATTACATACTAACTTCATGTCTCGCAGGTGTTCCTCCTTTTGGTGTTCGAGATGGCGGTGTTCCTCGCCCTCGTCATTCCTCTGCCGCATACCATCAAGCGGAAGCTCTTTGCGTTCATCTCGGAGAGCCCGATTATCGCGAAGCTCCAATACGGATTGAAGGTAGTTATGCAGAGCCCCTTCTTTTCATTATCAGACTGCTAACTCAATTTTAGATCACTTTTATCTTCATCCTTATCCTGTTCATTGACAGTGTCAACCGCGTGTACCGCGTGCAGCAGGAGCTGTCGGCTTTCACCAAGGATGGCCCCGCCGTCGGGTATGTAACCAAGTTTACCGAATTCAAGCCGCAGTCTAATCAAAAAGTGCTTACAGAGCTGCCCACCTCGGAACCGACCGCATGGAAGTTCAAGCCCGCAAGTTCTACTCCCAGCGCAACATGTACCTTTGTGGCTTCACCCTCTTCCTTTCCCTGATCCTCAACCGCACCTACACCATGATTCTCGAGGTCCTCCGCCTTGAGGACCGTGTCAGACTCCTCGAGGGCGACAAGAAGGCTGGCGGCAAGGACTCTGCCCGCATCGCCGAGGCTGGTTCCGTCGGCGAGATTGGCCGCTTGAAGGAGGTCATTGAGGCTAAGGACCGCGACATTGCTACCCTTAAGAAGCAGTGCGAGGGTCTGACCCGTGAATACCACAGCCTTGGCGACAAGGTCTCCACCTCAAAGGGTGATGAGAACGAGAAGAAGGACCTGTAAAACGCTCCAACATGTGAGACTTACCGGGTTATCTGCATCCTTTGAATCCTGCCAGGCCCAATGTCGGCACTTAACTTTGAAGAGCTCCGGTCTGTCTGCCTCACGTTTGCTTTGACTCGAAGGCCCCGTCCCTTTCAATTGGGATCCTCATGGCAACAAATACCCATATTTTGGATTGAAGACTGTTCATAATTACCCATTTCGGTGTACGGTCTGTGCTGCTAATGCAGTTGAAAGGGCTATTGCTCCCGCAGACGGTTTTATGATTTCAAGGGTCCATAGGGTTTACTCTGTAGGACTTATCAAATTCATTAACTCTATTATTTCTTTGCTTTACCATTCACAACTCAAGTGGCTCTCACTATCCCTAGGTAATTGTATGGCTTGGAGACGGAGATGCTTCGCATCCAGCAGATATAGTCGTTATTTCGAAAGATCATAAGGTATTCATAAAAACACATGCATGGTCCTACCAAATTTCAACAGCCTATGCTATTCAAACCAGGAACGTCCAGAAACTAGGATAGACCAGCTCCTCCTCAAAAATCCGGCGAACTTGCGCAAGCACAAACCGCTCCACCTTTCCAACATTCTTCAAGACCTGCTTCCCATCCTCCTTGCGACCAATTTCGCTTTCAACCCGAATCTCCTGCAGCAAACCACCCTGCCTTTTCTGATCTTTCTCTTTCTGGTCAATCCCAGAGCGAGGTCGCCCGTCGTCACTAGGATTCTGGCTTCCCTGCGACTGTTCCGAACCAAGAAGAGCATCAGCATCCTCTGCAGACAGGAAGCAGAAGTGCACACGCTTGCGGATATATGCCACGACAGCGACTCCGTCAAATGTGATACCCGTGACGTTCAACTTCAACGGTAGTCCCACGAAGCTAGGCATCGGGTAGTCAAGCAGGATTTCTGCGGTAAGGGACATGCGCACGTCGCCAGCATACTTGGCATGGCAGAGAATTTGGAAGTCCTCTGGGCGGCGCTCGCGCATGCGCGGCGGTATGGGGAAAGAATCGTCCTCGGGGGCTGGATCATCTAGGTTTTCTATGGACGGCTGCGGTGCATCGGCGGGATCACTGCTGTTAGGATTTGACCCGCCACTGCCTGCAGGGCCATGTGAAGGATGAGAAGGGAGGGTATTTGCGGTTGAAGGTCTAGATACGGAGTTGGTGGTGTCAAGATCCGCCTCTGCAAGACGTGATGCAGTGATAGGGCGGGGCGCATGTGGCCTGGGTCCAGGGCCTATCCCTGAATCCGACCAGCCACTCGCAAATGATGTACCACCCGCTACCGCCGCAAGAGGAGTCTGGGTACCTGACAGACCACCGAGGGACCTCATATGATATCCGAGTGTTGAAGTACCGCCCGGTATCCCAGGCGTACCAGCGCGGGGCAAGAAATGCGGGTTGAGGTGATCGCCGAGAGGAGAGCGAAGCGCAGAAGGCTGGAAACCCTCACCGGGATAAGGATGGTGACTGAAATTGTGAGGACTATGCGCAGGGTTCATAGCCAGTTCGTCCTCGTACGGGGATTCGTGAAGCTCCGGCCATTGTTCGGACATGAGCTCTTCGGAGGTGGCAGAGGTATCTGCATCGTCATCGTCTTCTTCGTAGAAGTCAGAGAACGGTTCACAGAAGTCTTTGATCTCGAGATCTGGGCCTATGGTTCCGAAGTCGAAGGAGTGGACCTGGACCGAGCGAATAAAGCGTGGTAGGGCTACCTGCTGGAATTTGTCGTGTACAAAAGACCGAATTCGCTCCGCCAGAGCTTCCCCATCCGGACCAGAGGTGGCGGCTGCCCAGTCGACTTCGATTGACATCACATGTGCACTGCAATATCTGATGTTTATGAGAGGGGAGAATGGACGGGAGGTGAAGATGCCGATAAGGTCACGTGATGGGAATGATGACATCCTTATCGGACGACGCGAACCATGGATGATCTCAACCCTAAACACAAGTAAAGTTATCATTTGTACTTCTCTACTTCGACGTCAAGTTGACAAGACGCTTTTGCTTTAGTTTACGAGTCTGGCGTTTAGGCTGCACTCCGCGGCTGGGATCTCCCATTTTGGTTCCGGCTGAAGCTATGGTTTAGTCTCAGTTCTAGCGTCCGATGCAATGCCACAACCAATATTTGGGATGGTCCATTGAGATATCATTTTTGGGTTGTTCCAAAGTCCCCGAATCACCTGGAAACTTCTTGTTTATCAGGCCAACAAGATCATGAGATTCGACCGCCCTCGGTAAATGAAAGAGTTGTTATTTGAAATCGCCAAGAGACCGACTTTGATAGGATCTGCGCCGGGTGGAGTGAACTTCTGCCTAGCGGCCTGACCCAAAGATCTTGCTTGAATCATTCCCCAAGTCTCAATACATTGTAATTAACCAGCTTTAGTGCTGCTATGGATACGATCATTTGAGCTTCTAAAGCGTGAACTACTCAACAGACAGATGGGGTAAGCTGTCGGCCTAGGATGCATGAGAATGATTGACAGTCTCGGGGTACTCCTTGATCCAAGCCCAGATCAGCTGATACGACCCATATGCGGGTCTAATGCAACTGATGAGGTGTCTGCGCGCGGCTGGTAACCTATCATCGACCCTAGGGACCACAATCGCGTCTATCTGACTGGCAATTCTGTTTCCCTGGACTTGGAGTGGCTGTCAAAGCCCCCAGACCCTGAGAACGTTCACCAATGACCTGTCTTCTCCTTCACCAACCTTTCCTTTTGCGATTCGTGACTCAACCGGGATTTGGGCGCATCGCCATCGTATTCTAAGGTAAGACAAAGAATACCAAGCTACTTTCCCTCTGATATTATAATGGGCGGAAAGTGGAGACTAATCTATGTCGGTTCTTAATTCAGTGATAGGTACAGTACATGACTGACAATACATGAGCATGTAAGATACCAAACGTAGCCGGTACAAACATCGCCAATACGTGTACGTACGTCTGAATTTGATCGGCAGTCACATCCAAAGCCCCGCTGGATTTCCGTAATAGCCTCTTACCGAGCTCGACTTCGGGGAAAGCCACCAAGTGAAACCCGCATTGTAGCCGCCGGCTCGTGGAAAGATTTCCCGTTCTCCCGGATTGGCCCAAGTTCTCCGAAGAATTTTCTTCTCTACTTGCGATAAACCTTCTTTGCTTGAGTGTTGGTTCCATGAACATGTGGCATGCATAGGACCTCCTTCTAGATTAATCCTTTGAACTTACTTAGATGGTTCCTGTCGTGTTGGTTCAAGAGCCAAACCCCATTTGCAGGATTGAAAAGCACAGTAAACCTTGAGACAAAAGAAATTGTGACATTGTGGGATCCATTTACATACAAGAGTGGCAATATTAGACAACAATTGTGGCTTGATAACAACAGGAAAGTGGGTTATTTCCCACACAACGACATGTTGATTGTTGAAATATAACACCTCCCCCGTTCGCACGGAAAATGAACAAAGAAAGTTTGGCTCAAGCTTGAAAAAGAAAGCCAAATAAAAGACCACCCAGAACCCGGAATGCCCGATGACGCAAGGTAATGAGAAAACGTGCCTCCGAGTAGAAGAGATAAACGATGCAGTAGGAAGACCCTTAACGGGACAGTCAAGAACGAGAGGATAAGCGAGGGTACGGAAATCGACCCCGTGGTGAATAGCCCCTCGCGTTGTGGTGATTTGTTGAGTGCCTGTGATCTCCTGTTAGCCAAACCCTATAGAAGCGAGGGATGGTAGACAAAGTGAAGGCTACCGACATTTGAGGTGAACCTATGTATGCTGAGAGCATTTGAAGCCAGGTCGGTGACGGTCCTGCTCTTTTACACCAGGACAAGTGGGTGTGCCTTTCTTAGCACAAGGGACGACACCACCTTCCTGCTTCTTACAGCCGCAGTCGTAGTGGAAGATGTAGACGGAACACATTTTGAAATTTGAGAGGATGAAAAACACCGCGGATAAAGATAAAAGACTGAGTTCAGACAAGTTGTGATCTCGGATTGATCGGTGTGATAGAAAACAAGAAAGGACCAGCGACCATCTTTATAGCAGTCTATGAATCCATCTAGAGAAGCACAATAGCTGCGCCGCTCACCATCATGTAGGCAACATCACCAGAACAACACGCCTTCCACCTGTTGCCTAAGCGCTGTAACTCATCAAGGTGTACTCATTCAGATACGCTATATGCACGGAACGACTCTGTGATCACCTTTCGCGCAGTCAAAGAAAGGGTAACTGAGGGCACGACCAAGGTAGACATGCGCCATTCAGAGTCCATCGGTATTTACCAACAGAAGCCAGTGTTGGGGGTAGGGGGATCATTAGAGGATAGCGGCATCCCCGGGGAGTCATACTGATGAACTGGGTTCGACGCCATGACCAGGGGTTGGCCAGGATGAGCACTTGATTAATACCGAACATCCGCAGCTGCAAAGGCCCTTTGACATCATATTCAGGCACCACAGGCATTTAAGGGGCTCATCTTATGCACAGTATGGGCACCAACAATAGCCCCGCTAGGAATAGGTGCTCATAGGGCCTGCGCCGCAGCATTTAGGGGCTGGCCATGACTAATTTTGCAATGAAAGGTCATGGTGAGTGACTTCGGAGTAAGGCACCTGTCACGGCAATTCCGCGACGGAGGCGACATCCGCGCAGGAGGCTGAGATGTAGCTGAGCCTCAGACGACTGTCCTGACATTGAATACTGAGTATGTAATTTTTGAAACTGACCAGGAATACCCTGCTCGGTCTCAGAGTCAACGAAAATTGGCTTCCAACTAGAACATCAGAACAAATAAGGGGCTTTCGTATCACGACCGGATCAGACGGGCCTTAATCGAATCGACTTGGAACCAACACGGCTTCAAGAGCCACAGTTCTGACATAGAGACTCTAAATCCTGAGGCGAAAAGCCATTATTTCGTCGAGATACATCTGGATTCGAGTCTGTAGGCGAATAAGGCTCACAATCATGGCGCAGTTGGTGATAGTCTTCAGTAGTAAACCAGAAAATGCGCTGTGATGAGGCGTTTTCTTGTCTCTAGTCAAAAGGTTAAGCGATCAATATAGGAGATCGAGACATAAGCCAAGAAAAAGCTCTTGAACCGGTATAGTGTCAGCGATGTGAGCTGTGTGTGATATTGCCGGCGGCTTTGTCCGATTTAGCGCGATCATGCGTCTGCGGGACCAGAACGTGGAAATTCAATGAGGGCCTATGAATTTGTTCTAGGGCGAAAACGACTGGTGAAAAGGAAGCTCTTAATTGCACAGTAGCGCTCTAGGGCAAGGCTTCTTGCTTTGCTCAGCCCAGGAGATCAACTCCCTGCGAGTAGACGCCCGAGAGCTACGGGCGGCAAGGCAAAAAACACCGGTCGAGACCGGTCGCTGAGGACTGAGCAGAGTAGTTTGGCGCTGTTGGAATGTGGAAATGATAAAATGGAAACGAAAATAGAAGAATTGAATTGAAGTGAGTATAGACTGGCCGGCATATGTGGTACGACACGTGATGATTCCAGAGATGCGATTCTTTAAATTCAACCTTAGCCTCTCCATGTGAGGAGTCCGTATATCCATGTTCTATATCTGATTGACTGTTCTCGGCTTCGGACAATTTCACGTTCTCGCAATTCTCGCAATCCCGGGGGATCTCCTCATGATGTCATTTCCGTGTCTTTTCGCTCCAAAGAGCAGTCCATTCCGCCCGGTTCCTGCAAGGTCGGAGTGATAGAATACCCCACGTATGGGACCTTATAACCGATATCCCTAGCGCCTACACACCTGCCAGAATGATTGGCCCTGAAACATAGACGAAACAAACCGGAGCTGATTCACGGATGTGCACCCGAAACGATTATTCACGCCTGTGAAAGCCCTGTTCTTGGCCCCTCATCCTGGCTGCTGATCTTCCGAGGTTGGCTCTCGGTTGGCAACGGGCAAAACATTATTGCGCAATTAGCAATTACGCTTATCTTGCCAAGTCCAGAAAAATCACTGAGGAATGACTGTCAGCAGCCCAGACCGACTTGTGCAACCAAAATTCCAAAGCCAAGAAAGGCGAAGTCGAAGCATTTCAAAAGAAAGGGTGATATTCCAATAGCGGTGTCTTGGCTCCCCCTTTTTTCGGCCAAGACATGTGAAGCTCATGTTTGGACTTCTCCTTTATGCCTTTATGGGCGATAATCGCGGGGAGTGGCTTGTCTGCATGACCGGTCCACTTCACCCCAGTCCCAGATATGATGCGCTAGATCGGCATGATTCGGGCACACCATTGATAGCATGCCCCTCATTCCCCAAGGTGCCTCTTGGCTTATTTTGAGGATAACTATATAAGTGAGGTCCAATCTCCCTCTCTCAGTCCGTTTTAACCACACTCTATCTCCAGCCTTCTACAAAAGCTCCCGTCTCCAACCGCTCTACTCTGCATACAACTTCCACATACAGTAAACCTCCAAAACTCGCAAGATGTACACCTACACTCCCACCCACCGTTTTTTGGTCCTCTCTGCCGCTGAGTCTGGCCCATACGATCCCAGCAATAAGTTCCTGGTGCTGTCGCCCACCGAGTCTGGCCCTGATCCTCGCGTCTGGGAAGACCAGCCCCAGATTGAGACCAACTCAACCGAGCAGAGCCCTAAGATGACACCCAGTCGTGCTCGTACCAACAGCTCTCTCTCGACGTCATCTTCATCCTCCCTCAGTGATCTTGTTGCTACCCTACCCAACGGCTTCCTCTACCTTGGTCACGGCAAGAAGCAGTAGGCGATATCTCAACAACTCGCCTACCCGCCTGGGGCTCACTTTCTCATCCTTACTTTATGATATACCATTACCACAGCGACCGATGCATCATTGAGCCCAGTTCATTTTCATTTTTCATTTTTTTGTGCTTCAGTCACGGCAGTGACTGGCACTTGGGATATGCGGGACCATCTAAATTGGGCAACAGGTCCGGAAAATCAGGGGTGTTTTACGGCGCTGATTATTACCAGTCTTTATTTCGGTCCATAGGTCGTCGCACTTTGACTGTAAGCTTACATAGGCTCTACGGGGCAAGCTAGTGATCAATGAACAAGACTTCCAATCTGATATTTCCAATCCACCCAACCCGCTCGATCCACTCTCGCCACATACTGTACAAACTGTAGCATAGTCCACCTGATCAACGGCGGACATCCGGACGCAAGGGAGGTCCCTGAATGCTTGGCGGAGCTCGCCAAGCTGATGATTGTCCGCCAAGCCTTGTGCAATCTGATACTCCCGCCTTGGCCGGGAGGGCAGGGAGTGACAATGCATCATGTTCCACGCAGGCAGCAGTGCCTTTGTGCGCATACTCAGCACCTCTTTTTAGGCTGCCAATCCTGCCAAGACCCCTGTTACGAATCCTGCTTATCAGTCAAGTTTTGTTTTCCATTTTCTTTTTGTTTCACAATGCACATTGATTTCCCCATCAATCAGATTGGTTCAGGGTTCAGGTTACATGTCATGCTCTTGGCCTGGTAATGGTGCAGGTCACCACATTGTTTGTTCGGTGAAGCCGTCTACCCCTCTGTGGGTCTCGCCCATCTACCCACGTTTCTTCCGGTGAAGATCTGGGGCGATGATGTGCACAATCTCTTCTTACTCTATCTATCATTCCGGCTTCTAAACCAATAAGATTTATTATTTACCACACGCCAGATAGCAAGGTCTCGGGTAAAAGGAGAAATTTGCCAAGTCGGTCATCGAATTCCGAATTGGCTTGGAGGTTGGCTTGGACTTGGACCAAGGTTCTCACCGGCCCAATTGGAAACATGACAGCTGGATGTGCAATATATCTGTGCTATTTTGCGTGTCGAAAGCCTCGTGGACACCACAGTGCAACTGTACAACGCTAATTTTAGAACCGGGCACTATTTCCTGTCTCACCTCTGCGCTAGCAAGATATTACCCGTTGATATTATTCACAATCCGCAGGTGGACAGCTTAATTTAAGAAAAGGGATAGATATTGAGTTTGAATACTTGTCACTTCGAAGATATAGCCCGAATATGTTCCATCCCTTTGGCAATTCATCAGCCTCAACTTTTGCCTTTAGATTCGCCTGGGACTATTCGGCTTATTGCAGACTTTCCCACTTGAGAAATCTGGTAAACCTTGAATGCTAGATAGGTATGCTTCGGGTCAAACCGCGCTCGCTGAGTGTTATCTCGGTCTTACTGCTCAATTCTTGCCGGTCACAGAACTTAGCAGATTAAATGAGCCGCTAGATTTCGGATCTGTTTGGCGACTGGAAGTCAATGCTGCTTCAAACAACACAGTTCTACCATTCTTTTATACGCTCGAGCTCTGGACTTGTTGTGACTTTGGCACCCTTTTCTGTTCCTTTTTGACACGCGATATACTATTTCGAACCCAGAGACTTTTTCTATCAACTCACTGAAGTGCAGCAGATGATATCCCACAACTTCAATCTGCACAGATCTTTAAAGTGAAGCGCCGATATTGAGGTACTATCTCGTTCTTGACAGAACTCATGTCAAAATGTCCACGAATGACAATTCAACAGTCCCACACCCTGCCCTCTCACCAAAGCCGAAATAATCTAGCCGTCCAAATTGAGCCTTCAATGAGTTCAGGTCCCTCCTTTATTCAGTGACTATTTATGGGCTATCGATAGTGCTAAAGTTGACGATGAAAAACTTTTATAGAGGGCACCAATAGATAACGAATATGTAGCTATGATAATGAGATATTTTCCCCTGATAGTAATTAAGGTCTGATACAGAAGCAGACAAACTGGTAATAATATCAATATTTAGATGAAAAATAGCATTGGACACAACGCAATCCATGTTGAGCTAATGCCTCGGCTTTTGAAGGGGTTGTTTCATTTACGGTTATTGCGGTGGTGGCTCAGACTATTATGGCCCAGGCAATTGCTGCTCAGGAGATTATGACGGTGCAAATGGTGGCCTGAATATCAACGGTGAATGCGGATCTTCTTTTGTCGGTGACTTGCGTTGGCGCTCAGTCCGGTGATTGCTACTCAACTGCAGGTTACTGCGGGAGTTCCACAGAGTACTGTGCTGCTGGCAATTGTTACGCCGGGGCATGTCTGTAGGGATCCGTGAATACGCTTTGGTCTCATGAAGTCTGCACCCTTGAATCCTAGATAGATGTTTCGTTGATTGGGATGAAGCAAGAAAGAGAAATCACAGACTTTCAAATTTACTTGGAACTCTTGAATGTTCTAATCAAGTAGACCTCGAAGTATAGGATTTATTGAGCTCACATTTCCGCCGCAATGCCCAAGCTAACTGAGCTGTACGCTTTGAAATATTCAAGTAGATTTTGAGTCAGTCGCAAGCAAATTGTTCTGAAGTAGATGTGGGAGGACACGGTGCTGGTTGGAAGTAGAGTGATACCCCTATTTCCCTGAGGTGCTCTTCGTGAACATTCAGCAAAGGCCTAGTAGCGGCATCGCTGCAAACAAATGAACTTTTGGAAAGCAGTGCGGCACTTTATGCTAACGCGGTATTGCTAACCACAATACTTCCTCCAAGGCTTAGAACCAGTGACCCCTAAAACATCCGTTTGGCTCAAATGACACCACCTACTCATACTCATCATACTAAGGAAGGAAAGGATTTATATTTCGCAATATCAGATTAGATGATTTTCAGTCAGTCATTCCTGAGGGCCTTTTCCAAAATTCCACCGATCCCCTCCCGGGGGGAAACACCTATTGTCTAATCGGCTATGTATCGCAATAGACCCTGCCTACGGCACCTCTTCCTCATGCCCGGTCTTAGGCTCACTCAATTCTAGGTGTAAGGGCTAATTAGAATACTTATTGAAACACACTGCACCTTTCTCGAATAAGGTCAGACCGTTGCAGGGTGAGAATCTAGAACTAGGCCAAAAGAAGGCCCACTTGGACCCTTTTCAACAAACTCCCAATTTTCCGTATGCATCTCGCACAATCTGAGATTGGCTATTCTTGCGATTCGTGACCCAGTACGTTGGGAGCTGGCTTTTATCCTGAACTATCAGCTAAAATACACAATAAGATACTCGAGCATGCATGGATTGGCGCTGGACGAGAAGTCGCTTCGCTCCCGTCGAGTTGGTGGGATGAATATTCTCCAATTCCATTCGACCTCGCCTCATGCCTGAATCCCAACTTGATTCGATTTCAGCGGTATATGAAACGTTTTAATTCGTTTGTGTTGTAGCTTTGAGATGATACCAAGAACATTCGAGGAACATGCTTCAATTTCAGCAATAGGAATCGGAGCTGGCTGAGTGGGTGTAGATGACGGTCACCTCCGACAAACTTTCCTAACACGGTAGGGTTGTCCGAGTTGGCCAAACGTTCCGATGTTGATGGTTAAGTGGAGTAAGGAACCTAATGACTGGAAGCTGTTTTCTCATATCGACATGGTCCCTGGGTATCGAATCATCAAATTTGGTTTGTTTATTTTACTTCTCCTACCCCTATCAAAAATGGTCACAATGCAGGTTCCAATGTTGCCTTCGTTTCGACAATAAAAAAAAATCAACGATATCTCGCCTTTATCGTCCGTAGAAGGCGCATATTGTCCACCTTTAAGATGCATGGTGCACCAAATCAAAGCTTTCGGCCATTACTACCGAGTGGAAACACTGACACGAGCAAAGTATTTCATGTCCGAAGTCTCATAATCCGCATAATACTCCTGAGGGTGCGTGTTTTATTGGAACTGTTTCTAAGAAAGTGAAGGTGTAACTAATAAATATACGAAAGCTCTTCCTAAAGAGTGTCAGTCAAACCCATATGATTGGCACATTCCACCAATTATTAAGTTTGCCAAGCGGTATCAGATGTCAATACCTGGAGATCGAGAGACAGAAACGCTCGAAAAATGTTGGCGATGCTATAATTACACAGAAACAAAGCATCCGTGAAAGATGGAATCGGTACGTAGCAATTGTAGATGACGGCAAATTCCGAAACAATTACCGCATATGGTAGTATTATCCGAGCCTAAAAGGACATTCCGAAGAAGACTCCTAAATAGGGATAGCAAGCAACTTTCAGCGTCGTTTCCCCGATGACCACACAAGACCATGAACCCAAATGTTGTCAACAAATAGATGCAACATGAACAATAGTTGTTGTCTACTAAGTGCACCTGTGTTCCAGAAAGATCGCCATCTTTCCCGCCAACTACAAGTTGTACAGGTACCAGCCATCTATCTGCTTTGCAATGCAATATTTGATATTCATGGCTTGACATCGCAGAGGATAGTGTTGTATTACATATTTGACGTGGAGCAGAAGGATCCAAGACATATTACTAAACCCGATTGACATACGGATACTTGAGCATCCATATGGTACCACTGGAAACACTTTCCAGGTTGCTCAGACCCTTTGGAGCCCCGAGCTTAAGTCCGAGCTACGAACAAGAAAACGTAGGCATTTGAACCCGTAGAAAGGGCTATAAAGATGCTCTTACAGCCAAAACCTTAGCATTCTATCACCTCACCCTTGTTATACATACACTTGCTTGATAAAGAAATCCTTCTATTCGCATCATGAGCTCTCCATCGAACTCTCGACACGAAGTTGTTGACTCTTACGTGGCAACTCACCTCATCACTCCAAACAAAGCGCTTGAGCACGCTGTTGAAAATAGCACCAAGAGAGGTCTACCAATGATCGCCGTCTCACCGGTACAAGGGAAATTCACCTCCCTCTTAGCTAGCTTGAGCTCAACTCGGAATTTGTTGGAAATCGGAACATTAGGGGGCTACTCTACTATCTGGTTTGCTCAAGCTCTCAAAGGCCAAGGCAAGGTGACCAGTATCGAGATCGATCAGTCGCGGAGAGATATTGCGGTTGAAAACCTGCAATTCGGCGGCTTCAAACCGAAGGACGTTGACGTGATCCTTGGAGCTGGATTAGATGTACTTCCACGCTTGGCAAATGAAATAAAACAAGGCAAACGGGAGCCCTTTGATTTCATCTTCATTGATGCAGATTGGGAAAATCAGTGGAATTATTTCGATTTCGGTGTGAAATTGTCGGCAGGCAAGGGGAGCGTGGTATATGTGGACAACGCAGTGAGGAACTTGGTGGAGAGTGATATAGATCAATCTGGCAGCCTTGAGTCTGGCAAAGACGGATTAGTTGCGAAGGTTGGACGGGATGACCGCGTGGATGCTGTGGTGATGCAGACTGTGGGTGGAAAGGATTATGATGGCTTTTTACTTGCAGTTGTAAAGTAAATGTTTCTCGAGAGTATTTTGGCTCTTACTATTGAATTTATCACTTGCCTCTTGGTTAACATTATGATGGCCTAGGACGCTCAGTTAGGCGGCTACGGTGATGCATGACGTATATCATTGGGTTCGACTGTCGACGCCGAGAAACTAGGCTTCTGGCATGTGCCTGAGCTCCTCGTCTTCCGTAGTCATGAATTGATATTCTTTTCTAGGATTCCGCCAATAGAATTGCATGCTCAATCATCAGCTTCGCCGTGATTCTGAGGCTGCCCCTCTTATTCCCTTCTTAGACTGCATTTTTTGGCTTGTTGGATTCAGGATCTGGAAACAGGTTATGCCAGTACTGCCAGACAATGACCGTGGCAATAGTGGTTGGAATGGCAAAGACCCAATAGATCCAAAATTTGTTTGACAGACCCCAGCCATTGTCGTTACCGCATTGGAAAAAGGACATGCTGAAGACAGAGGAGATATACGTCGGCGGTAAGAATATTAGTGTGACAAACGCAATCGTCTTCATGGCCGAACTATCTATTTTTGCGGCACGCCCGATCTTGACAGAGGTTTCCGCATTGTACAGGGCAACACGTCCGATATCAACAGAAGTTGCTGCGTTGTGTTGAGCCACGGTGTTAAACGCAAGCTGGATCTCGTTCTGTAAGCGCTTTTCGTTCGAAGTTGACCGATGTCGTAAATTGGAGATAAAGCCTTGATAGAACTCCAATCGAGCGCGAATGCCTTCGCTGACCAAAGGATCCTGATATTGATCATCTGTTCTCGGCATGATGAGGTTGATGTGGTGCTTTTGAATAGCCTCGACAGTTTGCACTGCAACGTCTAGAGTCTCGCTCACATGTATGGCGTGCCGACTGATATCATGTAGCTTCCTGTATTCAGGCTTCGGAGCTCCCTCTGGCATTCCCTTTGTCTCAATATCGCGGACTTGATTGCGGATTCCCCATACGGCGATTTCTTCGAGATTGGCCACACTATCCAGAATAATCGGATAAGGCCAGTATATATCATCCAGGGTGTTAGAATCGAAGCTTAACAGTGATTTGACAAGACCCTCCTGAATGGAAGGCTTTGGGTCGAAAATGATAACAATTGTCTGTTTAGTGGATGCCACCCATCGTGTGAAGACGTTTATTTTGTCCCACTCGTAATCCATGTTTGCAAAAAGCCGTTTGACTTCGAAGTATGCCCATGTATCTACCTCTGTTAAGAATCGATCAGATCGTAGAATTGTATGTACTTACTCATTCCTGTGACCTTTCCGGCATGATGCGTTGTTTCACACCCAAAATACCCATTGGATCTTTTGTAGTGAGGAGACCACCACGCCTCACTCATTTGAAAGCATTGGATTAGCGCCTCGCGACATCGCTGACAATTCCGAATCTTGTTTGCCTTTGCAATTCTGTTTAGGTTAGCATTGCGAAGCGAATTCACACATAGATGGACAAACATGACGCAAACTCGGGTGTGTGGAAATAATGACCTGAGATGCTCGGACTGAAGTGAGACTGAGAAGTCGTCAGGATAAGCTTCGCTTGTTTTCCAGTCATCGCCTGGACTTTTAGCAACCTAAGATTCAGAGATGTGAGGTGCGACGTGGACAAACCTTGGCACCACTGTGATACTTCCAGAGCGGGACATGTTTTGCAGTGTGAAATAGTCATTTTTTACCAAATCTTTGAGTTCAGACCCCGGAAGAGGATTGTGACAGAACTTTAAATAAACAAGTTCGTGTTTGCACAAAGAAATGTTGAGGCTGTGCTCACCCTACTGTGTACAGCCCCGCAGGTTCAACTGGCGCTTAAGCCTGAGGGGCGAGTCATGCAGGGGGATTTGGTGATGCTCGTATTTAATTCGTCATTAATGAAACACCCAGGAACGCATCATTTGATAATATCAATATTTCGTGCAGAAAATACCTTAGTTTTGCCTAAAAAACACCCCGGGTGATATCAATAAATATACAAAAAAGGCCATTTTACAAGAACTTCCTTAGGATACTATTCGGGCCTCCTCTCCGCTCGCTAAGCATATTGGAGCCTGCTGCAGTAATTGTATTTCCAATGCATTAGTTAGTCACACGATATTAAAAGAGAACTTATAACTCTGAGGTACTTCTGTTTAGTATACACCCCCAAGTAAAAGAAAGTCACTCTTAATGATTCCCATCAGTATATTAACTGACTGACTCTAAGATGGTTCCACTCCGTATGTACTCTCTGAATAGATAGAAGCACCTTGAGATCTTGCTAGGAACACAATTAATGCTCCGCTAATTTAGAAATTTAACAGAAATTCCACGTAGGGTGCTAGATGTACAATGAAGTGACTTATTTTTACTAGTGACTTACATAGTAAATGTAGGTAATCAAGATGTACTAGCATTCAAGGAAAACTCCAATGCTCGACGCATCAGTTCTACCAAGAATCAAATAAATTTGAAATACAATTACTGCAGCAGGCCTAATAAGACTTGGCGGGTGGAGAGGGGGGCCGAATAGTATCCAAACGGGGCGCTTTTAATAATGCTCCTCAAAAATACACCAAAAGACGCTTAGAAAGCCCGGAACATCGTGCGAATTAATTACGACGGAATATATCATACCATGAAAAACAGCTGAAACTTCTGTAAGATATTCTTATGCCAAGGATGTTGGCCCGAGTAACGAAAAACCAGAGAAGATACCGAATAGCGATATACAATAGCACAAAGGAATCTACGAAGGTTGTACGATGAACCAGTTACCTAGGAAACCCCCAGATACTCGCTTCATCTCTGAATCAAGATTCGCAGACATCCGACCCGGGTATCTTTCTAATTGAAGCACATCAAACCGCCGCTTTCTTGGGCATCAAAGATGGTGGCTGCCTGTTCGGCAATTCGGGGGCCATTGAGCGTGGACAGAACCGAATTGATCCTACGCTGGCAGGACCACTGCATAAACTACTCAAATGGCTAGAATGCTGATTCTAAAAGAATGTGAGCGCTACCAAATTGAGGATCCCTTAGGGAGAAGGTCCGGATGAAGATGAGATTCAACGTACCGAAGCTGAGGAGTCGCGACGAACTTCAGTTGAGACGGAACCATGGTCCCCATCAGATAAACTTCCAAACTTATACTGTGAATCTTGTAAGGCCGGAGATGGCTGATTGCTAGCTCGTGATGGTGATACTGACACTCATGGAGACACCAAAGGTGCAAGACCATTTAGGGGGTTTTGACTATTTCTGGAAACAGCATCATTCAGTGCACAAGAAAGCTGCTCCGGAAATGCCGAGTTGGACCTTGTATGCGCAGTATCTCCTTGGATTTCAGCCAAAGTATCGGTTCTTCTAGTCGGTAGTGGTGGTGGAATTTCCGAACTTGGACTAACGTCATTTCCTGTCGACGTAGTTGTGACTGAGGTCTGGGACAATTTGAGATTTTTCAGATCGAGCGACAATTGTTGGGAATCGTGAGAATACCGCGCCAGAGGCGAGGGATTTTGTGGACGAAGAGGTGGCGCTGGCCCTTTGACCATTGTTTGGCATTGGAGTCCATGCAGATAGGAGTCACTTGCTGATCGATTTGCAGGAGGTGGTGCATAGGCCCTGCGTATGACAGGAGATCGGCATGGGTTCTGACTTGAACGTTCTGGAAAATGAGTTTTAGGGGTGGTGGTAAGTTTTCCATGACAATATGTTGTTTTATAGGGGCCTGTATGGCTGGCCTCTCCCATCAAATGGGAATGCTTTGGGATTCCATCGGAAGAGATCCGGTTGGCGCAGCGGGACTTCCTCTAAATATTCTAGCCCTTTTGCTGATGCTCCCAACGGCCCTTTTCATAGTTTGTCCTGCTATATAGGCCTGGCCGGGTATTTTGAGACCTGCGCTAGCTTTGGTTAATTTATTGTTACCGGTAACGTCGCTGAACCCAGACAACAAGTCGCCTGTCGATTTCAACACCTGATTTGTCTCCCGAGCGTGTTTTTTTTTCAAGGATGAACTCTCCTTTTGCACTTGCTCCTGAAAGTTTCCCCACTGTGGCTTCTCTGGAGAACTTATCTCGCGTTGCTTGTCGGTGTGCTGTTTCATCATCCCCAACATTTCCAGCACGTTTCGTTGTTCCTTTTTAATTACGGTTATTCGATCCTTGACCGACTGGCTTTTGACTGGCTTTCGACAGTACTCGCGGCTTCATGGATTTTCATGTCCTCCAGGTCCTTTGAGTGAATTTTTGATTGCTGCTTTAGCATGTCCACCATGGCTTGTTTCACTTCGGTGAGACTCTCTTCACGCGTTTTGAAACGTGTCTCGTCAGTCACCACTTTGGCCCTTTTCGAAAGCTCCTCAATACTTTTGCGAATATCATAAATAAGAGGTTTTTGTGTTACGTGCAAGCCTTTTCTCACGGGGGAGACGTGGAGTAAAGCATGGGCACAGGCTGCCGCATTAGCGGCAGCATACCCTTGCCACTGTTTGTTTTTGTGAGAGTCGGCATAGTCACAAATTGCTCGAATTGAAGAGTATGGAATTCAAAGCCCGAGTGCGGCTGATTCCATCTCAAAGCAAAGAATGTTCCAATCTTGGGCCAGTTAGTCACGCTCTTTGGCATCTTTGACCACAGTGTCTTGCCGCTGTAGACTTTGATTCGCTCATATGCCTTGCGCTTTGATCGACGAACTATATTTTGCTTTTGTGGATGATCATGAAGACAGTCGCAGGAATCGAGATGTAGGTAGTCTGATTGAAAAAAAAGGATCGGATCACTTTCCCGGCGCTGAAACATATCCCTCAGTTTTTTTGGCCCATTGAACCGTTTTGAGATAATGCTATCAAGCTTCAAGATATCCAGATCAAGATCCGATTGAACTTGGCATGTTGCCGAGAGGAGCGCATGATCTGAGACGAATACATCGCCGGTGAATTTGTATCCACCGGGGTATTGCTTATCAAATTTATAGGGCATGACTCTTTCGCTAACGACGATGTCCCCTAGTCGTATATAATTTTGGGATATTGGCGCAGCTCCAGCGACAACGACCATGAGTAAAAACCCTAAGCAGGAAAAGCTCAGTCCCAGACCAGAAGCCACCGCTGCAGCAGAATGAGTACCACACACGCCCTGAGGGAGGGACACAATGACCACATTATGTTCCCCGATACGCCCAAAGGTGTAGTGATTGCTATCACCAGCAGGATAATCAAAATTTGGAGCTTCGTACTCCACGTCGAGCATTTGTCTAGTAGCAAGGTACTCGACATAAATTGCAGCTATCTACCCGACAGAGAATTCCTCCCGTGGGGAGAGTGGGAGAATGTGATCTGGTAGTGCCATCCATTATTTATGAATGAACAATTTCGGTCCAATTCATAAGCGAGACGAGCGAGGCCCGCGTGGAGGTATCGAGTAATGACTTGCTTTGCAATGGTTGGGTTGCCAAAGAAAGAAGAATATACTTCGTTCGCACTGCTATAACGACAGCAGAACACGGGAGCTTGATTGATGATACAATACAGCCACTGCATTAATAATATAATCATAATTCATATTACCATGGATATGCTCGATATTAAAGACAAACGCGTAAAGAACGGGCGACATGATTTTGGAATAAACCGAGCTCGAGCTTAGTATGTTGCTTCTCCGCACTTTCAGGAGAGGCTCATATATTCATATATCTTTTTAATGTCATGTATGGTGTAGTTGAACAAAAGATATCAACCCCGTAATGCCAACGATGGTTGGTGGCTGCACGGCAAGGACGCTGAATAATATCGCGGCCAGGGCGGACGAAAACAGTGCCTCATTGATACCATAAAATTGCTCAGTTCTTCGGTGTATATCCGGTGTATTGGCTATGACTGGGAGCATACTATAACTATATTAGCCTTGACAATCTGGTCGGGGCTGGGGTAATCCCACTTCAGAACGTACATGCGAATAATGCTGGCGACAGTTCTATACGTCCACGCATCGTAGATATCACTTCAGTAGTAAGGAAAGTGTCTTCGAACATCGTGATACATCCCTTTTCCAATTTGAAGGATACGCACACCCTTCCATCCCGGGAGGCCATCGTAAGTATAGTAAGTAGCTGGCTTTAGTCTCGCCGGAGGTGGAGAAGACATCTCAGGATTCTCGATTATCGAATTCTAGAATTGCTGTCCAGAGATACCGTGAATATGAAGAGAACAGAGAAAAAAAGAAATCAAGGATAGAAGTACCAGAAGGTGGGACGGCTATGTTATAATTCCACCAAAAATGGCGTGCCAATTGCTAATTTGCTGTTTACCACTAAGATCCAATCTATCGTGACTCAGGTATTAGGCTAGTGTCATTTGTTCTCGGTAAACAGGTCCCCTAAATGATATTCCTGGCCGCTTCGACTCTGAAAGCCCCAGCAGGATATTTCTGCTCTATAAGCCAGCACTACTCACTACAGTCCAGCTAGTGCCGTGAGACGGTGCTTCATATCAGTTTCTAGGCTTCTCGACTACACAGTATATAATTATGATAATAGACAGTCCAAATCCCGAGCATATTACTAAGTCCGTGCCAAGCCAGCATTTCATCCAAGGTTAGGAAATGGTTGAGTCAGCAAATTCTGCCCAGGCAGAATATCTGGTCAGACTGCCGATTCCTATTAGATACTATTCACCTCACAATGCATCCAATCGTGCACCACCCGGTCGTGACGAAGTTGTCGGATCTATTCGAGAATTCAAATCTCACTACTCGGCTCGCCTCCACACTGGCCTCTGTCAGTCCGTACGATGAAAGTCTTTGCTTGCGTATTGACGCGGTAGTATGCACTTCGGATAATATTAAGTCGAATATCACAACGGGAAATGATAAGTCGCTACCCCTGGTATGAGATAATTGGCAATAATGAAGCCCTGAACATATTGGTAACCTTTTTACTTTATAGGGATGGTTGAGCGTAGAAAAGAATCAGAATATGACTACGACGCCGAGCCAGGTTACCTTGCGGAATTTCCCAGGATCGGTAAGTTTTCGGCTGCTATATGTCAGACACATTCAAAGACTAAGGCAAAAGTCTTTGAAATAGTTAAAATGTGACCTACCGTTCGACCAGGGGAACACAGTGAACTCCCAGCCGATGTCTAATGATGGCTTTGACAATCCCAAACATGTCACCGTCAGTGGACTACGGCCGTCAAAGTCATCTCCCATGACAATGGCGACAGAGGGCTCAGAGTCAGATAGTGATACAGGAGCCGATAATCGTCTGCCTCTGCCCAAAACCAGAATTGAACCATCAGTTCGGCAATTCCACAGCGATACCCGCTTTCCTCAGCGCAAAAAGCACAAGAAGGACACAGCTACTCCCACTTTACAGCCTTCTTCTATAGATAAATTTATAGCCGGAATCTGGCGACAGGTACATTCTCCAGTCACACTGAGTGTCTCGTTTCCGGTGCGTTTTCCTATAAGGTTAAGCCGATCTGATCTACTATCGCTGACTGAGGGACAGGACCGTACACCAGAATTCAGCATCCGAACTGGTGTTAGTCAAACGGTATGTGTGAAATTTTTATACTTGGGCAGAGTGCCTCAGAATATTCTAATGCAATGTTTATAGGTTTTTCAGGCAGTCAATGGTCTGTGCAAGAAATACTATGACCAAAGTCAATCATCGCGGGCTCTGGAAATGATAGTGCAAGCTTATTGGGTAGAATGCTACGAAGCACGAATTGCATCTATCCGTCTCGAGTATCCAAGCTATACGAACGCCGAAGCTCGAATGGCAGCTCTGAAAGAAGCTTGCACCACATTAACGTGGCATGAAAAGGAGCTCAGAAACCGGATGTAAGTCCTTCAGTCGGGTCATGCTTCATGCACACCTTATACCTGCATTCTAGAGCTCATTGTTGATTGATCTCAAGGGCGATTTGGAGTGGCTACAAAAAGATCAAAGATTCCGGGGGCTGGGCTAGTCTAATATTTGCTGGTTCCGGTATTTACCGTATCTGCAAATATAGGATAGGCTTCGATAACGGACTCATCCCTCGGCTGCACCACATCGCTTCTAGCCTTGAAGTCGCCGCAGATACTCTTCACCCTGGTTGGCGAGACCTTCTTCGAGTGATTTGCCAGAATGGGCCCTGTCGATACTCCGGCCACCCTCATGAATGGGTCACGGTAGAGACTGGGCCAGCATTGCCGCTGAGAGCCACATACTCCCACCTGACATTACCGAACGGCTTCAGTTATCAGTTCGTGGACGACTGCGTGATTGATGAAAACGTCTTCGGTGGAGATGACCCTCGACGCGGGTTGCAAATCGATCCAGATATTTGTCAACTATGCCAGGAAAAACAGACGGACGATGTGGTCTCCAACCACTGTTCTTGTTTTTCAACTCTGTTTGGTGGTGTTCGTTATCCACCTCCTGTCCAGTTGTATAGCACGGCCAGTGGAAAGAATAATGGGGTGATCGCCCGTTGTGTATGTTGCCAGCAGATACCCCTTCCAAACCCCATAACCCGCCCCTAATGCAATGGTCACTGACTTCTAGAAGGGATTCGACAGAGGCGTAGCTATTGCCGAGTTTGTCGGTATCGTCACTCGAGGGATTGACGGCCTAGACGTCATGATGGGCGGAACCCCAGACCAACCCTATCAGATTTTCCAGGGCCAAATGGGCAATTTTACTCGCTTTATCAATCACTCATGTCGGCCCAACAGTCAGTTCCAGAAGTTCTATTGGCGTGGGGTAGAACGTATACTAGTGGTATCTCGCGGAGTGGCATCTGGGAGTGAAATTACGGTTGATTATTCGGACTCCTACTGGAAAAAGCTCAGGAAAAATTGTTTATGTGGGGAGACAGGCTGCCGTTTTGCCCATCAACTAGAGACCTAGGTGTTGTCATTATTTAGATACAATAGGAGGCTGTAAGTCCTTTTACATCCTTGAATGAGTAGTTTATCGACATATGGCACTCAAAAACGGACAAAAAAGAGGGGGAAAAATGAAAGGCCAAATTAAAACATGAATAACGCATTATGCATTCGAACACATCATGAATAAAGGACATAGACAAAAGCTACGAATCTAGTGCCCAGTATGCCCACATCTCCCTAGTATTTTGGTGCCTTGAGTTGCTGGTCCCAGCCACTACAGTACATAACTCATCCTAAGTGAATAAAAGCCTTTGTTAAGGGAAGTTTGCTTACTGAAACATACAGGTTTCTTAGCGTGTTGTGCCATTTCTTTCTGAGTCCAGGACTCACTATCAACGCAATTATGATACCAATGAAGTCACTCGGAATTATAATTTTGCTTAATTGAGTGACTTCGCAGTAGTCAGGCCTCAGAAAGACCACTGCCATTAGGCTCATATGACATCCATAAGGAAGTTTGAATTTCTCGCTTAAAGTACGGCTCATGTATATTTACTAATTGTATATTTAAAAAAAGGGTTAGATGTTTCGATTAGTTCAGTCTCTCATAGGAAACTGAGTACGGGCGACGTCAGTATAAACCCATTTACAACTTTTCAATTGTGAACCAGAAATAGCTCAAACTATTCCTCGCTATGGACTCACGTAGCATGATCAGGCTGCTCTTAGTAAACTCTAGTGTATGAAAACGTTCTCGCCCTCTAATTCTCTCCGCACCCCACTCGAGTCAGGTAATGCGGAGACTGTTGATCAGACGGGAACCTGTTATTTAGGCGCATGTATCAGGCTGCCGATCTATACTCCGTACCAATAGGTGACTTCACACTGATGCAAAACATTGACCCTGACAGGATTCTTGACTCGGCTGTGTTTTTGGCCTATCATGCTTGTTAGGCAGAACCCAAGGACAAGGTTCTAAACCATAACGTTACCTTCAATTTGTGAGATTTAACGTTAAATTACCCGGGACACGATGTGGAAACACATGATAGATCACATTAAGGTAATTGGCATGCACATGGATTATCTGTAATATGAAACATGTAAAAGTAGGAATTGAAATGCATGATGAATAAACAACACGTGTACGCCTCGGGGATCAACCTTGGAAGTGTAAATGATTGACCCAGGATGGACCAGTGATCCAGTGATCCATAGAGTAAGATCTGCCCGAGAGCATATATGTATATTTACATCTTAAGTTATAAATCAGTTGAGTTGAATGTGATGTGAATAACTATAATTCTACCCAATATAAAGCCGAATTAAAGCCGCCCATTATGAACAGTACCCACAGCAGCCAATCCCCAAGTTACTCCGAACCGAGGGAAGTAGGGGGGCGGTGTACAAAGAGGCACTAGTTCCGCGCTAATTTGCCTCAATTGCTTCCGAATGGCTTCTGCCGCGTTTCTAGCGCCGCCAAGACTTTTTTCGCCTCCAACTGAAACTTGGGCACTTACAGTATTGGTTTCGAGGTCTACTGGAATGGTTTGCCGTTGGAAGTCCGATGTGTTACGGGTATCGCCTTATCCTCAATTATAGGGGCGATGCATCTCATATTATGGGAGCCTAATACACTCTATATAGGGAGCTGAATACTGTATAAGACAATGCCGCTACCCGGATCTCTTATCGCCCCCCCCCCCCTTGCAGATGACCCCGGATTCTACAGGGGATCTGAGTTCTTCACGATCTCGATATATCTAGAAACTACTTTGTATGCTCTGTGCAGGATAGTCTAGGCGGACTAGGAGAAAGAGCCGATATGAGGAGTCCCCACTGAGGCGATAGAGTATACAGAATAGTAATAGTAATGAATATCCTCCCCCATTTGGATGTCGCACCATCCGTGATATAGTGTCCCTACGGAGTACGGAGTACGGTATACAGATATCTGACTCGTCTATTGTCCAGGAAATTATATCCCCATCATCATCGACTGTCTTAGTCACATACTAGTCGTTTCCGGTAATTTATGACGTTGCCGATCCAGCTGCAAGCGGTGTAGCCAGGTCGAGTTATGTGCCATTGCCATTCCTCAATAGATCCGATCTTAACTTTACACTATTTGATTTCATCAGCTAAAGTGCAACTTATAAAAACTGTCCCGGGGTCAAGACCCGTAGAACTGGTCACGTGTGTATTACTATTACCGTAACGGCGCCTGTCTCAAACCGGAAGGGCTGCCATCTCATACCCCGTCTTCCATTGCCCGGCATCTACTGTTTCTCATCTTCTTGGTCTCTTCTATATATTCCCTTCTCAGATTTTGTGCTGTTCAGTGTTGAAGACTCGATTACTTTCTGCCAGTGCGGGACTTCATCCGAGTGGACTCCTGTGAACCCGCCCAAATACCGCCCATCCACTCAGTCCACTCATCGAGGGGCACCTGTCTCAAAGTCGCATTCTTACCTTCTTTTCCTCTGGGAATCGCGCTTCAAGGCGAAAGAATCCCTGTCACTTTAAATAACCCCCTTGGTTTAGCGTGACATCGCGCAGGCCTGACAGGGAACCAGGATATATCCATTCGTCAGACCTCGGAAATCTCATCGGATTGAATTTCTCCGGCACTTTTTTTTACCCATAACAGCTGTTCATCATGACGGGTGCCGCTCCTCTTGATATTTCCACCCGCCAGTCGACCTCGGTGTCGCCCCCCGGCCAACAAGCGTCCAACCTGACCTCGGCCCTACAGAGGGCGGGTACGGGTGATCGCACCGGGAGCTTCTCGCATCACGCCGCCGGAGGACTCGGAGTATTCAAGGCGCCACCGCCGCGCAAAGACTCGATCGGCGCCGCTACGGCACAATGGGGAAACGGAACGAAACCTATCTCCATGTCGGGATCTGCTCGCGATAAAGGTCGCCGGGAGTCTCTCGCAGGAAGCTTAGTGGGTGGCATGAGCTGGGGTGGTGTGTCTGTCGGCAGCTGGATACGTGATGAGTGAGTGCGCCCTAGCCGGAGCCGAAGCCGCGGAGAGTGCGCTTCGTGTGCTGCTGCTTGTTGCACTGCAGAACTGACCAAGGAAATTTTATCATGCAGCATCATTATGACTGGCACCTCGCCATTTACTTCTTTCCAATCGCCTTCTTTCCACTCCTCGTCGTATCTCCCGAAGCTGGAAGCGAACTTTATGAAAGACTTTTCGTGCTGCGGTGTGACGTTACCGACGCTCCATGACCTATTACAACATTACGAAGAAGCCCATGCCACCAAGTCGCCCAACCAAGGCCACCGACCGAGCCAGGGTGAGAATCGAGCTGCCATGGCCGCTGCGGCTATCGCACAGCAACAGAGCCAACAGCATGGCAACCAAGGACGTGGCCTACAGCCCGATCGGACCCTGGACATGCAGCGCAAGTTGGGCCAGAACCCGTCGCCGTTACAACATGCCGATCTAGACACAATCGATGATATGGAGTTGGACGATGCCTTGGGTGACGGGGATGCTTCTACCTCCCAGCTCTTCTCCCCTCAACTACATGACGGCCAGGGCGGATTTGGCAACTCAAATCAGGGCTCGCAATTAAATCTGAGTATGCTTCCAAGCCACCAAGGATTCAGCACCCCTTCGCAGCCCGGCACTCCAATTGGATCTGGACGACCTCTTTCTCTGCAGAATAACCCAACGGTTTCTTCCGTCAACACTCCAACTTTGATGGCAAACCCGCTCCAGAACTCGCAATTCCGCAATACTCCTGATTCCTCAGGACCAGGAACCCCGGCCGAGATCGATGAGAGCATGATGGGTGGATTCGGTGATCTGAGCATGCAAAATAACACCATGGGCCAGAATCAGAACCAGTTCGGGCGGTTCAATGGCAACAATAATGATATGGTCGATCTTTGTATTGATGAGCCGGCTAAGCGGCTGTTCAGCCCTAGCGGTGGTCTAGGTTCGCCCAATGCCCACTTTAAGCTCAGCGGAGCTCAATACGGTCCAAATAGCGATATTGCACGACGGATCCGTGAACAGCAACTGCTGGCTGGGGTCCCCGACACTACTACCATCCTCCCTAACGAAGAGCCCAAGCCATTCCGGTGCCCCGTCATCGGTTGCGAGAAAGCTTACAAGAACCAAAACGGACTCAAGTATCACAAGGCTGTAAGTTTGATCTGAACTTTATCGAATCTCGACTCCTCTAACCTTATATCTCTAGCACGGTCACAACAACCAGCAACTTCATGATAATGCCGATGGTACATTCTCGATCGTCAATCCCGAAACCTCCGCACCTTATCCAGGTACCCTGGGCATGGAGAAAGAAAAGCCATATCGCTGCGAAGTGTGTGGCAAGCGATATAAGAACTTGAACGGGCTTAAATATCACAAGTCGCACTCACCACCCTGCAACCCCGACTTCCAGCTTGGAGGTCGCAACATGGCCCTAGGCGGCGGAGTCATGCAGGGCCAGAACATCAACGTTGCTGGAGCTGGCCTCCCCGGAATTGGCGAAGAAGGCCTTCTGTGAACAAATGAACACATGAACAAATATGTCCATATTTCCAACATGTCTACATAATCTCCAGATAATTGACGCGAACGATTTCGACGGCTTTCTCCCGGGGGTCAGAGCACTCCTGCCCACACACGATGTCATGACTTTGAATTGGTTCCGGTGACTTTGGAGTTCTGTTACGATTCTCTCTTCTCTTTTTGAAACTGCTGCCATGGATTTCACGGGATTGTTTTGCTTTCGTCCCACTGTCCGGATATATTATATACTGGCATGATCTTTTTGCTTCGATATCCCTCATGCCAATTCCAGTTCCTACCTATATGGCCTGGTAGTAGGGCTACCCTGAGCGATCAAACCTCAGCAAAAGGCTCTCTAGAAGAAACTGCTGGCTTGGCTGACACTTTTTTCTGCTCTGCTTCTTCATATGACTCTTGCGCTTCACGGAGGCTGAATCAAGGAATGGGATATCCAT